TTCACTTAAATTTATTTTATACGTTTATTTATAACGTAGCTGACAAGCGAGTTGGCATTACAAGCGTGTTGGCACTTGTCATGAACTTTCTAACCAACACAATTCAAACCATTATATCTCTATCAACAACAATGGCACCGCGTTATAACGAATCAGACTCATAGCTAGCTGTCCAGGCTAAATGATGCGACCCTCATATTACTATATTTCAGTTTATAAAAGTCTTTAATATCACTCGTTCCACTCTGAGTAATAAAATCAAAGGAATGCCATCATGACGCGACAACATGCCCAATACTTTGAAATTTATGGTTTCTTAAGAGAATGCCATTCTTTTCTTCATTCTCGACCTGGATGCGCGAGTATTTCTACCCCGGCACAGTTATGTTGAAGATATGGCAAATCAATCGCTGGTAGCGCGTGAGACTAGACACGTCAGAAAGAACTGGACGTAGAACTTCATCAAACGTACACCAGGCCTTTGAACGCATTTTTGTTAGAAAATAGACTATCAGAGGGTCTTAAATAAAGATCCAGACGCGTATTGCGCGTGGTTTTGCCAAATTGTGGCAGTAATCGCAAAACATGGCATCCAAGATGCAGATATTATAACTTTGATGAGACTGGGTTTATGATAGGCATTATTGGATCCGGCATGGTCATTATAAGCGCCAAAAGACGTGACAGGCCTAGACAAGCTCAGCAAGGCAACAGGGAATGGTCTACAGTAATTTCTGTTATTAATGCTAATGGTTGGGTGGTCCCGCCATTCATCATTTTATAGGGCAAAACCCACCTCGCGTCATGATATCGCGACATAACATTACCAGGCGATTAGAAGGTAGCCGTGTCTGACAACGGGTGGACTACGAACGAGATTAGTTTGGAATGGATTCAGCATTTTGACCAGTATACCAGACCGCGTATGACCGCTGATAAACACCTCCTCATCCTAGATGGCCACGAAAGCCACTATTCCCAGGTCTTTAAGAATTATTGTCATAATAATGGTATTATTACCTTTTGTATGCATACCCATTCATTACACAGGCTCCAGCCTTTAGATATCAGTTGTTTTAACCCGCTCAAACAAGCTTACAGTCGCATGATTAAGGATCTCATCTGGTGTCATATAACCCATGTTTCAAAGGAGGACTTCCTTACAGCGTTTTGTGAAGCACATAATGCTGTTATGACGCCAGGAAACATCCGAACAGGTTTTAGTGCCACTAGGCTTGTTCCTTTTAATCCAGAAAGTGTTATTTTAAAGCTGGATGCTGTCGTCATTGTACAAATACCGTTGCTAGACCCCAATCTGCCACCCACTATTTGGACTTCAAAGACGCCTACCACCATTAACAAAGCGGTAAACCAATCGGTTCATATCCAGAATCGAGTCAGAAACCACCAGGGAAGCTCACCTATATCAATATTGATGCATTGAGCTCATTTTTAAAGGCTACATACAGTCTTATGCACAATGTCATTTTGGTTGATTCCTGGGTCCGCGAGCTTGAGGAGGCTAATCACTTATTAAGTAAACACCAGAGAACAAAAAACAAACGTCTAGTAAAAGAAGGAATACTTTCTATTAAAAATATAATAGATCTTTAGGCTGCAAAGGATGGTGCTGAGTTGGCAAGACAGGAAATGGGTAAAGGTAGTTGTTATCTGAGGAGGGCAGCAGCGCGTGAGCAACGTTATGGCGTTTGCGGCATTACTGGCCATAATGCACGAACTTGTACAATAGAGATAGAAACGTCTGAAGCAAAAGAATCCGATTGATTAGATTGAATTAAATGCGTTGTGATTAAGTTGTTTGACATGGCAGTTAGGAGGTTGGTACGAAGTTGCCGTTTGCTTGTGAATTGCCGCTCGCTTGTCATCTACGTTAATATTTAATAACTTAGATTTAATTAACTTTGAATTTGATTCAATGAACCTGATTAAATAAGTTGAAAATATATTCATTCAAAGTTAAGTAAGTGTTTAAATGACTTTTAAATTACTAAAGCGTAACTTATTCAAGTAAGAGCATTAATAAGACATTTAAATGTAAAGTATTTTATAATTATGCTTTATAATACGATTGATTTTAATTTAATAACATTTGTTTCTTAAAATATAGATCCTTAAAATCAATAAGACCTTATTTATATATATACATGTATAAAAACAAATTAAAAGATAATGGAAATAACATAGATTTCTAATTTTCAAATAATACTGGTAATATTATATAAATTATTTTAAAATTAAATCAATCTTATAAAGCCTTTCTTACGTTTCAAATATTTATAATTACTATGGTTTGTATATATTTGGTATTAGTCTGAAAGTTGGATATAAAGGCCTGATTTTAATAAAATAAAACTGCCATTAAAAGAGATTAATAATAAGATATTTATACGATTTAAAATATATGATAAAGGTTTTCCAATATAAAAATTTACAGCTTTCTGGTATTTGGAGCTATGACAGCTTAAAATAACGAAAAGATACCCATGTTTTAATAATTGTCACGGGGCAGCTTAGAGACTAGGACGAAAGTGCCCATCAATATCTCCAATTGTACAAAAATACTTTGGTGAAGAAGGGAAGAGAGATCTGTAGCACCAGCCAAATCCGGTGGGGTGATAGATCCCAAATATCGACCCTCAATTATCTATCCATCTGTGTAGTAGAGCAACGTGTCCACCCCACCAAACCACCTGATGGGTGTCAGATCCATCACAATAGTAAACATAAATTCGTTAAGTTTTTTAAGCTTTTTAAACTCTTTAAAGTTTTTTATAATCAGAATGTTCAATAATAAGCACCTTTAAAACATAAACTTTCAATTAATAAAACAAAAATCTTATTAAAGTAGAGTATTCAAATTTTTGTAAATATTTAATTAGTATTTTAGTTTTGAAGATTAGCTTTTCAAAGGCTTAAAAGCCGTAATTAGGTTTAAATTATTGATTCATTGCTAGGATTTATAGTATACTTTAATATATATATAAAAATTTGGTTAAACTCATAATAATACTGAATAATATTACGAATTTAAAGTTCATATAAATAATATTCATAACGGTAAAAACATATGGTATTCTTCCGTTACATATATATATATATATACATATTATTAAACTAAACAATATTTAAGAAGTATAGCTAGAAACTATATTTTGAATATAAGTTTAATGAATTGTAATAATATAATATAACTTTAATTTAATATATATAACGTAAAAAGAAGAAAAGAAAAATTTCGATAGCTTTTTAAATATTGAAATATTCGCAAAACCTTTCAACTTTTTAATATAAGACAGGTATAACATTTAGCAAGATTCGTTAAAATAATAAAATTAGTAAGTAAACAACGCCTTTAAAATTATAAACATTACTTATTGTTAAATACTGTTTATATATATAACGATATCTTTTACATTCTTAATAAGCTAATAAGCTTAAAAATAAGATCTTTTTTTTTAATCTTATTATAAATTAGCCTATAACTAGCTGTTGTATAAAAATTATATATTTCTTTTTTAAAGTAAGATAAATATTAATTTTCAAGTAGTTGATTTTCATAGGACTAAGGTTTTAAATGCCGTAGCTTTTACATTCTCGTACGACATCTTAATTGTAAACGACTTTCTAACAAATAGATTTAAAATTTTCCTTGTTATTTCTTTTAGTTTGAAGTATTTAAATGCTATAGTTTATAATAAATTCATATATGAATTTTATTAAAGCATCTCGTAACGTATAAAAAGGTTTGCTTTACAGTTTATTATCAAGCGAGTTAAGGATAACGTTAAAATTATTATGAATAATAGAATCGCACTTTAAATTAAGTATTAAAATCGATATAAACCCTTTTCGCCGTATTTATTTACGCGCTCATATATATATATATATTTATATATTATAAAGGGCTATAATTATTTTTATATTGTCAAAAGTTTTAACGCATAACAAACTCCATTATAAGTATAAGACCTATTCTAATTACCAGGCTTTAATTAGCATAATCTTGAATAACCATAAGTATATTAGTTTAATAATAAAAGGCATATTGCCCTTTTAATTAAGCTCGGTTTAAACTAACCATGCATTAAAAATAATAAGAAATATTCAAGGTTATTAAAAATCAAAAAATCTCGTATTTACGTAATTAAATGCTTGGATGAAAAACTACGTTAATATATTATTAAAGAAATGTCCCAACTTTAAAATAAATAAATATTCGTAAGAATTACTATACATTAACTACGTTAATAATAACTATCACCTCAAAGTAATAACTCGTATACTTAGTTGATTAAATGAATATTAACGAAATATAATAGCATTATATAGAAAAACAAATATAGTCGAAATAATAAACCTATTTTATTAATATATTAAACTAATAATCAAGGCTTTAAAATGGTAAATTTATAAAATAATCAATAAGCTTTGAAAGTTATATATAGTGTCACGATGCCTGCGGCGGTGTGTTGCAACCTGGGATTGATTACGAAAATAACAAGGTAAGAAAGGAAAAGGAAGCCAGCAAGGTGGTGTGCGCAGCACACACGTTAAGTGGTGGTCCCGTTCCTTCCTTATCTAATCTACACGTAACCTGGTGGGTCACCTGACCAGGGACCAGGTGGGTGGACCGTTACATATAGTATAAAAAGCTAGTAGATGTTTTTATACAATCGTAAAAAGCCCGTAATCGTTATTTTTAAAAAACCCTTTATATAATAAAACGATTTAATATTATATTTAAAATGTATTAATCATTTATATCTATTTATTATTCAGTATTGTATTTAAACCCCCATTTTAATTTAACATTCCTAAGTTATATAATATTATTAATACTGATTTAAACAACCTTTAAGAAACCAAGGGTTTTATATAGTGTTACTGCAATTTGAATCTCCCTAAATCCGGACCACCGGGCTTTTACCAGCCAGCCAGCCTTGTCTTTAGTAATATTTCCTTGCTTTAGCTGTCATGCTTCATGCAGTCCAGACGTCGGGGCCGGGAATCGTGTAGCTGGTGAACGCGGTGTAGAGGCTGAACAGGATGCCCGGGTCAGCCGAGCTGTAGAAGTCGGTAGCCGGCTCACCAGCGGGCAAGGCAGTAGATCCACTGCCACCGACCTGGATGTTGAGACACTGAGGGTAGCTTTGGGCACCGTTCGCACTTGCAGCGCTGTGTAGTGCAATGATCTCGTGGCGGAGAACGTAGTTTCCCGCTGCCAGACTGCCGGGGATGATGACATCGGCGGTGAAATTGTTGGCGATCAGGGTGTCGGTGGCCCAGGTGCCCGGGTTGCTACCAGACAGGAGGCCGGCTTCGGAGATCTTGGTGAATGAAAGGCCGTCGGCGGTGGCGGCGGTACATTCGCCTGCGGACTGGGTCAGTATTGGATCAGGCGCGCGGGGGAGATGGGGCGAAGGGGCTTGACGACATACCGCTGCACTCTGCCAGGTAGTTCAGAACAGGGCCGTGGTGAGTGTCAGGCCATGTGTTCCAATACAGCGTCAATGTATCACCAGCACTGGCCGTGATGTACGTCTCCCCGGGAGTTGCGCTCTTGTGGCAGGCGATGTCGTTTGTGTCGTAAGCATCAGGTGAAACGAAACCGTTGTCCTGGTTCAAGGCTTTCCAGCCCGGCGTATCGGGCGCGGTACCCTCTGGCTGGTAGTACCAGTTCGGATTGCTCCCATCGACCCAGCTGCCGCCGTTGACGGTTACGCCAGACACGTATCCGTGGGCGGCGGCGAGCTGGATCAGAGGCGCGGCGAAAGCTGCAATCGACAACGAGGAAGGCATGACGAGCTAGTGAACGGCTGGCACTGTATGAAGAGAAGGGTACGTGAGGTAGGCGAGTGGGTAAATGGGTGAGAGAATACCCATAGTGCCAGTAGGTCACCCTGCCGCTCGCTGCGTATATATACACTGCCGGACCACATACAGCTTGTGGGAAAGCCGAGCATCAGGCCCATGTCAATCGTTCACCTTCCGAAGCATCGACGGGATGCCACTGACCGTCTGGGGCGGCTGGCTGTGAATGGATTGGATGGAGTGAGTGGAAGATCTGGGTTGGTTGCTCATGTCCGGCGGCCGGGCAAGGAGCGCCATAGTCCGCATTGCCCGAAATGGCAACTCCAGCACCGGGGCTGTGTTTACTACACGGCGCCTGTCGTAATTCCGCGTGCCTTTGCGAGCCTGGCATTGGCTCGTGATCCTGGTTTGCGCACAACGGCGGCCAGAAATGCGCCTATCAGTTCCCAGGTCGGTCCTCTAACTTCAAAGAAGACCACGCGGCAGAGTGCTGGTGTAATGCGGCCTGGTGGACGTAGCTACCAAGACGCTTGCCGGCCTCGATCGGGCGAAGTGCGGTTCACAATAAGGTGAACAGCCATACGTGTATTCGGTAGACATCGGCCTCTACTGACTCTGCCTCGGAGTATGATCGAGTTGCGCTGTGCTTTCTGCGGTGACAGTCAGGCGTGAATCAACGGCTCCCGACATGGCATCCCAATTTGCAGTTCTCACTCCAGGGTCTTGGTCACCGCGTCTCGTACCGGCTCGTGCCCTGCCTCTTGGTGACTTGATGAACACCACGACGGTGGCACCAAGGTTGGACGTCGAGGTCACTTACTGCCCTTTTCATTGACTTCGCGCCGTCGGCGGCTACTCTCCGTCCAGTGTGCACACGAGGCCGATATGTTAACTGCTGCTCGATTACCATGGAAAGGTCAGGCACCCTTGGTTACCAACCGTAACCCGTCTTTCGTGTGAGTCGACATCACCTCAGTTTGAAAACCATAGCTGCCTTGAGTAACAAGAGACATCCGTTCGTGGTTCTGCTACACGGCAATAAAACAGAGATTCGGAGGCTCGCTTACTCGAGAGCTTTTGTTGAACGTCGTTAATGTGATTAGATCTTATACGAGGTGACCATTTCGTCGTGTGACGCTACATGCCTACCGGCCGTACCTGGTTAGGCCCCTGAAGTTCGAACAGCGCTTCGTGTTCCACAGTACTTGGATCGTGGCATGGTCGCCCTGCCTCGACCAAGCATCGAGTGCATTATCCCAGGTGGACAGTTGGTGCAAGTTCCCGGAACGTCTTTGTGAAGCAGTTGAACATGAGCGAAGTTGTGAATCCAGGCACCCGTTGTTTCTTACTGTTCGTATGCGTAAATGATCAGGGCGAGACTGCATACCTCGTGAAAGGCAATATTGGTCTCGGAAGAAGCAACTGGTTTGCACGATGGAGATTGCCGGATCGAAACACCGACTTCTCTATATAAAGCCCCTATTCTCCTGAAAATGGTTGGTTCCAAACTACACAACCAACAAACCTGCCTGACTTACATTTGCTGCGAGTTCTGCTTCTCACTCAACACGATCAATCATACATAATGGGTTTCAATAATCCCGGAGTCTACGAGATCAGGCCGTACCAGGCACCCGGTCTGAGCGCCAACTCCTGGGTTGGTGGTCTGGAAGCTGGTGCAGTGGTCAAGACCTAGTAAGTTCCCACGCGATGGCGCGACGGATTGCAATCTACCATGGGAGCCCTTGACCAGTCGATACTAATACCTGGTGTCCAAGTGCCCGAAGTTCACCTCCTACCGACAATGCCCTGTGGCAGGTGGCTCTCGTCGCGGGCTCCGGCAGCTCTGCCGAGTACCTGATCATCAACGTGCACTCGGGCTATTTCCTCACGGCCACGGGTCAGCTCTGCCTTGCCTTCTCCGCGCAGCTCATAACTCCCAGGTTGACCGGTATTTAAATCGCAGCCGACGGCACTGTCACGTCCACGCCGCAGATTTCGCCGAGAGACGCTTCGTGCCACTGGACAATCACATCGACTCCAACCCATGGCTACGACGTGTACAAGTGAGTGTTTTGGGTTGTTCTGAGCCACCACTACCCCATCATCAAGTGGCTGACTTGGGTATGGGACACTAGGGTCAACAACAAGGTGTCCAGCCGCGGTCCGCTGAACGTCGCAGGCAGCTCACTCGACGCCGGGGCCGACATTGGCGTCTATGGCAACCCAGGTGACGGCGATAACTGCAAGTGGTATTTCGAGCCAAAGTAATCCGTCGTAATCCGTCGGTTATCTTTGGGGGCGGAGGACGCGTTTGGTATGTGGTCATCGCGAACCGGGATGGCTGGTTGTCACCTTCGAGGTTTCCAGGACCATCCCGAGTTGGCGCCGGCTTGTTGTATCATCTAGGATAGAGAAAAACAGTGGAAATCAGATTTCATTCGCTGGTTCGTCAGATATCGGCACCCTCGAACGTGCTGGCGGGAGTGAAAACCCGAGGGATGAGCTGCGACTTGGATGACAAATCAACCACCATCCCCTAATCCGTCTCGGTAGCAGATTAGGTTCTGGCCACCACGGAGCGCTCGTCCTTGTGGAGTAAAGGACCGACCTCAATGGATATGTCGATGGCCGTGAATGTCTTCGGAGGGTGATAGTTGGCTCAAAATTTCCGACCCAGTATAGCTCCTTTGCCGCGGTTCGCGCCCTATCGTTGGTGCCAGAAGCCGTGTCGTGGACACAGCATGTGCCCGCGTTGGCTTCATACATACGAGTGTGCGACAAAGCAGCGCTCATTGGGTTGGTGGATCATGGAGGACTGTGTTGCGTGCTAAACAACATGATTGCGTGATCTCCGAATCGCGCCCCGAATCGCACGACATCTCTCGCGGGGATTTCTCCTCGTTGCTTTCGTCAGGATGCGAGTTAAATAGAGAGGGGAACCCTACACGACCCCCGACTCTCTCGCCATTATCTTCCTGAACTCCAGGTACGCCTTGAACCCTCGTTAGACTTTCTCCTCTACATTCAGTTAATCACAGCACCATGGCCCCAGCAGTTACCTTGGATGAAGCGGCGCACACGCTGCCCTCCCGTGCGGGCAAGGCAGCCACCTATCCGCAACCCCTGAAGCTCACGGGGGCCCTGGATGAGTTTGCTTATGAAGACGCGACCCCCGTGATTGGCCGAGAGTATCGCAATGTCAATATTGTTGACGACTTACTCCATGCTGGAAATGCCGATGAGCGGCTTCGCGATCTTGCCATCACTAGTGTGTGCTCCCCCAAAATGCGGAATCAGAACGCTGCTGGCACTAATGGCCTCCCACAGTCTCCCAGAGGGGTGTCGTGTTCTTTCGTGCCCAGGGAAACCTCACCGACGATCTGCAAAAGCGACTGGTCCATCGACTCGGCCAGTTGACAGGCAAGCCAGATGCCTCGACACTGCATATCCACCCCATCCTGAACAGCACGTCCGAGTTCGGGGTAGGCGACAACCAGATCAGCACCATCAGCTCGCTACAGAGGAAGGCGCTCCTCAAAGCCGGAGGCCAGGTGGATAAGAGGCGGAACGACGCTGCACTGTGGCACTCGGATATCCAGTTCGAACCCGTGCCGGCTGATTACACTTCGCTTCGCCTCACCAAGCTTCCCACGACTGGAGGGGATACGCTGTGGGCCTCGGGATACGATATCCTCGACAGGTTCTCGAAGCCCTACCAAAGGTTCTTCGAGGGCTTGTCGGCCACCTTTGTGGGCCAAGGCTTCCTCGACGCCGCCGCCGCAAGGCCCGACAAGGTCCAGATATATGAAGAGCCAAGGGGAAACCCATCCAACGTGGGGAGAGAGCTGCAGGCGACTCATCCCGTGGTGAGGACGAACCCAGTGACTGGCTGGAAGAGCCTCTTTGCGCTTGGCCCATTTCCCAAGTATATCAACGGCCTGACGGCCCAGGAGTCGTCGGAGCTCCTGGGTACATTCAAGCAAACCATCACCGAGAACCACGACTTGCAGGTCCGTTTCAAGTGGAGGAACAAGAACGATATCGGTAAGGTCCCATTCCAGACGCCGTAGCCGAGCTCACCGGTCTGACACGAGACAGCTATCTGGGATAACCGAAGCGCATTCCATTCGGCAACGTTTGACTTTGAGGGTCTTGGGGAGCGATTTGGAAACCGTGCTGTTGGTATCGGAGAAGCACCATTTCTCAACCCCAACAGCAAGTCCAAGGCCGAATCGCTGAGCCACGCAGACGAGACTGTCCCTTGACTCACCAGCGAGGATGGTATGTAAGCTACTCACATACATCATCGAGTCACCTGATTGAGGGACCGCTGCGTGTGCATATTCATATTTCAGAGGTCTCGATTCGTTTCGCGTCGAAAGCTGTGATGCCCATGTGCAAAGGTTCCAAAACTGTATTGTTCAATACTGAGTAAGGAGTCGAGAAAATTAGACTTGCTCAACAGATGCAACACCTGTCCACCACCGGTTAATCACGGAACATGACGTCTTCACTTCTTGATGAATCGAATACCGGGTCCTGCTCCTGGTCAAGGTCGCCGCCATGATAGAGTAAAAATCATTTAGTGGTGGCCACGAATCGTTGGAGTGACACGAATCCAAGCACATGCAGGCGGCCTGGTGACTTGTGCCCAACAATGACCTTCCGTTGTGATAATAAGGATTACAGCCGTCGTGCTTTGAAGTGACTCAATTGCGTTTCAGAGTGTCAGAAAGGGGTCACCGTCTTGCTTTACGCTTGATTCGATGGGTATCTATCTGCAGGGCGCGGATCAAGTGTTCAGCTGCGACAGAGACATGAAACCTCGTCCTATCTCTGACGAAGGCAATCTTGCTAGCTTTGAGATGAAGACACGAGTTAATCGCGCGAGCTCCCCCTGGAAAAATATGTACATGGTCAAGTGTCCGAGCAGTGAAGCCAAGGCTTGGGAGATATCAGAGTTGAATGCTCTATACTATAGCAAAGGGTATGTAACATTAACATCAATCGTGCGGCATTATCTACATTGGCGGCAATCATGCTCCGACCGGCGTCCAACAAACACATTTTTACGCATTCGTAGTCATTAAGCGTAGCATTAAGCGGCGGGGGCCTCCTCGGTGGCTGCTGTTGACGCTTCCGCCTCGGTAGGCTCTGTTAAGGTTTTCGTCTCGGTGGCCTTTGTCTTTAGCTCCTCCAGCTGTTGGGCCAGGGCCTTCTTCTCGCCCTCGAGCCGCTCAACGCTGGCCTGTAGGTCTGACTTCGACTGCTGGTCCTGCTCCTTGTCCGACTCGAGCGCGGCAACCTTGGATTCCAGCGTCGTCTTTTCCTGTCTGCGTGTCAGCTGTCGGTGGCCAGGTTGAGGGGAAGCTATATCGGTGGTCCAGAACTTACGCTGCGTGCAGCCTCCAGGTCCTTCTCGGCCGTGGCCACCTTGCGCTCGGCCTCCTCGCCGTGCGCGCGCAGGCTCGTCAGTTCGGTCGACTGCTCATCGTACCGAGTGCGAGACTGGGTCGTCTCGTCCTGGGCAGACTGGAGCTTCTCCCGCAACTCTGTGGCCTCCTGTGTAGCCTTGTCGGCCTCGGCTTCGAGCTTCTTGCGGCTATCCTCCAGCTCGGCCAGGTCCTTTTCGGCCTTGGACTTGTCGGCTCGGACCTGTTCCAGCTCCGTCTCGTGTGCCTTCTTGAGGGACGTTCTCTTGTCCTCGGAGTCCTTGACGTGCGACTCGTGGGTGGCCTGCAGAGTCTCGAGCTTCTCCCGCCCCTCGGTGGCCTCCTTCTTGGCTGCGTCAGCTTCCTTAGACAGGTTGTCATGCGCTCCCTCCAGGACCTGGTGCTTCTCTTGCCACTCTGCAGCTTCCTTCTTCGCAGCGTCCAACTCGGTGGCCAGGCTGTCGTGGCTGCCCTGCAGAGCATCGAGCTTCGCCCGCAACTCGGTGGCCTCCTGCTTAGTTGCTTCAGACTCCATCTTGACTGCTTCAGCCTCCTGCTTGGCTGCTTCGGCCTCCTTGGCCAGGCTATCGTAGGTGCCCTGCAAAGCGTCGAGCTTCTCTCGCAACTCGGTGGCCTCCTTCTTCGCTGCTTCAGTCTCCTCGGCCAGGCTGTCGTGCGCTCCTTGTAGAGCTTGGTGCTTCTGTTGCCATTCGGCTGCTTTCTTCTTCGCCGTCTCGGCCTCCTCGACGGTAGTCTCATGTGTCTGTTGCAGGGCTTTGTGCTTCTCCTGCCACTCAACCGACTCATGTTTTGCTGCATCAGACTCCTTGGTGAGGTTGTCGTGCTTCTGTTGCCATTCGGTGGCCGTCTGCTTCGCGGCGTCGGATTCGCTCAATAGGCTGTCGTAGGTTCCCTGCAGGGACTGGTGCTTCTCCTGCCACTCGGCGGCGTCCTTCTTGGCGGCGTCCGACTCGCTGGCGAGGCTGTCGTATGTGGCTTGCAAAGCCTGGTGCTTTGCTTGCCAGTCAGCGACCTCGTTCTGGGCGGCCTGCGACCGTTGGGCCAGCTCCTGGTGTTCCTTCTGCAGCGCGGCAAGCTTCTGCTGCTCGTCGGCGCAGGCCTGCTTGGCGGCGGTGAGCTCTTTAGCAGAAGCCTGTTTGGACTCGTCGCTGGACTGGCGGAGCTGTTCGTAGTCGGCTTGCGAGCTGGCCAGGGCATCCTTCTGCTCGTCGAGAGCCTTCTTCACCGAGGCCAGCTCATCGGTGAGGCTGGCATGGTCGGCACGGAGAGCTTCATGGCTCGTGGTGGAATTGGTGAGGTCCTGCTTCGCCGAAGCGAGCTCCTGCTCGAGAGACGTGTGCTTCTCGCCAAGGCCGGCTAGTTCCCGCCTCACGGTTGCAAGCTCGTCGTGCAGCTCGGCCTTGGCCTTCTCGTGGGTGGCGAGCTTGGACTCGAGGGTAGCCAGCTGACCTCGGGCCTTCTGCAGCTCCAGCTCACGTGCGGCGGCGTCCTGGCTGCTCTGGCTCAGCTTGCTGGTCTGGTCCTGGTTCTGGTGCTCGAGGTGGGCGACCTTCTTTCGCAAGGCGTCAGCCTCATCCTCGAGGGCGGAGATGCGCTCGTCTCTCTCGCCAATCTTCTTCTCGATGCTTTGGCGCTCCTGCTGGGCCAGGGCTTCGCCGCCTGTCAGCGTGGATATTATGTTGCCCATGGTCGGTGGCAGTGGGCAGTTGGCAGTGGGCGGGTGCGGGGTGTGGTAGTGAAGTGCTTTCTTCAATCAACTGAACTGATCAACTGATCAACTTGGGATGTGTTTTGTTGAGGGAGGAGAGCAGGAGCGGAGCGCAGTGGCAGGAGAGAGAAAATATCTTGGTTGATGAGTCTGGCGGTCAGCGGAGCGGCGGATGTTTGGTTCGGGCCGCTGTCAGTGGTTCGCTGTGGTCACTGTGGTGACTGGTGACCTGGGGAGAAAAAAGATGGAAAACATGGAAAACATGGACCGTGCAGGGAGATGAGTTGGCACTATACCACCCTGCCGCCCACATGCAATTTCAAAGGAAATAAGGCAATATGTACATGCAACCTGAAGTTGGGTACATGCAGTCTGCATCACACATGACGTGCATCTATTTAATGCCCATATGCATACCTCATATTGTCCTTGTCAAGTGTGTGGATGGATATTCTCACAGGCTGTGTCACAGTTTCCTTTGTTGTCATACGGGTACAGATGTACCTAGGTACGCACCGATTAACACAGTGCCCGTGATTAGGTACTTTTAACCCTTCAAGTATGCACAAGGCAATATAATATCTTGTATATATGCATGCATGTATCACTCTAACGTTAATGCATTGTGCTAGCGACTAATGCATGCACGTAGGGTCTGCATTAGCTCACCCCTCCCAGCTAGAGCTAGGTATGCATAACGGCTATGTCCAGTATTGACCTTAGCAAACTCCAAAAAGGTCATCACAATATGTACAGTATGTAGCATGGGCTGCGCTCCAGGAGCAATCTTCAGTTCCCGCCATACAGTGGGTCAGTGTTCAGGGGCCAGGGGCCAGGGCTGTCAACTTTCAAGGTCATGGCCCATGGTTATTAATTAACTAAAAGTACTCGGCTCAGCCGCTTCGACTGTATATTCCACCCCACATCATTGATGGCAGACTTCGGCAGCATGCCGGAGTCGCCTGGCATGGCCGCGTATTGCTTCGTACGCCCCGAGACTCACCATGGATAGTGGGCACCAAACTGGTCCATTGCCATCAAGCAACAACCGGGGCCGCTTCCCAAGGCATTGCTAACGGGCACCACGCACGCCAGCCCGGCAAGAGCGAAGAGATTACCTAGATAGAGCGAAATGCTGCTTTGCTTTCCCACTTGGCCTATCCTCCTTCATGCGCCGTATCGCTTATGGACGAGTCCCTGCATCGTTCGGATTGCAGATTGAAATGATGCTTCTGCCGGCTGAGCCGCGTCCGCCTACCCGGGCACAGCCTCCTCCCGCATGCTTCGTGACGTCTGTCCGGATAATTTCCACCACCTATGGCGGAGGCGCCCGCATGATGCAGTCTGTACGCCGCGTGCTGAAGGTGTGAGGTTCGCTCTCTGCGGACATTCCTGACGTGGGTTGGTTGCGTGAGTCAGTGGTTCAGATCCCCGTATTCCATGATGAACATTGTCGGCACGGGCAGACAGACAGACAGACGGGCACTTGTGGAGACACCGGGAATCCAGAGACTTGACTGATCCGAGCGGACTCATCACACCTAACATAGTGACTTGGTCACCCTGTGTAGGGGAGCAGGCAGTAAGTCAGGCAGGTCGGCAGACTTGTGTTGGTGAATTTAGGACGACGAGTATCGGTGCCCCCTTCCAGTCAAGGAGAGGAAAGCCTTGGCTCAGCAGGTGGTGAGTATATGACTTCAACCGTGCAAGATTCAGTTGATGGCTTATTGAAATCATCATGGTGAGTCTGCTGTCATGAATGTCAACGCCCATTCATCCACCCCATTCTGCAGATACCCCTATGAGTATTTATACAAACATGTTCGGGCACTAGCGAACCCAGCTTCACTCCTCCAATCAACTCCATTCCGGCCCGGATCCTACCAAACTGACCGCGCATCCAGATCACGTCGACTCGCTCCTGATTTCCAGCCAGGATAGATCCTACCATGTGTTACCAACGATGGAGCGGCATCATGTACCACCGTCGTGGAGGCCACACCATACGTGGCTCGTGGAGCATCGACGGCTGGCAGAGGTGCCGCGAGGTTATCAGATCCAATTCACGGGCCGGGGGATGCCCCATGGGCATAATACATGTGTGTTCGGCCATGGTGTGGATCGATTGCTACGCATGCGCGTCTCTTGTCCAGCAGTAATACTAGGCCCCCGGTTCCTGGCATGACACGAGTAGGCTGTACCCGGTATGGAGATCACATCTTGCTGGGCATAGGCAAACTTACATCTCATATGTAGCCTCGTATGCAGAGGCAGAATCCCCTTCGTCACTGCCTTGCTCATTTCCTTACCCTTGATCTGGGCCGGTTACAAAGCAAACGGACTCGCCCATGGTAGCCACAAGGATACATGAATACCTAAGCGTCATCCAGACTACCCATCATGACTTCTATTCCCGATGTCCCCCGCACCCTCGCATATGGGTGCTATTGCACGTTGCCTGAACACTATGAATCCACAACTAGCCATTGCCCAATCCTGCTACGCGCCTTTGGGCCCTCCTTTAATGCCGAGTGATTCCGCCGTCGAGAAATTGTGCCGATTCGAGCCCTTCTCGGCGAAGGCCTCCCGAATCCGTCTCCTGTTCTCCATCGTCCACTCGATACGGTCGGTCCTATCGAAAGGGGGATTCCCGCGAGGAACATTGGTCGGAGCCTTTTTGTCTGCTTCAGAGCACTAATTGCACAGCTGTTTCATATACTCTCTGCACTGCGGGTACCCTATAGTGTGGTATATTCTCTCGTTTTCCTCGGGTATGAGCTTCTGTCACGCGGTCCATTGACCCTGGTCCTGATCTGCCCATCTTCGCATGTCAACCTTGGTAGGCACGAACCAACGGCAGGCTAAATATCGAGCAATGAGGGCGCTCTGCGCTTGGGCGATGAGAATCGTTGGGCCGCCTTTGGGAACCCCCACAAGTATCAGCGTTGGTTCTACTGTCCAGAACATATGCTCGTATAGGTTATCAAGGCGAAAGCCGTCTGGCCAGATTGGCCCCCTAGCTTTCTTGCTTTTTCTGGCGAAAGGCAAGCTGTATTGGTACCCGGTGCAGAGAACGATATAATCAACGTCTCTGGCCACAATGCCGTGCACAAACCTCACTTTTCGCTTCGTAGGTGATAGACTCTCGATCTCGCCGACTGCTTCAATCTTGTGGTGGCTCCTGGCGTTCGTCCTTGCGGAAGAAACCCACACTTTGCTGGCAACTTCGGCCAGCTGGTGGGAGATATCCCACCCAGAGGCCGAATTGCCCACAAGAACCCTCTACAACATCGTTAGCACGGCTATGAGTTGATAACAATATCGGCCACCACCTTTCCACTAAACTCTTCAGCTGTCCGATATGATCTCGCGTGTGAGACAGTCTCAGGATACATCTGGTGCCACCGGTCCAGCCCCGGGTATGCTGGCTCAAACGGCTTCTCGAATGTGCCGACTGCACTCACTATAGCGTCTACGTCATCGTACTGGTCCTTTCCCAACTGCACATCGTTAATTTTGATTTTCCAATCGTACCAATTTCCCTTGTCTTGGTAGTACAGACCAATCACTTCCTTGTTATACTGTACCGGGAGTCCGTCGCTGTACGACCGTATGCATTCCTCGGCGATGTTGTATTTAGGAAACAGCGACGTCCCGGCCGGCAAGGGTGGTCCGAGAACTCCATGAGCGTGCGTGGGAAGTTGGTCTCGAGGTTTTCGTACATCGGGGATACATATGCATCATCTGCGTCAGCGGTGAGCATCCAGACGCCGCCAGCCTGGTCTTTTCTTTCATAAACAGTAACCTCTAGCCCTTCGGCTATGAGACGTCTAGACATGTTAGTGAGCTTCGATGATGCCTATCGCCAAGTATACCGAGTAGTGGTGGTGTTGACCATGAAATGTTGAATTTCAGGTGATGGAAGCTCACCTGGCTACCGCAATACCCGAAGCTCCTTCTCCTATGACGGCAATTTTCTTGATGGTTTGTCGAGGCATTTTTCCCGTTTGATACACGAGACACTCACAAGTATAATGGCGAAATGGAAGCGCTTGTCGCTGTAGTCGACAGAGCACAAGCCTGGAAAGTATCAGGGGTTATATATCCTGTCGGGGCTGCGGATCCCACATATAGCATCTTCCTCGCGAATTTCTTGAGACCGACTCGACGAACCTGGACAATCGTCGTCTCGAAAAGCTTCATGCTTGCGTAGTCGACCGACCAGACGCCTCGATCATGTAGCCAGGAAGCTCTAGACAAGTAAAGACTGCCTTAGGTGAACCGATCGGGACTGAAAGAAGGCCATAGAAGTTCTTTCAAGACGAGAACCAGACAGACCCCAACAATCAGGTAAGCGACCTCATCTCTCCCCAAGGTATATCATAAAATACGCATACATTTTGACTAAGATGGAACACGTCGCGACTTGTTCTTTCTAGGCCAATATGGATGAGGGCCTCGAAAGATACCAAGTAAGTACCTGAAACATACAGAGGTGTTGCAACCCATGTATAAACACGTTACTGCTACAGACCTCAACTCAGCACCTACGTCTAGTACTGTTTCGGTGCAAATGATGTGCCCATACGGCACATGCTCCTTACGACTACATAGCTGGATAGTTATCTTGCAGACGAATGGGAGAAGCGCATAAGCAGCTATCGGAGCCTGTTGCATTCTTCGTAAGTTGCCTGAGAAAAAGACCCAGACATGGGGAGCTCAGCGTGCATGGCAATCCTTCAGCCACATGCAGGTTCGTCCAGACCTGATGGAATGTCGCCCTGTCCGCCGTATGCCCCGCCGTCCAGGATAACGGCCTCGTTGTTGTCGAGATCATCTTGTACTCGTTTCCAAGAACGTGACGCGCCAGTCTTGCGGCCCTCGAGTTCGGGGCCTTTGCCCTTGGAAGCATCGAAAACCGGTTTGATCAAGCCACCCAGCAATGGATTCTTGCTGAACGTGCCACCACCTGCATCTCGTCGGTTGCCGGTGGTCTGTTCCAAGGCCGTGTCGCGAACGTCTGTCTGCTCGTTCTCGACGGGGCTTTCGGGCCGGTCGATGGCGGCCATTTTGCGAACAACCTTGCCCCCAACCAGATCTATTGAGACGACCTGTCGCCGCTTCTCATAGTCTGGTCGAGCGTTCCACTCCGTCTCCCTCATGATCTTTTGCTGGCGTTTCAACTCTCGGGCGCGCTCTTCGGGACTTGCCCAGATGTTACCGCCGGTGCCCGCCACAGCATCGCTAACATCAAAGTCGGCGGCCTCATCCCTGACCGTAGTCCTTCGTGCGTTCTGAGACTGGAAGCCAAGGAGGCGATCTCGATGCTCAAGCGCCTTCGACTCGGCCTCGCTCACGGCGTCGGTGGTCTCCCGCTGTTTGGAGAAGGGAGCCGGCTTCTTGGAGACCTCGGCTCTTCTGTGGGCGTCGCGATCTGCGGCCATCTTCTCCCTGCCGCGCTCATTCCGTAGCTCGCGGATCATCGACTGCACCTCAGCTGAGCTTAGCAGTGGGGTGCCGCAGGAGGTGCATGGCCCCAGTCCTTCCTTGACGCATATGACCTTGCCGCAGCTGAGGCAGTTTGGCGCAGCCACAAGAAGAGGATGGCGGGTTGCCACACAGTTGCAACGTCTCGCAGCCAGGTCGGTGGCCTGGGTTGGATTGGTACTCATCTCGAGGGTGCGTATCGCATGTTCCAGGTCGGAAAGCGCGGTCGGGGCACCGTGCATAGCAGTGCCTCCCGATATATTGACCTTGGCCTTGGGAACCGGGGTCGACGAGTGCGACGCAGGCGTGGACTTGGGGGTCGGCTTGGTCTTGGGCTTTGGGAAATCAGATATTAGATGACCAGCAGCAGTTGGGGCAGGCCTGGGGGGCGGTGGAGTTGCCGACTTGTGCTGCGGAGGGTTGACCGGGGACGCATAGCCGCTGCTGGAGGCGGCGGCAGGACTAGAGCGTCTCGAGATATAGTCATCCTTGAGGTCTTTCTTGCTATAGGCGGTGCCGGGTGCTGGACCGAGATGGGCGACCTGCCGCGGGGCGGGGGTGTGCAGAGCAGGCTTCTTCTTCTTCTTTGGACCCTTCGTGGACTTGGGCACACACTCACTGGCAGGGGCTGCCGGTCCCTGCCGCCTCGAGTTGAAGGAGGAGATGAAGTCGACGGCCTCCGGGGAGTCGCCGAGCAGGTTGCGAAAGTGATCGGCGGCCTCTGGTTTGGACAAGGTGGCAGCATACTGGAGCACCTGGCTGAGCTCGTCTTCGGGAAGCGGCAGCAGCCTTGCGAGCTGGTGCGCCGACATGCTGTTCTGGGATGATGCAGCAGAAGCGGCCCGGGATGGGTTCACGATGTGTCTATGACAGCCCCCCCCCTCCGATTCAAGACGGTGCGATGATGATGCCTAACCTTAGCCGTCCCGTAGTGCTTACTCGACGTAGAACAGAAGAGGTGCTTTCCTGTCTGCTGTCTGCTGTCTGCTGTCTGCACGCCTGGCAGCCAAGGTGCATCGCCTGGAGGATATCCTGTACCTGTGTTTGCGTGTGGGATGTAGAGGTGGGAGACGTCAATGGTCTTAGACTCTTAGTCACGCCGACGACTTGCAAAAGCTGTGGGGCTGGTGCTCACTACTGTGGCTCCTCAACCCATTTTCCAGCCACAATGACGGATGGGTCACGGACCAGGATACAAGGCACCTTGGAACCCAACGGGTACCCGTTTGTACCTGATTTGTACCCAACTTGGATGATAGCTACTTACTAGCTAATAGTTTCCCCCTTTTCTTTCGTCCAATCAAGCAACTTCCAGAATACAGACCAATAGCCACCTATCGTGACCCTGGTCCTTATTCTGGATACCGCTACCACAAGGCACACTATACTGAGATAAAGTTAGACTCCACTTTAATCACGCCCAGATTCGATAAAGCAGATTATGCCTGTACACAGTAATGTATATTTCTTACAGATGAATCCATGCCCGGGAATGCACACAAGATCCGTCGCGACTCAGACTTGAGACTCTTATTACCAACCGCCTCATTACCCGAAACTAAGTGACACCAGAATACGAAGCTTGACACACTGCTCTACATGTTTGTAATAAAGTTCTGAATGCATACCGGTATCACCTCTCCCGTCGGCCTTGTAGTCTGCTCGCAAAGCAGTACCGCACGCTCGGCGTACCACCCAGTTTCGTAGGCCTGGCTCATTCCTATCACTTCCAGCGTCACCTTTTCGGTCTAGGGCTCTTCTTCGAGGGTGGTTCTTGTCAATTCCAGGAGAATTTAGTAAACAGTAGCAAGGACCAACCGACTGGGTCATCGAGTCTTATCCTTGTGGCCCCTCTGTGGCCTTGGACCGCATCGAGGAAGACGCCCAGGCAAAGTTCGTATTCCGAAAACTTGCAATGGGATCTACCCAGATGCTGCCTAGGATCGTGTGACTGACCTTTTACCTGTGATTGGCGACTTCGCCCGAACCAGGTGCGCCGACGTAGCAATCCTCCTCTGTTGTCGTACCCGGTGAACCACGGTAGAGCTTCTTCTGCTCGTCCTCGTGACTTCTGGCCTGGTATCGGCTCGACAGTTTGCCCTTTGACGCCTTCGATGTACGGTGGCGAGAAGACTGGTACGTTTGCTGGCACCACCCTCACAATTCTGCTTAGCGGCTCGCGTTGCAAGCCTCCGCGAAGGCTACAGCTTGGGGGAGTCCCAGCTGGCGATGGTTGGATGGTGGACGACGAATGCCGGCGATGGCAGGAAAAGGGAGTACCATGACCAACGACCGTACCGGCTGGCACCACCGAGACATGTTGAACTCGGGAGGTCGTGGCTGTTTAGCCTGTGGGAGCAGTGGCGGGGAAGAAACAGTATTGTCTGGTCATCCAGCACCTCTTCCTGGCGAGCAAGCCAGCGTCGTGACATAGGGAGAGGGATGACCATTACTGCCACATTCATTTTACAGCTCATCAGAGCTTGCGGTTGGAAGGGTGGCGCAAGAAAGACAGCAGGGCTCAAGTGACTGCATATGTGGTGTGTGTCTGTCGGTGTATGTGTGCAGTTGAAGGTTGTGAAGCACCACTGCACCCCGTGTCAGGAGACTACATGCTGCCGCCATAGAGAATATCACCGGGCGAGGTGCAGATGCATTGCGCAGTGCGGGACACAGAGGAATGCGACGCTGAGGTCGTGCCCGTCGTCGGCGGTAGACAAACGAAACTACCTGCCCCTGGAGACTTGACCGAGGAAATGTGGTTGTGCCCGCAGACAGGTTTGGTGTTTGTTGTTGTCGGGCGCTGGCTGTCCCCATGACCGCTGGTGCGCCGCGCGTGACTCTGTTTCCCCATGGGGTGGGTGGGTGGATGGGTGGTGGTGATGGTGGTGGTATACGTTGGTCGGTGGTGTGTGGTCTCCACGAAAGCAGCACATAAATAGGTATAGATCAATGTGTTGCAGTCCACGTTCCTGATGAGTCGAATCAAGCTTCGGCCTCTCACCTTGGACTATTCATCTTTCTCTGGTTGTGGGATTGATTGGGGTCAGTCCTTCGTCGGATCGAGTACAGGACACACTTACAACACCGAGTCCCAAGTTCAACACCGAGCAACCACCTGGCAGTGTCAAAGGTTCGTATTTCAACTGCCTTGCAGTCCGCCCCATCCCCCATCCCCCATCATAAGTCGAGTCTGACGCATGCAATTGATCTGACTCTCAACTTGCCATGTAGGGCAACTAGTATAGTCTGTAGGTAGGCTATTATAGCAGGTTAGTGCACGCGGATCCTTGAATGTTCCCAATTTCCCCGCAATGTTGCTGACGTCGATCTGTTGATCCCCCAGTGTTGCATGATCATCCAGATTCCGCTGCCGCCTGCATGTGACTGCAGTGGGAACTTCACCCCTTTTACCCCCGCCCGTCTCACAAGTTACAACGCATCGCACGGCGCCATACATGTACTTATAGGTACGCCCGGGTTCCCAATGGCGCAACCACCGCACAAGACCTGTACTTCGCTGGGTGGTAGGGATGTCGAGTTCTTGCATGAGAAGCTCCCCCTGTTGCAGCAGCATGACGGCAAGGCCTGCCACCGCCGGCGGCATGGTTGGTGCCTGCCTTCAGCCGCCGACTATCTTCTTTTCAAATTTGCTATCTTCCTCTCAGCCATCGGCGCCCTGCTGCTTCTAGCCTATACGACCCGCTCCCGGTCAGCTCCGACTCCCGAGCCGACGCTTGTCCGGGGCACCTCGTTCCTCGACCACGAGACACCCATCGGTGGTTTTGCTGGCCAGACCTTCCTGAGGGACAACATTCCTTTCATCGACGTGCCCGACGCGCTCATCCAGGATGTCTATTACTACAGGTGGACTGAGCTTCAGCGGCATATCCGCTATGTCCAGGCCGGCACTGGCTACATGTTCACCGAGTTCATGCAGCCTGTAGGCTATGCCAAGGCCTTTGGTTCCATCGATGCTGCCGCTGGCCATCAGATTGACGAGGCGAGGTGGCTGAGGGGTACCCAGTATGCCGACGACTACATCCAGCTCTTTACCAGGGGCCCCGGTGACTCGCTGCAGTACACCCAATGGATCTTGGATGCCATGAGCCGCCGCGCCATGGTCACCGGAGACCGGCGCTTCCTGTCCACCCAGCTTGATGACATGATCCGGGTCTGGCATGAGTGGGACGGCGTCTTCGATACGGCAGCCGGTCTGTACTACTACCAACCCGTGTGGGACGCCCAAGAACTGTCGCTGCCCGGCTTCGTCGCCGACCCCAACAATACGGACTGGACGTTGAGGCACGATGGCCCAGACACCTTCCGACCTAGTCATAATGCCTACATGGTTGCAAACGCCAGGGCCATTGCCAGAGCTGCGAAGCTCGCCAACGCTGGCCTTACCGAGCTCGAGTTTTCGACCCTCGCAGACACCCTAGAGTCTGCCATGTACGAGCGGCTGTGGGCGCCCGAGCAACGCTTCTTCATGGACATCATCCGCCCGGGCAACCCCAACCTGACCCGTCTGAGTGGGAGACAGCAGGTTGGACTTTTCCCCTACCGCTTTGGTATCGGCCTGAACGAGTCATACGCCCAGCCAGCCCTTGATTCCATGTTTGATACAGAAGTGTTCCTCTCACCATTCGGCCCGACGACTTTGGAGATCAAAGACCCATGGTTCATGTGGATGCGCCCCAACGAACTCTGTAAGCCACCGCCCCTGACCTGTGTCGCAGTCCACTGGTGCTTGCTCCGGCATCGTGGCAAGGAAGGGCGGGCATGCTGACGCGATTGTAGGTTGTTATTGGAATGGCATGTCATGGCCATACTCGACGGGCCACACGCTCAAGTCGCTGGCCGCCATCTACCGAGCTGGGACCACCAATGCTACGGCGGATCAGTACCACCAGTACCTCCAGATGTATGCGAGGACTCAGCAGAAGAACGGGCACCCTTATGTTGCCGAGTCCCACTGGCCATTCAACGATTCATGGAGTGCCGATGGATGGAACCATTCCGAACACTATGATCACTCGACCAACAACGACGACGTCATCACGGGCTTGTTCGGTATCACGCCGCAGCAAGATGACACCCTCCATATATCACCTATTGTTCCTGGCAACTGGACATACTATGCCCTCGAAAACCTTGCCTATCATGGACATCTCGTCACGGTCCTATACGACAGAGATGGCTCACGGTACGGTGCCGGAAAGGGGTTGCATGTCTTTGTAGATGGGATCAAGGTACACAGTGGTGCCAACAAGACTGCCACGGTCCCCGTCCCTCCTCCGGTAAGATCGAGAGAGGCCCTGGTCAACATCGCGGCGAACCCGACCGGTCCTGGACAGTACCCCATGGCGAATGCAACGTATACCAATGCCGGCGACTACTACTTTAAAGCCATCGACGGGGTCCTCTTCTATGATGATATACCTGACAACCGGTGGACTGACTATGGATCTCCCAATCCGAATGACACGCTCACTGTCACATTTGCCCGGCCGAGGAATGTGTCCTCGGTGACACTGGCGCTGTACTCGGATGTGGCACGGGGCGGAGGCATCGACGTCCCGGCCAGCATCGAGGTGTACGGGTCTGACGGCCTCATCACGACCTTCAACGATAGCTCGAAGCTTCTGCCAAACGACCGCAACCAGATCAGCTTCGGCCCGGTCGAAACCGAGTTCCTCGCGGTCAACCTGTATCGCAAGTCATCGAAAACCTGGGTCGGAGTCTGCGAGCTGGAAGTCTGGACACGACCGGTCCCGGGCCCCGAGTATTACGCCGTCGACGCATACCTCAGCGGGGCGGAAACCCGGGTCGTTTTTGATAACGCATCGCATGCGACAGCCAACGGAGCTGTGGTTGGGGGGTTGGGGTCGGATAGTAACGTGGCCTTCTCGGGGATCGTGTCAGATGGCGGCCAGGCTCTCCTCACACTCAGCTACTCCAACGCCGGAAACACGACAGTGAGCCTGAGTGTCGAGGTCAATCAGGTACCGCAGACAAGTATCAGTCTGCTACCGTCGAAGGGTAAATACGCCAATGCCACTGCCGATGTCACACTGACCGAAGGTAAGAATTATGTGAGCATTCGAGGGGGGTCGGACAGTCAGAACGTCAAGCTCGAGATTTTGAGACTGTCATGATCTTGTGTACATAGAAACAGGTTGGATACAGTATGTTGAATACAGATGAATGTGGAACGTCGTCGTCTTGGTGAGTATTTTGGCCACTGATCTCTTCAAATCCCAGGCCCAGGTCTTGTACGGCTAACATTGAATGACACGCTGCACCCAGCTGGCCTCATACCTTCAGACTGCCATCTCATGTCCTTGATTGAATGTCTGCGGTACGCGGATACTAGGACCCGTGTTGCTACTTATAGGCACTTCGGTGGATCTGGAGGCATGGCACAAGGAGGGCCAAGGCTTCCATGGCTTCCATCGTAATCAATGTTCATCTCACATGTGTCTGCCCCTCACGCAGACCTACCACGTACCTTGAGTTATTAGTTGGCTGGTACGTTGGGACGACTGTCTGACCTTGAGCCGTTAGCATGAGATTTTCTCTCACGGAAATGCGAACTGTGGTAAACATACCACTCGGGTCTCTCATTCCCCAAACAATTGAACCTTAATGCACTCGATTGATTGACATTGCTGAATGCCAAATAATGGTGATGCGAATGGGAATACAGTGAACTAAACAAACTCCCCACTGTAGCTTGACAGCTGTGGGCAGCTGTCGAGCAACTAAGGTTAGGGGGATCTGGAATGGCAAAGAACATCTGGATTTGACCACCTGCAGTCTCGAAATCCCACTTGGCGCGCCACGCTTTGCGCTTCAGCTTCAGTCTTGTTGAACACGGCATTCGACGAAGAACAGCATCACTCTGGCCCCCCTTTTGCCTGGAAGCTCGTCTCCTTCTTCTTCTACCTTTTCTACTTCTTTCTCTTTAACAAGCCTCGAGGACACCCCCGACCGCCAACCATTCCAATGAGTGCCGGGACGAGACAGTAGATAGCCTCCCGCCCATCTGTCCACACTCATCATGCCCCTTGTCGACAACTCCCAGATCAAGGGCGCCGAGCTCCTCTCGCCGCGGCCCTTGTATCTACACGCCTACGTATGGCCGTTCGCCATCGTATGGCCCATCTTTGCGCGCTACCTGTACACCCCCGAGCTGTACGAGAAGCACATCAGCTCGTCCGAGTGGACCTTCGTGTGGTGCGCCACCATCATCACGCTGCAGAGCCTGGTCTGGCTCACCACCCACTGGAGTGTCAACCTCAAGGCCACCTTCACTGCCGCCAAGGCCAACACCGTCGAGGACGCCCAGCTGATCAAGGTCATCCCCATCGCCAACGCCGGGTCCGCCGACATCTGTGACATCATCCGCGACAAGGTACCATTCCCGTCCTCCCTTTACTGTGTAAACGTCGACTGACATTACTTCAAGGTCAACGGCAAGACGAACCTCTCCTTCTTCTTCCAGAAGCGCCGCTTCCTCTACGACCCCGCGAAGCGATACTTCAGCCCCCTGACCTACGAGATCGATGTCGAGCCGAAGCCCACCATCGACAAGTTCCAGAAGTCCAAGGGCATCACGAGTCAGGCTGAGCTAACGAGGCTCGAGCAACACTATGGCACAAACACATTCGACATTCCTGTGCCAACCTTCACCGAGCTTTTCAAGCAGCACGCCGTCGCCCCCTTCTTCGTCTTCCAGATCTTCTGTGTCGGTCTGTGGATGCTCGACGACTACTGGTACTACTCCCTGTTCACCCTCTTCATGCTGGTCGTCTTCGAGAGTACCGTGGTCTGGCAGCGACAGAGGACCCTGAACGAGTTCCGCGGCATGAGCATCAAGCCCTACGACATGTGGGTCTACCGCCTGGGCAAGTGGTCCGAAATTCAGAGCGACAAGCTTCTACCGGGTGACCTCGTGTCCGTGGGACGCACAAAGGAGGACAGCGGCGTTGCTTGCGACATGCTGCTGGTAGAAGGCACCGCCATCGTGAACGAAGCCATGCTGTCGGGCGAGAGCACACCGCTACTCAAGGACTCGGTTCAGCTACGACCTGGTGATGCGCCTATTGACACAGAGGGTCTGGACAAGAACTCATTTCTGTGGGGTGGTACCAAGGTCCTGCAGGTCACCCATGGCAATGCCGATGAGGAGAGACCGAAGCTTGCGTCTGGCGTCCCAGTGCCCCCCGATAACGGCGCCATGGCTATCATCGTGAAGACTGGCTTCGAGACCTCCCAAGGTAGCCTGGTCCGGACCATGATCTACTCGACCGAGCACGTCTCGGCCAACAACGCAGAAGCCCTGTTCTTCATCCTGTTCCTGCTCATCTTCGCAATCGCTGCCTCTTGGTATGTCTGGGACGAGGGCGTCAAGAAAGACCGGAAACGGTCGAAGCTGCTCTTGGACTGCATCTTGATCGTCACCAGTGTTGTGCCCCCTGAGCTGCCCATGGAACTCAGCCTCGCCGTCAACACCAGTCTTGCCGCCTTGGCCAAGTTGGCTATCTTCTGTACCGAGCCTTTCCGTATCCCGTACGCTGGTCGCGTTGACATCGCCTGCTTCGACAAGACCGGCACCCTTACCGGTGAGGATCTGGTCGTCGAGGGCATCGCCGGCTTGGGACTGGGACACACCGGTACGGATACGCCTCGGGAATCTGACGGCGCCCACAGCCACATGACGCCAGTCAAACAGGCCGGCATGGAGACGACTCTGGTGCTTGCCTCGGCCCATGCCCTTGTCAAGCTTGACGAAGGCGACATCGTCGGTGATCCCATGGAAAAGGCGACCTTGACCGCGCTCGGATGGGGACTGGGCAAGAATGACACTCTCGCCGCCAAATCTTCCGTCACAGCCGCAGGAGGCACTGCTGGCACTGTACAAGTCAAGCGCCGGTTCCAGTTCTCGTCGGCTCTGAAGCGCCAGAGCTCCGTCGCCACTGTCAATGCCGTGGACCCCAACACAGGCAACAGGTTGCGTGGCACCTTTGTCGGTGTGAAGGGTGCACCAGAGACCATTATGAAGATGCTTGTCACTGTTCCTCGAGATTACGAGGAGACGTACAAGTATTTCACCCGGCGGGGCTCGCGTGTGCTTGCTCTCGCCTACAAGCAACTGACTGTTGATAACGAATTGGGCTCGGGCAGGATCAACGAGCTGAAGCGTGAGAAGGTCGAGTCGGAGCTCACCTTCGCCGGTTTCCTGGTCCTCCAGTGTCCCTTGAAGGACGATGCGAAGCAAGCCGTGCAGATGTTGAACGAAAGCAGCCACCGCGTCGTCATGATTACCGGAGACAACCCTCTTACGGCTGTGCATGTGGCCCGCGAGGTCGAGATAGTAGACAGGGATGTTCTCATCCTCGACGCACCGGAACGGAACGAGGGAGGCGAGAAACTGGTCTGGCGAAGTGTGGACGACAAGACCAGTATCGAAGTTGACGCGTCCAAGCCAATCGACCCTCAAATCCTCAAGTCGAAGGATATCTGCGTCACCGGATACGCGCTTGCCAAGTACAAGGAGAACGTCTCTGCCTGGCGATCGCTGTTGCGTTATACCTGGGTCTATGCTCGTGTCTCCCCGAAACAGAAGGAGGAAATTATTCTCGGTCTCAAGGACATGGGCTATTTCACCCTCATGGCGGGCGATGGCACCAACGACGTTGGCGCCTTGAAACAGGCACACATTGGCATCGCTCTCCTCAATGGCACCCAGGAGGACCTGACGAAAATTGCCGAGCACTCCCGCAACACCCGGATGAAGGAGATGTACCAGAAACAGGTCGATCTGATGAAGCGATTCAACCAGCCCGCCCCGCCTGTCCCTGCAATGATTGCGCATCTCTACCCCCCTGGTCCGTCCAACCCGCATTATCAGAAGGCAATGGAACGCGAGGCGAATAGGAAGGGCACCACTGTCGGGGAGCTCGCCAGGTTAAACGGAACCAGCATGGAGACGGTGACGTCGCCGGCCGCGCAGCAACTGATGAACCAAGATGGCCGGACGGCTAGGCAGCAAGAGTCGATGAAGAAGGCCTCCGGACTCGCGGACAAGATGACGACGGCCATGATGGAACAGGAGCTCGGTGAGGACGAGCCGCCAACGCTCAAGCTCGGCGATGCTTCGGTTGCGGCGCCCTTCACCAGCAAGCTGCGGAACGTGGTGGCGGTGCCGAACATCATCCGACAGGGCCGCTGCACGCTGGTGGCGACGATCCAGATGTACAAGATCCTGGCTCTCAACTGTCTCATCAGCGCCTACAGTCTCAGTGTTCTCTACCTCGAAGGCATCAAGTTTGGCGATGGGCAGATCACCATCAGCGGGATGCTCATGAGCGTCTGCTTCCTGTCCATCTCCCGTGCCCGGTCCGTCGAGGGTCTGTCCAAGGAGAGGCCTCAGCCGAACATCTTCAACTTCTATATCATCGGCTCCATCCTTGGCCAATTCGCGGTGCACATTGTCACGCTCATCTACATTGCGCGATTCTGTGACAAACTTGAACCGTAAGTTGGATCCAACTGCCCCCGTCCCTCCATGGTGTGTAAACTAATAATGTGTATAGTCGCTCTGAGATGGTGGACCTCGAAGCCGAGTTTTCGCCCTCGCTTCTCAACAGTGCCGTGTACCTCCTGCAGCTGATTCAGCAGATCTCTACTTTTGCGGTCAACTACCAGGGCAGACCTTTCCGGGAGTCGCTTTCGGAGAACAAGGGCATGTTTTACGGCATCATCGGCGTGACGGCGATTGCGTTCTCGTGCTCGACCGAGTTCATCCCCGAGCTCAACGACCAGATGAAGCTCGTCAAGTTCAGCGACGAGTTCAAGACGACCATGACGGCGGTCATGGTCATCGACTACGTCGGCTGCTATGTCATTGAGGTGGTGCTCAAGGCGCTTTTCAGTGACTATCGCCCTCGCGACATTGCGCTCCGACGGCCCGAGCAACTCGAGCGTGAGAGGGTGCGAAAGGAGGCGGCGAAGGCTATAACGGACGCCGAGGAAGAGAAGAAGCGGCTAGCAAAAGTGGAGGAGTTTGAGAAGAAGGTCGAGGAGCGAAGGCAGAAGATCCGCGAATGGGGCAACAACCGCGGACAAGCCCAGGCACAGGTGGCGAGGTAGCGAGTGAGCCTGCTCACACCCATCTCGTACGTGTTATAGATGCATCTTGGGGCTGGTGGGTCAAGTATCCAAAAGTAGACACATATATAGAGGAGTTAAGTTACGGGGCTAGGTTGAACATTCACCAACCCCTTCATACACCCGACAGAGATACCTATATGAGATGAAAGAAAGCCCGGCAGTGTACCTCTTGCAAATGTGGCGTAATATGCCTGGCTGGTGACACTGGCGACAGGAGTCCACGTAAGACCAGCTGAAGGCACTCGCGGCGGGAGGTTTCAAAAGTAGTAACACCAGTCTAGCCCCACTGAGAGACTCCGCCTACCCGAGGATATGGATCCAATCCCATAAGAAGTCCAGATGTCTTATTACATCTCACTCGGGCACGTCTACACCACTTTGAGGTACGTACCTCTGACCAGACATGAACTACAACCTAAGCACGTATATACACTTCAGTCACAGTATCAGCAAGATCAGAAAAGAGCAAGGAAAACCGCATGTCCCGCGTCTGAGAGCTCACCCTAATAGTTGCCACTGTTGCTGCATTCTCCTATTATTATAGGCTAGAGATGGACACACCCAGGCCCAGGGGCATCGTCGTCTTTGGCGGCGGCACGGCCACCAACAGCCTGGTCGACGTGTTTGAGAGCCTGAGAGAGAGCCGCAACTGCTCGCTGAGCTACATCATACCCATCAGTGACAATGGAGGCAGCTCTTCGGAGCTCATCCGTGTCTTTGGCGGTCCCGGTAAGAGAGCCCGTCCACACGCACCTTGAGACGGAACACAGCGCTGACACGGGTTCATGCACCGAACAGGTATAGGAGACGTGCGCAGTAAGCCGAAGCTGGATCATCAATGATCACACGGCTGGATGCTGACTAACTGACGCGCTGTTTGTTTGTCCAGGCAGACTCGTCCGCCTGATACCGGACTCGGAGGCCGACGCCGGGCGGGCGGCCATCAAGGCGCTCTTCAACCACCGCCTGTCGTCCGACCCGCTCCGCGCGCGCTCCGAATGGCTGGACATCGTCGAGGGACGCGACCAGCTCTGGGCCGACATGTCGAGCGAGAAACGCGAGCTCATACGCTCCATCTTCAACCACGTGAACCTCGAGATCGTCAAGCGGGCCCGGCCGAGCTCTGTCTTCAACTTTGCCAAGGCGAGCATCGGAAACCTATTCCTGACCGGGTAGCCTAGCCTTCCTCGTCATTCCTGCACACCGGGCCGCACTGCTGACTGACATGGCCGTGGCACACAGCGCACGCGTCTTCACCGGCTCCCTCGAGTCCGCCGTCTACCTGCTCTCGACCATCTGCGCCATCCCGTCGACGGTGAGCACGCTGCCGGCCATCAACAGCAACTTCACGCACCACATCTGCGCCGGGTTGGCCGACGGGTCGCACATCACGGGCCAGAACGCCATCTCGCACCCGTCGGCGCCGACGGCGCTGCCTGACACCCGCGCCGCCGCCGATGAGAACAACGACAACAACGACCACGTGCTGCGCGAGACCGAGGCCCACGACCGCATCGAGGACGCCACGCTGCCGGGCTCGCTGCCCTCGCTGCGCAAGCCGTACATCGACTTCAGCAAGGCCGACGCCGACGACGACGACCTGCCCGCCCGCATCGAGCGCATCTGGTACATCAACCCCTACGGCCACGAGATCTGGCCGCTCGCCAACCCCAAGGTCGTGGCTGCCCTGCAGGCCGCCAGCGCCGTCATCTACAGCGTCGGCAGCCTGTACACATCGCTAGTACCGAATCTCATACTGCGTGGCGTCGGCGCCGCCATCAGCAATGACGGCCCCGCGTCGCGCCTGCGGAAGAAGGTCATGATCCTCAACGCCAGCGTCGACCGCGAGACGGGTCCGCTCTCGCGCCCGCTGACGGCCACCGACTTTGTGCGCGCCATCGCCCGGGCCGGTGCCGAGAGCCAGGGCCATTTCGGGCACCAGGGCCGGGATGACGAGGTGAGGCGCTATGTCACACATCTGATCTATCTCGAGGGCGAGGGGGTGCCTGCGGTGGACCGGGACGAACTGGCAGCGCTGGGCGTCGACGGCATACGCGTCTACGGGCGAAGGACCGACGGGGTCTTGCAGTATGACGAGGCCGGTCTGGCGCGGGCATTAGAGGCCGTTATGGGCAAGCCAGAAATGGTACGGAGTCGTAGAAATACAAGCACACAGTAGACATCTTCGACACCCATCAAAGTGCAGGGGCGTCAATGGAGTCTGGTTCATCAGGGGAGAACACAGAGACTCAATGCCGAGGTTGAACATCACATATATACAATGGGTGGTTTATGCCCCCATCAAGTAGCACTTAGTTGAACAGAGTAGGAGAGAAGTAGGTAGCCATGGTATCATCCGGGTTCAATATCTTACAATTGGTTTGCGAGCTCAAACCACAAGGTCTATTACGCATGCCACCACGAAACAAGCAGCCGAAGGCAAGACGGCCCTAGTACCCCGTGACCAAAGGGAGACCGCTTCATCCAATCTAGTACACCGGACCTTCTACTCCTCTAGCCTCTCGACCTCTACTCGCCTGGCCTTTCGACCATGGTGTTCGACAGGCGGCTGTCCCTCGGGAAAGGGGCGGGGGGAGTTGCTTATTTGGGAGGGTTGGAGGCAACAAAGGCAACACCCTTCTCGATGTTCTTCTTCAGGTCGCCCAGGCAGGCCTCGAGAAGCTTCTCCTCGTGGGCGTCGACCTCGCCGACGGGCAGGATCTTCTCGATACCGCTGGGGCCCAGCTCGACCTTGGAAGCGAAGAACTCGACGCCTTGGTCCTTGTAGAGCGGGCTGTCGACAAAGGACGGCTCAATGACACCCTTCTCGCCCTGGGAGGCGCGGATCAGGGACTCGGCCATGCGGGCACCGGCCATGGCCATGGACAGGGTGGCGGAACCAGCACCGTCCTTGGCCTTGACGACCTCGTCGCCACCAAACTGGACGCGCTTGATGAGGTCGGCGTTGGTGGTCAGGTCGGGGTGGCTGCTCTGGCTGAACAGGGGAACAATGGTGACACCCGAGTGGCCGCCGACAACAGTGATCTTCTCGTCCTTGGGGTCGCTGCCCTTGATCTCGCTGACGAAGCGGCTGGCGCGGACGACGTCGAGGGTGGTGACGCCAAAGAGGCGCTTGGGATTGTAGACGCCATGGGCCTTGAAAACCTCGGCGCAGATGGGGACGGTGGAGTTGACGGGGTTGGAGATGATGAGCACGTTGGCGTCGGGACAGGACTCGGCGCAGGCCTTGGCGAGGTCACGGACGATGGAGGCGTTGGTGTTGAAGAGGTCGTCACGGCTCATGCCAGGCTTGCGGGGGACACCGGCGGGGATTAGGACGACATCACTGCCCTTGAGGCAGCTGGCGAGGCCGCTGGCATTGGCTTCGTAGCCCTTGACGGAGCTATTGGTGTTGATGTGGGAGATGTCGGCAGCAACACCTGTATTTGAGGGAATTCCAGGTCAGCTGGAACCAATGACTGATGACCGAGAACGATAGGTACGAGGCATTGAGGAGTATCGATGGTGTAGATGGTGTAGATGGTGAGGGATAAACGTACCGGGAGCACCGCGGATATCGTACAGAGCGAGCTCGGTGACTCTGGGGTTGAGCTTGAGGAGCAGAGACAGCGGCTGGCCGATGCCACCGGCAGCACCGAGGACGGTGACCTTGGACAGCTACATGTTTGGGCGAATGGTCAGCAATTGGGGCTCTGCATTGGCTCGTATACCCTCGACAGAAGAGGAGTGGTCACGTACATCGCGGGCCGTAGCAGAGAAAGCCCGGCGCTGGAGGCCACTGAAAACAGCTCTTGCGGGAATCATGGTGATGATGCTGAGGGACGAAGGGGACGAAGGGGACGAGTCCGGACCGACGGATGGCAGGTGATGGAGTTGAAGTTGGATAGAGGTATATCGAACAGCGGAAGACTGGTGTTGGGAATTGAAGTCTGGATGGAAGTCAAGATCTTCAGTCGGGAATAATAATATCTGGGGGGACACCGACAATGGAAGGTCAGATCGCTGTTGCCAGCTGGAACCGCCGGGATTGGGAGGCTTATCCTGCGCACCGCTATGCCTGTTTGGGCTAGCCGACCATCGGCCATCGGACCAACGGCGGAAGCCCGGAGTTTGCTCCAGTTTCAATTGGATGGGATGTTTCAATTCCCTCACTCTGAGTATAGGTAGGTACACACGTGATCAATCTATCAAATGTGTCTGCTTCAACTCCTTTCTTCTACGAGGTAGTCACATCCCTTATTAGGTACGCCATGTTGGTCTTCACCCCTGGATGCTACCTACCTAGGTATACAGAGACTCAGTTGTGCTGTCACCCACGCAATACAGAGCAGACGCGTTGACTTATTATCACCTCTTCCTCTGCAAGTCTGAATAATGTGCAGGGAGGGACAAGGCATCTTGACTATATATCTATTTAGGACGAAGTAGATATCACATCCCAGGCAGCACCCACTGGTAGCACCATCCACGTGAGGTTCAGTTGCTATGAACAATGAACAATGAACAATGAACCATGGAGACGGTGGTTATCAGATAGACAGACACCTCATGGCGGTGGCCCAACAACCCAACTCCAACCGTAGTACAGCTGCCGACAATGGGCTGGAGCATCTACATGCCTTACCCAACACAATGGCCACTATTCATTCATCTTGACATTTACGTCTCCATTTCTACCTCCTCTTGCAGCTTCAAATTTGCAACTCAGTCGCTGAGTCGCCGAAGCTCACTCGCTATTCTTCTGCTGCTTCTGAGGGCGAGTCTGCAACGCCACTTAACGTTACATCAGAAGTGCAAGTACACCAGCAGTCAAGGAGACACATCGTCGATTCCCTCGTCATCGTCGAGTTTGCTTCTTGAATAACACAGGCCACAGGAAAGTTGCCCACTCGCAACTTGCGTCGTCCAGCGCAGCCCACTCTCAGCTTCGAATCTCGCGCCACCATGTCCAACACTAACAACGACAATTTTGCGGAGAAAGGTGCCTCGAAACTTGGGCCTGTTTCCGCCACACCGACTCAACGAGACCAGACATGCGGCCGCACGAAAGAGATTCCCGGCTCCCACTCCCATGTAAGTCTCTTGGCCAACCTCTTCCACTGATAAGTCTGGTCGCTGCCTCTTACCAAGATTTGGGTTTCTTCATCTTATTTGCGAAGTGCTTCTGTTCCTCCCTTTCCCCTTTCCCCCTCCGAGAGCTATACATCACGGCTCTCTGGGAGCATATGCTTATACATGCCCCGTATTAGCTATGGGCCACCTCCATGGCCAACTCGGAGCAGCGGAATACACGAGCTGCCCGTTCCTGATCGAGACAGACAATGAAAGACTTTGGCCACCGACACTGACAGCACACCCTCCTAGGTGCACCACTCTGGGCTGACCTTCCCAAGTCAAGCCATACAGTTACCCTCCCCATCCCACGACTCTTTGTCTACCGGCCCCGATACTCTGATTAGCATCGAAGACCATGTCTCCATTGCCAACCCGGAGTTGTTGACCCGGACAGATGTTGCCAGTCACCGGTCTCCATCGCCGGACTCCTTGTTTGGCGGCGATGATATCGAGATCAGCTTCGACAGCGATGATCCCGCCAGTCCGGGTCCATCAGAACAGGCACAAACGAGCACCAACCCATCATCAGATGCGGACCACTCGCGCAACATTACACCAGCGACGACGTCATCTGTCGTGACCATACCTCCCCATCAGAATAACCCAAGCTACGGTCTGAAGTGGGTCGACGACTGGGGTTCCATTCGACCTGAGTGGGCAGTCGAGCTCAGGGTCGAGTCCATCATCGCAACGCTGCAGTCCGCCCTAGGTCCGGACAAGGAGTTCGATGTCCGCCATTGGCACGACGGGGCCCTCAGCAAGCTCTACCGCATTTCTTTTGATCAGAAACACTTCATGATGCGCGTGTGTCTCCCCGTATGCCCCAAGACCAAGACGGAGAGTGAGGTGGCAACGCTCCGATGGGTAGATGAGAACACCAAACTGCCTGTTCCCCGCGTCAAAGCCTTTGACGCCTCACGAGACAACCCTCTTGGCTTTGAGTGGATCCTCATGACCATGATAGAGGGAACACCCCTCTCGCAGTGCTTGCACACCACCACCCAGGGGGCAAAGGAGCGAATCGTCACACAGCTGGCCGCCTACGCTGCCGCGGCCTACGCCAAGCAGTTCACCGGGGGCATTGGGAACATCTACCCGACCTCGCCAGATGCCGCCAGCTCGGAGCTGCGGGTTGGTGAGATGGTCTCCCTGGCGTACTTCTAGGGGGAGCGCGCCGAGGTTGATCACAGCCGGGGACCGTTCCGCGACGCCGCCGAGTGGGTCGACAGTCGTCTACGGCTTGCTGTAAAGGACCTTACGTGGCAGCTACATGGTATGTCCAACGTCCAACGCAAGGCCACCCAGAAGAAGTTGGAGCTCCTGGACCGCCTTGAGGTACTGGTCGCCAGGTTCTTTCCCGCTCCCCAGGACAATTCAGACCAGGACATGGTGGACATGGATGTGGAGGGACGCGAGGGCCAGAATGAAGAGCGACACGTTCCCACCGTGTTATGGCATGATAACCTCTCGGCTGATAACCTCCTCGTCGACGAGAACGGCATGCTGTTTGGTGTTATCGACTGGCAGTGCGTCTCCTGTCTTCCGCTTTACGAGGCCTGCCAATTCCCGACCTTTCTACAGCAGGCCGTCGACCGCCTAGCGGAGCCGATGACGGTACGCTACATCATTCCCGGCTCTGGAGAGCTCGACCCCATCTACGAGAGTCATCTGAGGCAACACGAGGTCACCTTGCTACGCCAACTTTACATCCAGGAACTCTTGTACCATTCCCGCGATCTTGTCAAAGTTTGGATGGACGAGACGAATGCCGACCTTAGAGATTTCGAGGCCGCAGTACAGAACTTTGGCAACGACTCTGCCAGCAATATCGTGGAGAGGTGGGTGGCAGCAGTTGAGAAGGGCGAAAAACCTGGAAGTTTACCTCGGCGACTACATGAACAGCTCATGCAGTAGGCCCGGACGACCAAAGGCTTGCCCGACATGAAGAGTGTCGGCGTATCTGCCGTTCATTTTGGCTTCGTTGGACACTAAACTGCAGCGACTTTCCATCATGACCCACCAGGGGGCTCACTGGTATTCATCGTTGGGGGCCGACACTCATATCGGGATCAAGATGTAGCTGAAAGCGACCTTTCCTGACCTATCATTCCGTGCAAGAATGATCTCAGCGTTTGGTATCCTTTTCAACTGTTTCCTCGTTTACGGTATATCAGATAAACCATAAGTTCCTACTTGAGAGACGAAGTCATTCGAACGGGCACGAATTACCGAACCCCAAGCAAGCTACCTAGGTAGAGAGATACATAGTTAGGCCAGGCAAACAACACGTTCTCAATCCATACATTACCATATCATGTCACATAAGGTGGCCGTAAGCCACGGGCAGTTTACCATACAAAATACACAATGGTGAGGAAAACTCTATTCATTTTGTATGTTGCGCGAAAATCCATGTCCATATCCATATTACCCTTAGCAAAGTACATAGTCCACCTCAAAGCAAATCCAGCTCGGTCCCGCCATTAAAAGACACAAATGAGAGAAAGCGCGTCCCAAAGAAGGGTCGAGTTCTTCGCTTCCTCGGGGGGGAAGATGTGGAAGACGGGCAGGTCCTTCGAAAGCGTACGGAACAAGACGGCAGCTTTCTCATTGTCTCCGGCAGGCGACTCGTCTTCACTCTCGCTCTCGCTCTCGTCCTCGTCCTCGTCCTCGTCCTCACTCTCATCCTCACTCTCATCCTCGCTCGAGCTCTCCCTGACCTCTTCGCGGGGCCCAGCGGTGGTACTCTGCACCGGTACAGCACTCTTGGCTGCACCGGTGGTTTCACTCGGAGCGCTGGCCTCGGGTACGACCTCGGTGCGCTGTGCAAAGTAATTGCGAACCTCGTCTTCCAGCGACAGGCCCTGGTCACCACACCGAGTAGGGATCGCGGTATCCATCTCAGCGATGGGGCACTCGCCGAGGACGAACCGAGTCGTGAGATGGTTGGCCGTCCTATGTTCTCGGACGAATCTGGTCTTGGCAGGGTCCTCCACCTCGCATGCGTCGGACTCGCCGATCCGCGTTTCGCAGGAGAAAGGCAACTGGACAATAACGATGGTAGGCGTCTTGTGAGCACACGGTTTCGTCCAGGGTGCGGCGGGGTGTGGTTGGCGGGCGGGTTGACAGGAGACGGAGGGCTCCGGCGTCCGACATCCGCAGGTGTGGTAGAAGTATGTGGCCTGGCAGAATCCAACGCTCTGGCTGTTGATGGGCTCATCCTGGGCGGGAGAAGTGGAAGGGGCTGGTGATGTCGACATTCTGAGTTTTGCTACGACGTGGTGATTGGCAAGCCGGCTTTCGTAACGTTCGAGAGTAAATGGGAATGTGGCGTGGAGCTGTGATGAATCGAAGCAGAGAATAAAAAATAAGCAGAAAATACGAAAACAAGCTAGCTGTTGTAGGTATGAAATTAGCGAAAGTGAGGTTTTTTTCTGAGTGTGCACAGAGTCTCCTTGGGTCCTCCCCGGGGCGGGCTGAGATGCGGTTTTATGTCCGGGCTCACCCTTGTCATGCGGCTGTCTTGGAGGCAAATGGTTGCCCGAGATTCCTCTTTGTGGGAAACGTTCTAGCCGCTGGACAACAATATGTTGGCCTTTGACAAGAGTTCTGCAGCGTCTTTGCCTTGTCGGGTAGACAGCCTCCGCCTTGCCGCCCCTTTGTATGAGCAGGCTTCGAGCCTCCGACGCGATATATATATAGGTGCAAAGAAGAGATCTAAGCGAGTATACGGCGACCAAGGAAGAATAAGGAAAGGCAAAGAAAGGGGCCAACTGAAGGCTGGGCCGCAAGGATGTTTTAGGGAGCTGTCCTCTGAAGCAGCAGGAAGCCACAGCACCCCGTACTTGGATTCGACCTGGCCAGAATTATAGTCTCAGTCCCAGGTTCTCTGTTGGGAAATTGACTGGGTCCTCCGCCTCTATACCTACCTACCTGTTAGGTGCCAAGCGTCTTCACCAATACGTCCAGAGCAAGGTAGAGAGGCAGGCGAACACGGCGTCTCTTTCACAGATTCCACATCTGCGGTTGCCTTTTACCACCTTCCCAGGCTCAGAACTAAAAACGCATCAAGAAAGACTGCCACCGTCGTCGAACTCAGCCAAGGGTCTTGCACGAGGAGGTAAATCTAAATGTTGGCGCATCTGAGGCCACCCTGCTGAGGACTGCACATGACACGAGCACCTCTGGCCTGCTTGGCCCCTTGAGTGAGTCTTGGTGAGGTATCTGTAAAATGAATTATACCCGCTACATAGACCTACAGGGTAACTTTCGCCGCTATACGACGAATACGCGGATCAAGTGCGACCGCCCTCGGAAACCCCTCCTCTGCCACCCGTCACCAGCATCGCATGACTTGACCACCATAGTAGAACTATGAAAGTCGCTAACCCGGAACGGATTCACAAACGCCAGGCGTCAGAGGGGATGGGGCGGACGTGTCGATATGGTCGACTTGAGTGTTGCTGACAATCGTCGTCGTGGTGGTGCTGGTCCATCCGTTCGTAAAGATGCCCTCTATCCCTTCGCTCGCGCTCAGCTTTGTCGCGTCGGTGTTGTAGTTCCTCCTCCCGCTCGCGCTCAAGCTCACGTCGTTGTCTGTCTTCTTCTTCTTCTTCTTCTTCTTCTTCTTCTTCTTCTTCTTCTTCTTCTTCTTCTTCTTCTTGTCTTTGCCGATGACTCTCGAGGGCTTCGTGTTCTGCTTGCCGGCGCGCGGTTTGCTCTGCTTCTTGGTGTCTCTGCTGTTGCTGCTGCCATAGCCGCAAGCTTTCCACCTGCAGCGAATCGATTGCTTCTTGAAACTCTGATATTACTTCTAAACGGTTCTGGTCCCGGTAGTCCAAAAGGTGCGTCTCGCATAGGTCATTGGGATGATTGCGAAGTTCCAGCCGAGGCTCCAAACATCCGCTCTCCCCGCAGGCATGGCCAAGCACATCGCAGTAACCTCCTGCGGTGTTTGCCTCCTCTGAGCAGTCTTCTGCTTTACATTCGTGCTCGACACAGAAGCTGGCACCCTCGCTGGCCAGTGGGCGGAAACATGCCCTACTCATGCAGGAATGCCGGTGACAGTATGCATCACTCTTCTGACTGGCGGCAAGGCAGTGTTGGGCCTTGCACTGGTGATGGTCGCAATAGTGTGCTTCAGAGCTGCTTAGATTGCTCACAGAGCTGAGACAATCCTCATGCTGACAGGTGTCTAGGAACAGGCCATCGTCAGCAAAGGATTGACGCACATGGGAGAGAGGCGCAATGTAGACGTACGATCAGGGCAGAAGTTGGATGCACTGCTCTTTGACTTGTTGCAGTCGAATATGCGGCACCTGTGGCCCATACAGTATATCACCCTGCCTTGTACGAAGCTTTCGCAGTCCAATCTCTGGCAGCGGTCATCTATGCCAGTGTCAACCTTTGAAGCTGTTGGTGCTCATTGAGGTACTGTACTCACGCGTGTCGCAGAAGTCGCCAGGCTGCTGGTCCGCAGCCACCGACCTGAAGCGCCCACAGCCGGGTACTGGACAGTCGACGTGCTGACGACACCTCCGAGTATAGAAGCACGCGTTCTTACAGTCGGATATTTCGCAACTATGCTGACTGCAGAGGCGGTCGCGGCCATGCGGGCGGTTGCTGCACTGGGCGACTGCGCACAGCAGGTGGTTTGCACAAACCGGACGCCCGGGGATGCTCTGCCCAGGGCAGCAGGGTACCGCACATCGATCTATGACTGGGTCAGTAACCGGCCAACGGCAATGAAGATGGTATCGTACGTGTCTCACAGAGCCAAGGTCGCCGGGCCAAGTCACTGCTCTCGCATTGGTTTGGGCAGCCCATAGACGCGCATTTCCTGTCTATGTCGCAAACACGTTAGGGCCAGCCATTCCCAGTATCTCAGTTCAGAGGCAAACTCACGATATCGACACAGCTGGTTCTCGGGGTCTTTGGAGTACCTGCAGAACGAAGCTTCCGCGGTGGGGGCTCGGCAGGTGTCTAAGGCGTCCAGTCAGCAAAGGTTCGAAGCGGGTATGATGAACCGTGGGAGCGGCATACGATCTGTACAGTAGGCCAAGTACTCCCGGGCACCTCCTGGGTGAGCCTTGTAGCCGTGCTTGTTGGAACATTGGGGCAACTGGCAGTATCAACTCCCTTTGGGTTCAGGAGTGGGCCATGTCCTGTCGGCTCGTCGGGATGGTGCCATATCGGGAACCGACTGAGCGGAAGGGTGGTCGAGTATTGTCCAGTGGTTGTATTGATGGCCTTGGTGCGGCGAGAGACGATGTCCAGGGCCGGCACGGTAGAGTGGAATATCGGCCTGCAAATCTGGGCGACTAGAGGACTATTTGTGCTGGCTGCTGCTAGACGATCCGACAAGTCGATGAGGTTGTGCGCGTCTTTAGTTGTGCGGAAGTAGAGTGCTGCTCTGCTGCTATGACCTCGAGGCTGGCTTTGACGCTTCCATCAGCCTCTACGCCTCTATGACTTCCTCGTCCCTCCATTCTCCATTCTCCATTCTCCATTCTCCATTCTCCATCCTCCAGGTTTCCCATTGTTCGAAACCGGCATTGGGCTCGCAAGGCAGTGCTGGTATGTTCCACGGCCGGCCGTCTGCACATGGGAGGGCGAGTTTGGGGGCTATGCCCTCCCTTTTGCCCGATTACCAAGAGCAGCCTTGCACACACCCCCTCCAAGCTTTTTCCAAATGCCCGGCCACTGGCTAGTCGAGTCACAAGCTGCCAGCATTGAACTCCAGCTGGAAGAAGCCGTCAAATTGTAGCTGTCTGTGTATCTCTGCGTATTGTCCTTTTGTCCTCGTCACGTTGATAATGATGCGTTGGGCTACCCAAGAGACGACCTGAAGGTGCGAATGCGACCTTACGACTGCACGTGGCTTTTCGGTGAGCTCTGCTGGGGAAGACGAATGGCCGCCACCAAGGGAGACGTCCAACGCGCGGGGGTTCCAGCGAAAATCCCACTTCACAGCAGCCTTAACTTATAACGTCGTACAACCTGCTGACCCCGAACTTCCATTTCCGTCTTGGCCCGTGTAGCTTTTCGGTCAGCCTGTGTTTGTTCGTTTGCCTCGAGCTGCTTTACTCCATGGACGCGTTAATCTGTATTCATCATAAGCCACACTTACACAAACGGTCCGGTATGATGCTAAGCAGTTACGCAGAAGAGCAAGGCAGATTCCGGGACGAGGCGGGTGGGATGGCGAAGCGCGAAGGCCTAAATCGTGACCATGTAGCTCAAATGCTGGGGACATCCGTCTTGGTGAACAACTCGGATGGTTCAATGTTGCTCGCATTACCAGTATGACAGCAATGCCCCTGCCGTTAGCAGTCCATCTGTTGATCACTGTTCGTGGTATCCGCCCCGCGTACACTGAAGAGATAGGATGGCTTGGCTGCTCACATGACATGGCACAACCTTGCAAAAGGCCTCACTGATACATCACACACCCGTAAGTGCTGGGCTCAGCCTCACCCGACTCGGAGACGACATCTTCCCCATACACTCGTGAGTTGTGCAGAAGCCTCCGGGCTCCGGGGTAGAGCAGCGGAACTGTCAGTCGTCAGTCCAACCATGGTCGCATCGACACCTAGGGCCTTGGCAGCACGGCTTTGTCGACAATCTCGCCGTGGATAATACGAACACCTGTCTTTGGGGAATTGTTATTGACAGATGAACTGCTCATCACTTGTTATTAAACAATTCCCTCATAACCTACCAGCCTGCCTGGTAAACTCCCGTCTCTCTCGCGATTTGTCACATGCACGTGTTGAACTTCATGGGAAAGGAAACTAGGTACCTTATGGTGGAGACCTGCCTTGCAGGTGACAGATCGGGACGTGCTCGTCGTTCATCATGACGTGGTGACGCACAGGGACTCGGGAGGAGGACCGCCTGGACGCCCTACCCCGGCCTTGGAACAGAACCGGAGGAAGGAAGGTTCTGCTGCGGGGAGGAGACGGGAGGTGTCACATGACAAGGACCCCGCGGGTCCCACTTATGTAGCTTGGAAGTACACACAGTGTCCGGAGGATCTGACGGATCCATCCTGGACTTAGCTAGAAGAACAACGGAACACACAATCATGACATGAGCCTGACAGGAGGGTTCTTCGCTCATGACGTCAAGAGCCTCCTCGTAGAAACCAGTTAGGTAGAGGTAGACTTCGGGGTAAGACTGCAAAAACAGACACTCGTCTCACCACAACATCCCATCAAACATCAAATCAAGCTCCAACCAAAGCAACAACCTGCTCAACCACACACCAGAACACCAGAACACCAGAACACCAGAACACCAGAACACCAGAACACCAGAACACCAGAAGCTCTCCTCCCACACAACCAACCGCAGACATGCCTCGAGACGGAAGTGGTCGCTCACACAACGCCCCAGAGCTCACCGGCGAGACCGATCATGACATCATCCACGGCGCCGGCAACGAGCCCAAGGTGCGTCGGCGGGCCTGTTGTTCGTCCAGCACCATCGACTGACGTGATGAAAATCTAGGACGACCATGTAGCACGCGCCGACAAGACGGCACCCATGCCCGAGCCCGAGAAAGGACTGGCATTGGAAGGCGTGCCGGCCACCGCAGGACAGAGCCAAGGCCTGGCTGAGGGACCAGACCGAGGTCAAGGCGGAAGAGGGAACAAGTAACGCCATATTTAAAGACGTTGAAGAGGATGTTAAAATGTTGGGCACTCGATTATTGTCATATCTAGATATTATCGCCCCAAACTCTCATCATCAGATCTCAACATCGGTGATCACATCAGTCTTCACATCAAAAGTGTGTTCTTGTTAGCCCCATCTGGCAGTGCAGCCCTCAGTATGAGCCCAGGGTGGACCCGGCCCTCGACACCATCGTTCCAGCCGGCCTGATACGGCAGCTGATTGATGGTAAAGTAGATGTAGCCATCGAACCCCACGTTGGCGCTGTCCGGCCAGATAATCCGGGGGTCCCGCACGTACGGACTTGTCGAGTGCGTCGTGTAGCTGAGAGAGAGACTGTCAGCATCCTACTACCGGTCGTGAGATGGGGAACGGTATCGCCTACTTGTAGATGTAGATAGCATTCTGCTCGGGCATCAGCATGTAAACGTTACCCAGGTTGTCGCCAGAAAACCCGTTGGCATTCCCACCACGCTCGCCGAGCTTCTTCACATTGTCGAATGCGACTTTATCCGCGAGGGGATCCGTGGAGGGGTTGACGCGCAAGTACTTGGTCTCGATGGAATAGAGAAAGTCTGTGGTAAGCGCCGAATAGTACATAACCTGGGTCGCATCAGTTACACATCGTACACGCAAGCCGCCGTCAGGTGTGCCATACCTCGCCATATTGGTCCAGCTCGGCACCGTCGAGACCTTCCGGCTGGAAACCGAGGGGGTGTCCCTTTTGACGTAGGTAAAACGGCAACCCCTGGTAGCTCGGCACAGCTTCGAAGACGGCCTGGGTACTCGGGTGTTGATTCAGCTGTCTCCAGCTCTCCCCCGTGCCGAGGTCAATCATGATGAACCCCGTCCGCCCTTCATTGGAGCTATCCACAATGTAGGCAATGCCGCCTCCCGACTCGGTAGCATTGGGCCGGAGGTCAAACCGCAAGTCATTCATGTAAGAGTCTGGGAAGTGCACTGTCGGTGGCAGGGTGTACGTCTTGCTGATGGTGTTGTCATCCAGGTTGATGGCAATCAGCTTGGGCCCTCCCGGAGCAGCGTACGGCATGCTAACCCTCTCCGATTCGTTGATGGTCGGGCGCCCGGTGTCGAGGACCCAGAGCGTGTCGTCGGGCGTGACATAGAGAGCCTGCACACTGATGAAATGGGTTTGGTCGTTGCTTCCAAAGGTAACGCCATCGCTGATGTTATAAAGACCACCAGGCGGTGTGTTGAGGTCCAGGTTCGGGTACGCTGCCTCGGCCGTATCGTTGATGACCTCTCCGAGCGTGTATGCGTAGGTTCCTCGCGTGTAGCAAGTGAAGACTCGGCCCGTTCTCGAGACGGCCAGTCCGATGGGCCATTGATCGTAGAAATAGTGGTATTCTTCCACGGGCGGCCCATACGTTCCTGTGTCGAAGCGCACATTTCGTGGACCAGCTGTTGCAAACGTGCTGTTGAGATCAACAGGGAAGTTGGTTTGCGCCGTGCTACCCAAGCTGAGGCAACCAGCCACGAGGAGCAGATGAGACCGCATTTTTGATACCGAGGGGATCTCAGGTCAGCTGCAGGAGAATCAAAATGAAGCTTTTCACATCTCATGGACTCACAGGCAGCGGCGCTTCACATTATATACATACCTACACGGCGTTCAAGTGCCGAGCATTCCCGCGGTACGGACCAGCTGGCGTGAGCCAGTGAGCCAGTGGCCCGAGACATACATGACCGATCTCATGGCAAGGCGTGGTACCTGCATGAATATGAGCTCATGAATCTTGGGGTAATGATGCCTAGACTACCTCCTAGAGTAGAGGCGGTGCGGGGAAAAGAAGTCTTCGTGTTATGTTTTAGGGAGCACGCGTAGATTTGTTGAGTGCGTGCATGTGACGAACCTCCCTATTCCCTGAGCATTTTCCACTCATCTCAAAGGCGAGGTAAATAGAGCGTTATTCGATGCATGCTACTCTGGACCTCGGACACACATGACCGGCATGGGCGTCGGCCGATTCGAGAGCTCTCTTCACCATTCACGAGCAGGTGCTGGTTGTTCTCCTGCTTGTAAGGCAGCTAGCCCATATAGGGCACTCCTGAACGCCGTCGAGGAAGGGCGGGCAATCGAAACTTCCGTAGCCCTTCACCACGCTCATCTCCTGGACTTCCCGGGACCAGCACGGGAGGCAATAACACGCCTCACGTCGATGACGGCCGTCTACTGTAGTCTTTTCGACCCATATGTACCTACTCCACAACGATTGCGGCATCGCCTTGTGACAGTCTGGTATGTCTTGTGACAGGCTGGTTCGTCTTTTCCGTACATGTCGTTTCCGCCACCCTCGAGTGAAGGTTTCATGTATCTCTTTGCAGTGTCCCCATCACTGGCGAGCCGGCGGGCATGCGTCTCATGACTCTCATTGGCCGACATATCCAAGGGATATATCGGCATAAACATCTTACGAAGTAGTTCGGCGTTCTGAAGAGAAGCAAAGCGCCAGTGCGCCCGGGTTGGTCAACCCTTGCTGGAGCTTCTTAGCCCGGATATTCGGAGAGGATGGTGGAACATTCGATAGCTCTCGATATCTCGAGCAAGCACCTAGCTCTAATTCCCGCGGGTCGTATCCGCGGGCACCGTACCCTGCGTTGATAGACGACAGATACCTCGACGGTGTCTCTTTCAAGGGATGGTTGACATAGGAGTTCACGATTTGGGCCGAGACTGCACCGAGACGTCACGGCATGGCTGAACTCGACTCTGCACAGAACGACGAAGGGTCGCGCCGGCGCATGAGTAGCTGTTGAACGCAACCTGCTTGAGCCAAATACTCCCAACAACACGGGCCGTGTTTCCCTCTGTAGCGACTTGTCTGTCCACGGTCTCGTTGCCCCGGGTGCTGTGAAGCATACAGTCACTTCTAAGAACGCCGCAGCGCAGTGGTGCACCTCGCCCTCGTCCCCGAACCGCATCCAGATCCCCCATAGTTTGGCCACGAAGCGATCGCTCTCTGCCAGCTCGGGGATGATGTGTGTCGTCAGCGATATCCGCGTAAAGCTCGTAGAATAGAGTCTGTGTCTCGAGGGCATGCTTGACCAGAGTCGTCATCGGATCCTGGGGACGGCATTAAAAGTTCTTTATGAAGGAACTCATCCATAGGGAAGGAAACCCCTCTTTTGAGAACTCTGATCTGCATCATTATTAATAGACTCTTCTACCTGGAGGACTGAGGCAAAAAGTTCGCACCATTGGTGTACGTCAGCATATCTACCTAGGCATATACCTCCTAACGTGGTGTTGTTTCTTGCCAGCGCATGGGAGCAGACACACGTATAAGCCGAAGACCCAAACTCTGTAAGTGAGATCCAGATTCTACTGACTCCTACATCAAATCACAGAACACACCAAAACACATTATCGACTCGACGACCCTACATTTGACCACGTATACTCTCGCAAGTCCCGGCGCCAACTATACCAACCATCGCTTACAGCATCCCTGCGACCCATCAACATCATCACCGCCATCATCATGAAATCCACTGCACTTATCAACGCCCTCGCCATCGGGATATCGTTCTCCGGCTCCGCCCTAGGCGCCGTCGCCGCCACCGACGACGACGACGACGACGGAGGGGTAATGCGGCGCGAGCAATCGTATGAAGATTGTGTCAAAACAATGGATGAAAGAGAATCCTGAGGATAAGTATCATTGTCCGAGTAGGTGCTTTGAGTTAAGCCACGGGGATGATTCAGAGTAGAGGCAGAATCTAAATTAGCCAGGTATCCTGCGCAGCTGGACTGTGTTGCAATAGGCGAGGCGGCGTCACCTGGGAGGCTCGTTATACACATGTATAGAGTTAATATGACAGCTTAACACAACATGTAACCTCAGATGAGCACATGAGAAGTGGCCGCAGTTCGTACGTAGGATTCGGCCGGCAGGCGGACGGACAGACAGCCAGCATGATCTTACTGCACTTGACACGATTACCAAGCCGGCGTATCGGACTTCGGGGTTCAACAACCCTCCACCTCAAGGCAACTAGACCTTCTAACCCGTAGTGTTGCTTGCTAATCAGAAACTAATTGTACATTGATTCTCGCCGTGTGTGCCCCTTACCCTGGCGTTGCGCCATATGACCCCCGCATTGTCATAGGTAGCCGGCATCGTAGCAGTCGTATTATAAACCAGACCGTGCCACATGCCCTGTATAAAGCAAGGTCATGCCCGTTTGAGGAAGAGGGAAGATTCTTGGGAGCATCTCGATGTCCACGATACTGCACTTGCTACTGATATCCAAGTTGAACCAGCTCTCTGACGAACCATGGCGGCTGCTACTCCCAAGTTGAAGCTCTTCACCAACCACATGTGCCCATGTACGCACACACCAACGGGGACACTCTGCTGAGCACAGTACTGACAACACTCATAGGGGCGCACCGAGCTCACATTGCTCTCGCCGAGCTGAGGGTCCCATTTGAGGAGGAGATCATAGACCTGTCCAAACCCCGGACCGCCGAGTATCTCAAGATCAACCCTCGCGGCCTGGTGCCGTCGCTTGCAGTCAACGATGACATCATCACCGAGTCTGCCATCGTCACATCCTATCTCGCCGACGCATTCCCCTCGCACTTGGCTCCGGCCTCGACCGACCTGAATGGCCCCCTCGCGCGGGCAAGGATGAGCTTTTTTGCCGACACCTGGACTTCCAAGGTGAACGGGCACGTGTTCAAGATCACGGCGGCCCAGACCGATGCCCAGAAGGCGACGGCCGGCAAGGACATCGTCGACGCTGTCGTGAAGGAGCTGGAGCCGCTGCTGGCCAACGCTGCGCCCTTTTTCAACGGCAGCGACAAGCTCACGCTCGCCGAGGTAGGTACCGCCTACGCCCTGACAGGCCCATGTTGGCATCATCGCTGATCAAACACTATAGGCCCTGACTGGATCCTTCATCGTGCGTCTTTTCACCTTCCCGAAATACGGGCTCATACCTCGAAGCGTTCTCGATGAGCTGTCGATCAAGGCGCCCAACTTCTACCGATGGGGTGAGGCTGTGTCGAAGCATCCTAGCGTGACGGGCATCTTTGACGAGGCAGTGATTGCCGAGCGGACCAAGCAGAGATTTGCCGCTACGAAGTAGCATGCCCTGAGCCTTCGGGGTCGTGACTATATATACACTCTTCGGAGCACGGATTCCTGCGGTAGGCCATGCCAGTAGGATATCTGTTGGGAGGAATTTACTCGATTTTGAATTTACTTGATATCCCCCTTGCTCAAGAATCAAGCCAAATATGTCAAATCCAGGATTCTGAGAAACGATATGTACCGGATGGCAGTCTGTATGGTCGGCTAAGCATTTATGACTGTCGCGGCATCTATACTTCGCCCCAAGTGCTCTTAGAGTTCCGCACCTACCGGAACACCTTCAGTCGTGTGACATGTTCATGCTTCACGGAATGTAAGCCAAGACAACCAAACCCGTCCGTGGCAGCGATCAAGTTCGCACGGCAGATTGCGCAGTGCGAGCCGCTCGCAACTGCGTGGGTTTCGGAGTATGAGCCGGGTCTGGACAGGGTCAGTACTGGCGACGAGTGGAGAGAGTATGTGAAAGCAGGCCGCGTCGACCATCTCCCACCCTGTCAGTTCATGGGCAATGTTACCGAGGGGGATGGTCGTCGACGCGAGCATCATGCCAGTATGTACAGCCTTCGGCACACCTCCAGACGGCAGTCTACGGCATTGCCGAGATGGCGGCGGGCAAAGGTGACCCGAACCTCCAAGACACGCTTGTGAACCATCACAAGTCAAATGGCACTGGGGTGACTGGGAAAAGGGGAGGGAGGTGGAGACATGCTTGGATTGAATATGTATTAAGTAAACAGATATGTACTTATCCAGGTGGTTAAGTTGTGCCTTGTGGTAGCGGTATCCAGAATAAGGACCAGGGTCACGAATGGTGGCTATTGGTCTGTATTCTGGAAGTTGCTTGATTGGACGAAAGAAAAGGGGGAAACTATTAGCTAGTAAGTAGCTATCATCCCAGCTGGGTACGAATCTGGTACATACGGGTACCCGTTGGGCTCCAAGGTACCTTGTATCCTGGTCCGTGACCCATCCGTCATTGTGGCTGGAAAATGGGTTGAGGAGCCACAAAGTGGCTAACTGCCCCTCCATCGTGTGGCTGTGCTGTGTGATCAGTGCCCCTCCATTTCGAGATACTGCCCATGGACAACAGATTCCCTTCCCTTTCTGAGTCATCCCCGGTGTCGCTCTTTATTTACCTACTCTCGCACTCCCGACCGAGAACGACCGCGGACACCCGGTTGCTTTCCCAGATCCCTTGCAACCGTCGTCATTTCAAAGACGAGTCTACCGCAGAGTGCGCGCCGCTGCCACCTGCCACCTGCCACCATGGCCGACGCGATCACCGAGGGCGCAGCCAAGCTGGTGCTTGACCATGTGACGGGTGAGATGGTCTCCAAGAACGAGCTGAAGAAGCGCTCCCAGAAGCGCGCGAAGAAGGCTGCTACCGAGAAGGCCAAAGCTGCCGCTCACGCTCCCGCCCAGCCCAAGCAGACCGCCCCCAAACCCAAGACGAAGCTCGAAGAACCTACCCTCGACCCCGAAGCCATGTTCAAGGTCGGCTTCCTCGACGACGTGAGTTGATCTCCCGCAACCCGCTTGGCCCATTCACTGCTGATGGTGAATGATACCTCTAGGTACACAAAGAGCGGCCGGTAAAGCCCGTCGTCACGCGATTCCCCCCCGAACCGGTGAGACCTCTCCTATCCCCAGACACCAGCGGCGATTGATGGCCAAGGCAGAATGGTTTCCTCCACATTGGCCACGCCAAAGCAATCACCGTCAACTTCGGCTTTGCCAAGTACCACGGTGGCATTACCTACCTGCGCTACGACGATACCAACCCGGAGGCCGAAGAGGAGAAGTACTTTGTTGCTATCGAGCAGATGGTACGGTGGCTCGGTTTCAGCCCCTATAAGATCACCTACAGCTCCGACAACTTCGACAAGCTCTACGAGCTGGCCGAGAAGCTCATCGGCCTGGAGAAGGCCTACGTGTGTCACTGCAATGGTTCGTCATAAAAGGAAGCTGCCCGTCGAGTGAGAGTACGTGGCGTGTCTGCTTATGCGCTCTGCCAACAGATGAAGAGATCAAGAAACAGCGTGGCGGCGAGAGCCATGGCCCGCGATTCCGATGTGCCCACGCCGAGCAGAGTGTCGACACGAACCTGGCCGAGTTCAGGGGAATGCGGGACGGCAAATACAAGCCCAGGGAGGCCTTCCTGCGCATGAAGCAGGACATCGAAGACGGCAACCCCCAGATGTGGGACCTGGCTGCGTACCGAGTCCTCGAGAAGCCCCATCATCGCACCCACTCAAAATGGCGCATCTATCCGACCTATGATTTCACCCACTGCTTGTGTGATAGCTTCGAGAACATCACACATTCACTCTGTACCACCGAGTTCGTACAGAGCCGCGTGAGCTACGAGTGGCTCAACAAGACCCTGGGCGTTTACGAGCCCATGCAGCGGGAATATGGTCGTTTGAGTATCACCGGTACCGTCCTTTCCAAGCGGAAGATTATGAAACTCGTCAACGACAAGCATGTCCGAGGCTGGGATGACCCAAGACTGGTATGTCACCGTCTGCAATTCTTCTGATGTTGTACGTGCTCACACAAGCGCCTTTAAGTACACCCTGAGCGCCATCAAGCGACGTGGTGTGCCTCCGGGCGCAATCCTGGAGTTTATTTCCGAACTGGGCGTCACCACTGCGCCATCGGTCATCCAACTTGCACGGGTAAGCATGCTCTTGACTGACTCATAACCCGTCTGGCTACCATGAGGGCCTCCTTTGACCCCTTCGTTCTGTTCACGAGCAGCTGTCTCGAGGTTTTCGCCTGTATAACCCCGAGTAAATCATACTATACCGGCACGTACTGACACAGGGGTGTAGTTCGACCAGTCTATCCGAAGATATCTTGAACGGACTGTACCAAGGCTGATGCTTGTTCTTGATCCAATCCCTGTGGTGATAGATGGTGCCGAGGAACTCGAGGTTGACGTGCCATTTTCTCCCAAGGTACCCGCTATGGGCTCCCACGAGGTCCGATTTACAACGACAGTCTACATCGACCGCTCCGATTTCCGCGAGGTGGACAGCAAGGAGTACTTTCGTCTGGCGCCCAACAAGACTGTCGGTCTGCTCCAGGTTCCCCATCCTATCAAGGCTGTGTCCTTCAGCAAGGACGAGGCCACAGGCAAGGTCACCGAGGTTCGCGCCGTGTTTGATAAAGAGACCAAGAAGCCAAAGACTTACATCCAATGGGTTCCGTCTGGTTCCCGTGAAGTCCAAGTACGGATACATAATTCACTTTTCAAATCAGAAAAGCCCGACGACGCCGAGGGAGGTTTTCTGAGGGACCTGAGTCCCGAAAGTGAAATCATCTACCCCAGAGCCATGATCGAGTCGGGATTCGACGAGGTAAAGGCTCGTGCGCCATGGCCTGAAGCTGCGGGTGAGAGCGAGCTCGGCAAGGGTGGTGTCGAGAGCATACGCTTCCAGGCCATGCGAGTTGCATATTTCGTAAGTCACTGCTATGTTCGGTGCCCAAGCCGGTCTTTCGGTCCCGCCGTCTCCAAGAATCGGACTTTTGGTCTCTGCTTGTGTAGGTGCTAATTTTGAAACCTGCAGACAGTGGATCCCGATAGCACGGACGAAAAGGTGGTGCTCAACAGGATCGTTTCGTTGAAGGAGGATGCTGGTAAGAGCTAAAGCCTGGGTTGATGGCCATTTTCGGAGTCTCCGAGGTGCGCCGTTAATTACCCAAGGGTAGAGACAAACCCCGTATATGTTGTGTTGGCTGGCTTTGAAGACCTACCAACATGACATGTACACCCCCAATACAAGAGACGACTCCATCGCCTCGATGCTTGAGGGCTAGTGGGCTTCTAAAGTACGTTCTGCCTTCTGAAGAAGATTCGATGCTTTCAGTATCTCGTGACCTTGTGTTGGCGCGTGTTTTCCATGCTCTGGATCGGGTGCAGTCTGTATGACAGGCACTATGACTATCCGTCGTCGTGAATCGCAAGCTCGACATTCTTGACGGGGTGATGCGCATCGGAGCGCATGTCGACGACCCGCAGGCCGGAGCCAAAGTTGACCTCGTGTGGTGGCCCATCAACCACATACTGGTCGTGATCGACCGACTCGCCCTACCAGTCAACGTCGCCGCAAAACCCCGGGTAAGTCGCATTGTGTCCTCTGTGACTCCGGCTGAAGATCATAGAGGCCACCTGAAGCTGAAGCGGTCGATATATCAAGATCATGAGACCAACGCCGTCCACATGCCCGTCACTACGAAGCACGCCTGGGGGTTTGGGGGCTCCACAGCGCGCGCACATGGGGATGAGTGGAATGGAGCGGTCCCACGAATCGAGCGAGTCTGGCTGTTTCACACACCGCAAAGGTGAGCTGGCCCACGCGGCCATCATGGCAAGTGCTATTTTGGCGAGCGCCGCGGATCTGCACTGGCGACATGGTCGGTTGATTGGCGACTGTGCCGTAGTCCTCCACTTGTCATATACCATCCATTTCGGCTATGATACTTCCTCTCGGTCGCCGAGGCGAGTCTCCGATGCTGCGCTTTGCTTATGAGCTTTTGCCGTGGCCTGGTAGCACTCGAGGGACTTCGGAAGTGTGTCAAGATAGCAATTTTCATGTCTACCTGGACACGTCCATTCTATCTGCATTCCTGACCAAGGGGCTTCGCAGGCCAAGTGGCCCTGGCCGAGCGAATACTAGTTGTTCACAACATTAAGACTGGACGTTCTGCACTGTCTTTGGGGATTACTGGGTGAGCCGTCCTACAGGCCGGGTCGACCACGATACTTGGTCTGGATTGCCGTCCATTCCGGACTCCGGAGTCTCCCAAGAAAAGAGTGCATGTAGATCTGGAGCTACATCTCCACCCGTTGTGCTAGCCAGTGCTATGTATAGCACGGGGTCCTCAACGGAACAGGATGCACTAATAATTGGGGGCGATCCTGCAATGGACGATACCCTGCGCCGTTTCCAAACTCACGGCGTCTGCAAGGATAGCGCGCGTCAGACACCTCCAGCCCGCAGCCGTTTTACGTCACTTGTCACCACCTACGCTGTCCTCTGCCCTCTATGGAAATCTGGGTTTCCACTTGATGTTTTGGGATACCATCCCTCACCAGGAAGCACACAATTACAACCTCTCGCAAGTAGATATGGAGTGTCCGTCAACCTTGTGTCAAGCATGTCTTACTTTCAGGTACGCCGTCCAGCAGCTTAGGACAAGGGTGTTCCTCAAGGGGGAGATATGTTGAACCTTTTGACTGAAGTATCCAACTCTACTTTGACTAAAATACGCAACTATACATTCGAAGTAAACCTCTCGCATTACATATCCGTATGCCCTTGTCAAGACCGAGGAGTGATATTCTACCCAGAGACGAAGCATGTGGAGGGGAGTACCTTGCTCCTATTGGGGATCATGCTTCCTTGAGCGGGTGGTTTACATTCGCCAGCGATCACGGCTTCAGGAGAGGGTGTGCTCTCGGAAGAAGGCCATGATCATCGTGCTCGCGTTGAAGGCTGCCAGCCCGGTTCCACCGTTGTCCGAGTTCTCGGTGGTCGACGGCCAGTCATGGCCGATATCATCCCCGTCGTACACCAGTGTGACCAGTCCGTCCCCGAAACTCATCACCACGCCGTTGTCCGAACCCGAGATGGAGGTGTTCGCCGGCGTCTCGTCGAGGTCATCCCGAGCCGCCCATTGCTGAATCCAGTTGGGGATCGCAGGGAGACACGAGCCGCTCCGAAAGGCTCCATAGTACGCGATGGTGGTGTCGTCGCCGCCGTGGAATGCCATGATGGGGACGTCGGCGCGACCGGCCTCGCAGGGCACTTGGACTGTCTCCGGCTTGGTCTCGGACTTTTCATCTATCGATCCAATGTAGTACGCGCCAGAGACAGGGGCGAAGGCAGCAATACGCTTCGACATGTCCGCGTCGCAAGCAAGCCGGCCAACGAAGCCACCGCCCTGCGACTTTCCCGTAGCGTAGATGCGGCTGGTATCGATGCAGTAGCCAGCGGTCATGGCGTCGAGAACGTCGCTCGTGAATCCGACGTCATCCTCATCGTTGCCTGGCGCCCCTTCCCACGTCGTGTGGTTTGGTTCATCGGGGTCATCCTGTCGATAGTGAGCAACTCAGCACTGAATGCGTTTCTTTTCGCTGGTCAAACGCGTCTAGGGGGTCACTCACGGCCTTCCCTTGCAAGTAGACGACAATGTGATCGGTATTGAACTCCGAGTGGGTCAATTTGTCGAGGGCCGCTTGCGAGTCGATGGTTCCATCGGCGCCATGGTAGCTCACGATCAGCGGTGTCGCCGCAGTCTGATCATAGTCATCGGGCAACCACACTCCGTATTCGCGGCCGGCGGTGGTGTTGAATTTTGAGAGCTCTCCCAGAGTAGCTGTCGGGGACTGCCCACAGCCAGCTGCTGAGCGCTGCCGAAGAGTGTGTGCTGCTCCGAAGGAGCTGATCCCCAACAGGGGGGCGACGAGGTTGCGGTGCATTTTCGCCTTTCTTTGAAATCGAGATAGGCCATCCCAGCACTACCAGCCTATCCAAGGCCGTCGGTGACTTTATATAAACCACAATCAACGTGGCTCTGACCTGTTCATCGGCTATTGCGGCATTGAGAGCGCAGGAGGATCGAATGCTTCTCGTGGCAGGAAGACATGTAGGGGTGAAATGTGGTCCCTTGCCAGTGCAGTGGGCCAGAAGGAATGATGACCTGAGAACTGTGCCTCATGGTGTTGCTAGGTCAGTGGACAGGCTCATCTCCATATATCCTAATAACTCAAGCTTCCAGGCCTGGCGATACAGTAAGCATGGTTCCAGGGTCTTGGGTGGTGGACAATAATAGATGTCCACAGCAGACGCGGCCACCGAGCCGCTCTTGTGGAGTCGGGTCGCATATCCTATGAACAGGAGACAGCCATGCACCTAGAAAACCGGACATACGTACAGGCCGCAGCAATGTAAGTAGTAGCGCGGCCGCCTTGTACAGGTAGAAAGTACACTCCCCGCCAGATTCTGGGGGAATATGTTTCGTTTCATAAGATGTAACCAGAGGATCCTCGAGAATGGCTGGGATATGTCTCATAACCCTAAAGATATCATTGCATGGAAATTAATAGGGGAACTTCTTAGCAAGCCCCCCTAGCCTAGCGTTCATCAACGACTTTTTATATATAGCTAGCGCAAGCGATCGTCATCCCGTGCACCATGTCTACCTAGTCAGTTCATACTAGACATGACAGGGCTGCTGCCGGCGGCTTGCAACAAGGAATGGGCAGATGGGCAAAACAATCTCCCGGTTCTTGCCGCTCTTCCACTCCTCGTCCGGGATTCCGCCAGCTGGTGCATGTGGCTCGCTCCACAAGCTTATTTAATCCGGGGGTATCGCTGAGGTACGCTGGCGACATGGTCATGAGAAACCATACCACGAGTAGATTCAGATTCGGACACTGCTCCTTCCGAGGGTAGTCACATTGTAATCTAACACCGATTTTCGAAACACAATGTAACATCTAGCGACGTTATATACGATGAGGATTTGCACATATATTCTACAGCAAGATATGCCTGCTAGTCTCGGCTGAGTTATCAGCAAATAGGCGAGTGAAAGTGAGAGAGATCTGATTCTGAACAGCAAGGGTTCCAATTAGTGTCCTTTTCAGAGTCACCAGGGGACATGGGGGTCTTTCAAGATGCTCGGGGCAGCAAGACTTGTGTGGCACCAGGCATAGGTTTAGTAATGCATACTGACCCCTATGGCTTCCTAGGTCGTGGGTCACTGTAGTACCTCTCCCTGTCACTTGAACCTACAACTGTATCGAAAAGCTCCCGTCCTCCTGCTCATATTCCTTGATACCGAATCTCGGCGACTCCATGAAGGACCGGAAGCAGCCCGTCTGAAAAGTCTCGAAGGTTTTGGTGAACCTGCCGAGCTGAGTCTGAATGTCTTTGTCGTAGTTCCTCCCCTTAGCACGGAGAGATGTTGCTGCTGCATCAAATCTCTCTGCGGATGCCCACATCTGCCCCTTAAGCTCGTGTACCATTTCTTTCTTGAGCGAGTACAGGTCGTTGCAGCTTTTCGTTTATTAGTTGGCGTGAATCACCATATGTGGCGCGACGGAAACTCACATAATCGGCTGCGTGCTGGCTTCTAGACGCATTGTTTTGACCTCGCTGCACCAAGCAAGCTCTTCCGGTCAGATGGTGCTGGTGGCATGCTGGTGCAATGTGCAGTAGACAAAAACGGCACCGACGCCGTGGCGGTAGGCCCAGTACTCGTCAATGCTTGGGGTTTTGCCAGAGAGCCGGAACATTTGCTCTTCCCCGTTGGTCTCGATGAACTCTGTAACGTCACAATCCAGCCTCTGGATGCTTATCTGGCCCGCGGGAGCCGCCTTGACCCTGGGGGCGAGGTCTGCGAAGGCGCTGAATTCTCGCGGTGCAGGTGGTCCATCGTCTTTGTTGTTCTCGGAACTGCTCTCAGTGCCCAGCGCATGCCGCATAAATCTTATAGAGTCTTTTCTCAGCTTGGTGGCAGAGTCGAAGTCAGACGCGTAATCGGGCATATCGGAAGCATTATCCGCGTCCATCTTCTTGTCGATCGTGTCGTCGAACACAAACATGCTCAAGGACAGCAACGCCATCGTCTTCAGCTGCTCCCATTTGGCGTTAGGATACATCCTACAGCATCATTAGCATTCTACACTATAGGATAGAGAGGTGATAGAGGTAGAAGGGAGATGCTGGTCCATGGGACGGCTTACAGGGCGGTCAAGTATGCTATATCACTTATCTTCGTTTTGCGTTGAGCTTTCTCGTCCATGATATGCTTCTCGATGTTTTCTTGAACGAACACAGCCAGTTCACCACGCATTGGGTTGACCCCTGATTCCCACTTGGCGTAGATCGGTCCAAGATCTGGGATTTCGAGTTTGCTACATCCCCCCCATAGCAGTCGGCCACCCCCACTAGTCGGCCAGCCAAACCCCACCATCACCACCAAAACTCCCACATGTTCACTTATACAGATTCAGCCTGATATTGAAGTTATTCACGATGTATTTAGTGCTCTAGATAGCCCTGATCTTGAGGTTTTCCCCAATGCTAAATTCACCTCTCCCGACTTATATGATTAAGGAACTATTACCCCGCTTTTGGTACCCCAAATAGAGATTTTCACGGCTCTCCTCAAGCCTCGTTCCGTATGCACCGCAATATCGTATAGTCGCCCAAAATGCCTCCCTGTTCGTATACGGAGGATCAGATGGCTTCGGCCATCTTAAATATCACAGATGAGGGCCTATCTGTGCGAAAAGCCGGTCAAAAACACGGTATTCTGCACCAAACACTGTCTGATCGACTCAACAGCAAGGCTACCAGAACCGAAGCCCACACACAGCAATAGAGACTATCCCCTGTCCAGGAAAAGACTATAGTCAAGTGGATTTTATTACAAGCAAAGCTCGGCCTAGCCCCTTCGCACTCCCTAGTTCGTGAGATCGTCAAGAAGCTGTTGAAGAAGAAGGGAAATGAGTGCGCCCTAGGAGATACCTTTATGACAGCCTTTAAGCGCCGCAACCCCGAAATCAAGACAAAAGTCGGCAAAAGGATGGAAGCAGCACGCTTCAAGGGGTTCACGCCCAAGTCAGTTAACTGGTTCTTTAAAATTCTTGAAGATTACGGCTGGGTGAAGCCAAAGAACACCTATAACGTCGATAAGGGCGGCATTGTGGTGGGTTTTGGTAGCTAAATCTACCCCTTTAATTCTGGAAAAAATATAATTAGATTCACAGGCATCGATTTCCCAGTTCTGGGTAGTTCTGCTACCAAGAAAGCCTTCCTAAAGAGCCCACAGAGCCGTAGCTGGACCTCCTTCATTAAGATCATATCAATAACTGGAAAAATTCTCAAACCAGGTATTATCTTCAAAGGGAAAGACCTCCAAGTATAGTGGTTCATTAACGAGTTTCAAAAGACCGCAAATTGGCACTATATATGCTCAGAGAACGGCTGGACTTCGAATGTTATAGCTTGCAAATGGCTGGAGGATGTTTTCTTCCCACAGACAGACAAAGAACAAGGAGGAGACCAATCTGAGGCTATCCTATTGATACTGGATGGCCATAAGAACCATATCTCCGTATGTATACGATTTTTCCTTATTTTAAATAGACTTCCTTTAATTATTCCTGATTTAATATGGTCTAACGCGTGTTAATAGGACGAATTCATGACTATATGTTTTCTTAATAACATATTGCTCTGTTTCTTTCCTGTGCATACTAGTCAAGGCATGCAACCCTGGATAACGGTCCCTATAATGCCCTGAAGGCATACTACTAGAAATTACTCTCTGAGCTGAATTCCTTGACGGATGCCTCGCCTGTTGACAAGATCAACTTTATCCGGTGCTATAGCAAGGCCACAACTGCTGCCTTCACGAAACAAAACATCCTCTCTGGCTTCAAAGTCACTGGATATTATCCTATCAGCCTCAAGAAGTGCTTAAAGCACCCAGAGATACAAGAAGACAAGAGGAAGACCCCTGAGCTTAATACTCCTGAAAGCTCTGAACCAGAAGACTAGCGGACGCCTACTACAAACCGCCAGATCATGGATTTCGGTAAAAAAAGATAACGAACACGTTCGAGGCTAAGGAGACCGAGCTTGTGATCAAGGATAGGAAGATCAAGGCTCTGAAGGCTGAACTGGAGCGGGCACAGCCTAAGAAGCGGAAGAAGGTCCCTAATCCTAACAAGAAATTCAGAACAGTCACGCAGATACTAACTACGGGTGTTACTATCACCCCTGGTGCCCTTGCGGGTGAAACAGAAGTTGTAGTTGTGGATTCAGAGGATTCAGAGAACGAAGACGAAGACTCGGCTGAAGAGGAGGTTTTCGAGGCCGTACAGGAGCCTAGGCACACCCGTTCGGGGCGAGCCATTCGGGCGCCCGCACGATTGTACGAGTAAAAAGCTTCAGCACTTTCAAATGATAATATTGCCATAAATCTTTGATCTGAATAGCTTCATTCATGGGTGGGTGAATAAGGGGGTGTTTTGGTGGTGACCCCACAATTTGGCTGGCCGACTAGTGGCCGACTTCTATGGGGGGATGGTACCGCGCAAGCTCATCAGAGCTGAAACACCCTTGTGCCTTGTGGTAGCGGTATCCAGAATAAGGACCAGGGTCACGAATGGTGGCTATTGGTCTGTATTCTGGAAGTTGCTTGATTGGACGAAAGAAAAGGGGGAAACTATTAGCTAGTAAGTAGCTATCATCCCAGCTGGGTACGAATCTGGTACATACGGGTACCCGTTGGGCTCCAAGGTACCTTGTATCCTGGTCCGTGACCCATCCGTCATTGTGGCTGGAAAATGGGTTGAGGAGCCACACCCTCGTCAAGGCCAATGCTTCCCTTGATAGTCGTGCTATGCTGGAAAGGAGGGAGAGTTTGTGCATATGGTTGGCGAAGTTGGTGCCAGATGAACTGCAAAGGCAGCCGAAGTAGAAAACGAGGGCTTTTTGTATCTTCCATACGAACACGGAGGTGGTGGAGCACGAATAGCACTGACCCCTTTGTCCCTACAGTGGACATGCGCCTTACGGCAAAGTCATCGATTTGACGACTGTCAGGTTTATACCGCTAATCGACCCGCCACCGCCTTTCTGGAAGAAGAATAAGATGTTTGATTCTGCTTGAATGATTAGCAAGTGATCGAGCTAACTTACCAGGTTTGCTTTGCTGTGCGAATCTCGGACCACAGCTGGGACACAGCTTTCACACCGCTATTGAGTCTATTGTGTTACATCCAACCAGAGACGGAGTCAAGTGGAAACAGAGAACTCACACCGCCGCCATCTCCATTACTATTGTCGGCTCCAATTCAGTCTGAACAACCTGGCATTAAGTCGGCCCAGAACTTAACTCCAAAGCCGGCCAGCCCAAGCCCGGCCTCATGATGCTGTGATGAATGATATATTAGCCACGAAAAAGGACCGCGCCTCTGCAAGTACTGACCAACTCAGGGGGCGTGGATATAAGTCATTGGGAAGAATTTCTTACGGTGGAAGCGGCGGAGGCGCCCTCGGGCTCGTGGCAAACAATGAACCTGGACTCGGTGCTGCACGAGCCGTCATCGGAAGTCCACAGATTCGTGTGTTTCGAACCGTCGACAGTCCAAGCACGACCAAACGGTAGTTGGCGTGACAAACTTTCTGCAGCCATTTTCGCAGCTGATGCTCTGTCCGCCTTGGAAAATGACAAGCCGGGGCGTTGGTGACAGGACTGCGCGAAGGTCATCGGGAGGGCTTCCAGGGAGAGGCCGCAGTACTTTGAATTGGTTCTCAAAGCTGTCCCAAAGATTAACGCAGCGGAATAAATACGACGAGGGCGGATCTATCGAACGACGGTCCACTTTCGGTGGTGACTGTTGAACCTATAAGTTACGAGCCACGTCTCGTTCCGTGGCGTTCGTTGACCTCGGTAGGAGAAACAGGGCTTAGGTGGAACACTCACAGTATTCGTCCAACATAGAAGAAGCATCTGGACATGCTAATAGGACAATAAAGGACGCCTGGTCGGATATGTCTTTTTCAGTCTTCGAACTGGGTGACCGCCGAGCCGCTGAGCGAAGGCTGTCCGTGGCTGCGGTGCATGGTGGTGTCGAGGAAGCCGTTTCAACCGGCGGCTTGCATGTATTCCGTCGTCTTCGGGTCCTGCTCATACTCTGACTATCCCAAGGGGAGTAGTGTCCGATACGTAGTGGGACCCAGGCTCATGATGGTCATCACAGTCGCCATAGCACCATCCTACCTGACAGGCCACTCCAGCGTCAAGGGCTTGTGTATCACCATTAACTCTGTCGTCGGCCGTCGGATTGATTACCCGGGGAACTCCTAGCCACAGCGTCATAGTAGGTGCAGCAGTATGGCAATATGTAATGTATTAGGTAGGTTATTTCAATCTCTTACAAGTGCTCGACCATATTGGCCCCCTCCAGTTACCTGGGCAATGTACAAACTTGCCACAGTTGCATGCCAATGAACGAGCAGTCATGATGCCATTCGATTGTCCACATCCCCTTGGGCAATTCATCCCGCAGGAAATGTCAGATGCCCCATATCAACTTCAACCACCTAGCAAGTGACCGTGGAGCCCACCTTGCCGTAGCAGAAGAGCACGCTATCGTTATTGGCGCGAATGACAGTGTCTACAGGCAGTTAGCTGTCATAGTTCTGTTGGACTGTGGGTGCTCTTTGAGCGTACCAAGGTTGAGAGACGTGTGCATGTAGTATCCGGTGTCACCCTCCTGACAATCGCATTCGAAGAGGGGGTCCTCGATGTCTTTGCGCAAGGCGCAGTCTCGGCAGGAATAATCATAGCCACCATTCGAGTTTGGAGTCAGATGGCCATCTTGGTTATCGAGGCACCTAGGTCAAACGGTCTTGGTTAGTCTGTGAAGACCCCAACGAACGAGCACGCCGCCACGAACCCATTCATGTGGATTTCACTACAGGTGTCTTGAGAACACCGGGCTCTCAGGTAGCCCCTGGCGAAAGTGCGGTTCGTACAACTGCTCAAATCGTTGTCTCGAGCCAGTAGAAGTCCAGTTGCCGGAGCGGGAGAGCCCATGACTACAGCAGTCAGGAGCACGGCACCGACTCCAACAAGCTTGGCAAGTCCGGTCATGGTGAGGATTGGGATGCGAAGGGCTGATCGGATATCTGGAGAGCGGACCAACTCAAATAGGGATGGACAGCTGGGATTGTATGTTCGTGTACTGCCAGCAGGTAGGTGGTAGGAAGGGTATGGGTAAGTACTTGGTGGTTCTGCTGGAGAGCTTGAGGTTGTTGTTGGTGAGGGATAGAGGAAGATAGTATGGGGAAAGGTAACCGGGGGCTTGAGGGCGGGTGTCAGTGAGGCCGCTCCCCTCCTCGTGTGGCATTAACGTCATCGTCTCAGGTCAAGTCGAGCAAGAGCAAGAGCAAGAGGCAACCGTGAGGCGCATAACCGCATATGATATATCTGCAAGGAGACGTAGAAGGCGCGAGTTTCAACACGTCTTGTTGTCCTTCCCGCCTTCGATTGCTCGACTTGCATCACGTCACACCGACTTCAGCTGGAAGCAGCCCTGGAGCCCAGCGTTACCGCGACTATCAAGTCGAGCAGCAGGTACTCTCCTCTATGGCCCCTTTCAGGTCCAAATTGAGGTTGTCTCTTCTTAGGCCGATCGCTCTGCTTTTGGGTCTGGGTGGTATGAGAGAAGTGTGTTCACCACTGCTTTCACTGCTGAGAAGTGTTTGCGATAACCATTAAACACGTGACTGATCTCTAGGTTGCTTCTGCCACTGCCCGTGAAAAGAAGGGGAGACGTGGAGGTAGACCCACTACTACTCTGAGATCTCGTATGTTCGGCGGCATGACCTCTCTGGGCTGTGGCGGGATTGCCCCTTTCGAGCGAGCCCCTTGAAACCGATTGGTGGCCCCAGAATACCGCATCCAGGAATGCAACGCTCCCCCTTGTCCCCTCGCTCCCCCCCTGTCCGCCCCCTTGGATTATGATGCCGAAGGCAGAAGGTCAACGGCCAGGCGTCCCCAATCTGGGGTGCAGTAGGCATTGACTGCCGAGATTGGCGCCGTGCCCCGTAGCATCGTGATTCCTATACTATATCAGTCTTGATGCCTGTACTATATCAGTGACAGTCATGATGCCATCCCGAGGTTGTGCTCCACCGGGGGGCGTGTGAAGTTTGAACTGCCGCAGCGGCACATCATGCGGGACTGCTCAACAATCCGGGGAAGCGCTCAGCTGTATTTAACAAGGCCATGGGCCCTCCCTCGTTCTTCATCTCGCACGGCCATCGGTTATCTAGCTCTGTGTCATCGCCAAGATGCGGTCCAATGCCCTGCTGCCCCTCTGGCCCCTTGCCGTTGCTGCCGTTCCCAACATCAAGCGACAGACAGTCACCGAGACCTTGATCCCGACGACGTCCTTCACTGACTTTGACACGTATTGGACCCAGCTCTACCCCTGGGGAACCGATCATAATGGGGGGGCGCGCATGAGCGAGAGTCAGGTCGCCGTGGCAGATGGCATCCTGACCATCACGGCGACACCCGTCGAGGGCGAACCGCCGGCAACAAACGGTGGTGTCGAGTACCCGGTCAATTACCTCTCGGGGGCCATTCACGCCTCGCAGACCTTCGCCGTGGCAGCGGGTGGAGGCTACGACTTCAGTGCCGAGTTCTTGGCTACCACGACATACGGCACCTGGCCGGCCTTCTGGCTCACCGCAGTCAGCGGCTGGCCGCCAGAGATCGACATGGCCGAGTGGAAGGGATCGGGCGATGTCAGCTTCAACACTTTCAACACCAGCAGCAGTGTCGCTACCCACGATGTCCCCTATCCCGACGCCGACGAGTGGCACTCAATCAAGGTGCAGCTGCGCGACGAGAACGGCAGCAGTGTGCGCGTCAAGTACTTCTTGGATGATGTCGAGCAGACCACGCACTATGGCAATAACTACATTGGAACTGCACTGTACTTGTAAGTCTTGCTTCGCGTCGCCTCGCCTCGCCTCGGCCCCGGAAGTGCATTGTTAATTGTTCGCAGGATCATCAACTTGCAGATGGAGGGAAGCTCGGGATCACCAGGCCCCGACTACGGTATGTTCACACAGACGACGTTATATCAAGCTCCACCTTTCTGACCACTGTGTAGATGTCACGTACTCGGTCCGCAACCTCGAAGTCCTTAGCTACCAGTGATGAGATATTGGCGGTACCAAGGGTAGACTAATGGTGATCAATGTGAAGAGGGTGATCTGTGGTATGGCTGTACTGTCCGGATGACCATGACCTTATAGCACCACCGCCGACATAGCACCCATAAATTGGACGAGACGCTGGCTTCATTTGTGGCCCAAAGCTTGCAGTGTCCGGCTTTGTTGACAATACTGCTTCAACTAATGCCGTGGATTTTCAACCTAGTCAATCATGATGCGAGCCTTTCGTGGCGAGAAAAGACGCCCTCAAAGGCCACCATGTGATAGCCGAGAGAGTAGAGGCCAGACGACATACTATATGGATAAAATGGGAGCAGACTAACCTTAGCCGCGTCGGTCGAGATGAACGCACAGGTTTTTAGCGCTTGTAGATGTGCCTCAGTGGCGTCAGAGGACCGGTATAAGTATAAACTTTCACTGTCTAGCTCATCCCATTACACTTGTTGTTGTGATTGTTCATAACGAGTTCGACCGCCCCTGTTTACGACCCAACTGACTGGCATTCAGCTCAACATAACCAAGACAATATCCTCCACCCTCCGGTCCTGAAGGTACGGGAGCTTCGCATGCTCTTTTCCCCTTTGGGATCCCCGCTCTCGGTACGAGTTATTCGCTCGTCAGGATTTGGAGCTTGGACTACCTATCCTGGAGTAAGTTAGCTGTGTGTCCGCCGCATCTTCAAGTACAGGGCCAGCCAGCTGAACTAGGAGCAAAGGTTGCCTTGCTTGGCCTCGGGCCTCGCTGTGTTGTCTTTGCCCATTCAACCAAAACTGTCAAGAGGCACGCGTATGGCACGCGTCTCACGAAATGTGCTCTGGCGGATAACCCCAGTGCCACGCCGGGGAGACTAGTCGTGAGCCTTAGTCGTGAGCGTCGATAACACCCCCATTCAGGTAACCGAGGTTCTAGATCGGTTGCGACATTCGAGTGCACATAACGATACGGGTGCTCAAGTGTGGCTGCCGTATCGAGCGTTATTAGCAATGCTCAGAGAGGCCTGAGTCCCTAAGAGGGACGTTTGGCTTTCGCCCATTGGTTCTGGGGCAAGGACGGCGGCATATGGCGCACAAATTCCCTCTCGTCACATGTACAAACTAGAAAAACACAGGGCCGCTTGTGTTATTTTTGACTTCCCCGTCGTGTTTCATGCCGTCACTTCCAATTCCTGCAGGTGGTCAGACCACCACGGTCCAGCCATAAACAGAAAGGCGCTGTTGTCTGGTATTACTCTTCTTCGGCCCCCTCCACCTTTCTCCGCCATCTTCAACCACTTCCGCCTTCCCCTGCCATCGTCAACCCCTTCCGCCTTCCCCAGCCTGGCATCAGATCGCCTGGTGCATCATCGTCATGAAGTCCATCTGGGACGCCGAAAATCACACAGCAGCAGCTCTCGGAAGCGCGCAACCCCAAAAGAGAGGGTTCGTCCAGCGTGTGCAGACACTCTTCCGTCAAGCGCGGGCAAAGCTCCACCGACGACATGCCACCTGGAAGAAGATATCTTCCGTACCAGGAGACAACACAGACGCTATAATGTTCGATGTCCTCCCACATGCCCCAAACACACCGTCGGTAGCCGTTACGGGGCCCCCTTCAGAAGGGTGGGACGCATCAGTGTCGAATGTACCGGCACGGTTTGCACCACAGGACACTGCCTCGCAGGCATGTGGTGTGCCCGATCCCACGAGGACCGACAACACACCGAGCCAAGACGATCACGTAAGCCCCAGACCTGTCCAGCAACGCAATCGGCGTTCCAGGTGGTCTCTCTTTGGACCGGAGTCGAGAGAAGAGGTGGTCGCTGAGCCCCGGCCTCGGCCACGATCTGTGTATGTCCCAACGCACGCAGCCGCCGACTTCTGTATGAATTCCCTCCCAGACCAGCGGAGATGGTCAGTCATGTCTACGAATTCGCTCCCAGAGCAGCGGAAACGGGCAGCCATGTGTATGAATTCCCTCGCAGAGCAGCGGAAACGATCAGGCATTTACAGTCCAGAGTTCATTTCAGAATTTAACGCAGTGCTGGAAAGCGCGAGTGACAGCGGCGAGGGATCCGCGTCGGCCACAAGGGACACACTGGAGCCGCTCCCAGAGGTCCGGGATCCAGACGAGATAGAGAAGACTCGACGGATCCTAGAGTCGGGCCACGAGCCATCATCGGAACAGTCGCCAATCTCACCGTTTCTGACGCGCCAGCGTAGGCGCTCCTATCAACTCGCAGTCGCACCACGCATCGAGTCGGACGAGATTTCGGATTTCCGCCGCTTCTTACAGCAAAGCACGGCAACCGATCCCGTCCTCGGCGAGCAGATCTGGCAAAGCGTCTCACAAGGACTTGGGAAGCGGAATGGGCAGATTATGCCCGTTCTCGACGGGTCGACGTCGAATATAACCAGCTTACGATCACGCCATTCCGCGGCGGCCGGCCAGTACGGGAGTCACAGCCGAGCCGGGCGTCGTCAGTCTCAGCCCTCGATCGGGGCCCATAGCACCCGAGGACCTCGAGACGGGGGTGCAAGCACCGAGAGCCGCCGCCACTATAGCTGGGCAATCTACGAGGACCTCCGCGAGGCGCGCAGCACCAGCAGCCTGGCCTGGGGACGACCCGGTGCCAACGCCGAGCAAAGGCGCAGCTGGCGCGATGATGGGAATCGCCACTCGGCCGCCCTGGACGGCATGTTCATGCGAGAGGCGGATGCCAGGTTGGTCAAGCGACACAGCAACGCGTAGCAGCGGCAGAGCTGGGCTAGCCACAGCTCCTCGCCCGGTCTCGCTGCTGACAGACGACGACGACAACAACAGCGATCGTCTGTTTCCAGCTTCATGCACGTCATTGCCGAGTACATCCGGCCGGAGCTGCCCCCTACCACCGATGTGGCTGCCCAGTACCACGGGTCGAAGAGGGCGAGCCTGTACGGACCCCCTGGGCGTTATTGAAGTGGTGATACTCGACGTCCTGATGCCGCGGCCGGTGAATGCAAAAGGTGATCATGAAAGATACCTCGAGGCTGGAGAAGAATGGTACGATTTGCGAGGTTGTTGACTAAATAAAGATTGAACTGCCACTCATGTAGTCTTACAGTAAACAGTCATTTGGTCGTGTATTAAATAGAGTACTTACCTACCTGGAGTTTGAACATCTTGCTTGCTAGTCAAGTCAGACCGCCCCTGAGTCATGAGTACCTACATAGGTATTACGGCCGTTGAAAGGGGTCCCTTTGTTTGCTCGACTCGTTGATTCGTTGATTCGTTGATTCGGGCACACACTTGCCAAACGGAGCCAGTCCACAGCCATTCACATGACATACCTCCTATGAGAGCAAACCGATGTTGGCTTGGTGAATGGGTCGACGCTGCAGCACGGCCAGGGTGCTGATTGGGTCAGACACAGACACACACCACGCACCAGGCACCATGCATGTTGCACAGTGCGAAGCCCCTCGCCTGCCCACAGCGTCTGCCTCGCCATGCTCGCCCGCGACTTGTCGCCGAGTGAGGGGAGGCGGCACAGCTCAGAAGCCATCACGAGGGGCAGGCAGCAGAGAGTACAACACAGAACCTCACAGCACAGCGGAGCACCCAATCTCGGCATCGCCAATAATCACCTTGTCTGCCTCACCCCACAGGCCACAGTTCTGTGATGCCCGAGTCTCCCCCGTGACAATCCCATTGTCCCATTGTCCCATTGTCCCGCTCTTCCACCACAGCGAGACAAGACAAGACAAGACAAGACATCACTCGACCGAGGCCTCTAGAACTATTGCGGCATCTACCCACGACACGTAACACAATCCCGTCGGAAAGAGAGAAAGAAAACATGGCCAAGAAGCGAATCCCGCGCGAGCGCATGCCGGCGCTGCAGAAGAGCTACGACCAGCTGAGCATGTGGCTCAACTTCGACCACGACACCAAGCACGGCGCGCGCCAGATGCTCGACGGCGTCTACGTGAAGCCCTTCTTCGACGAGTACCGACGCGACTACCTCGAGGCCGCCGACGGGATCGAGGACATCGACTGCCACGCGCTCTTCCAGCTGTGCCTGCAGAAGCACGCCTTCGCCAAGAGGAACGAGTACAGCGCCGCCCGGCCCGACAAGAAGCGATGGACAGCTCTTGACCACGCCGCGCGCTTTCTCGTGTGCCTCCTGCAGTTCAGCTGGAAGCATGGCGGAGAGTGGAGCCACGGCACCATTGATCCGGCGCACGACGAGCACGGCGAGGGCGACAACGAGTTTGCGCAGGTCTGGGCCATCTTGCGCTACCTCCAGGCCGAGTGGGAGGCGGCGAACCTGGATGGCTGGGACGACGACCACCTCAACGACGCATTCGCCGAGCTCATGTCGAGTCGGCTGTAAAGAGGGTGTGAATGAGGAGCGTCCATTTACGGGACCATCAGGGAGGAAGCGCCGTCACAGAGCAGTTCCACGCCGGAATTCATAAGCACGAGGTGCACGATCAGAGGGAAGAGATACCAGGGGCGGCATTGCGATGGTCTTGGATGGCGACGAAGATGTTCATCGGGCGTTCGGGAGGCCGTCATGTCATTCTCGGCGATTTGTTTGCGGGGCGGAGAAGCAGTCCATGGATTCAGATGGCTTACTGCGGACTCGGACTTGTTTTAGTCCCCACATGATGCGAATACTCGATGAAATTGCAAACCACATCCTCCGTGTCCTGCGTGATTTCCTTTTTTAGTGATGATTATATGCCGACTGAATGGTCTTGCCATCGACGTTTCCTGCAGGCGCTGCTGTCAATTCAGTGCAAGCGTCATTACGGGTAGCGGTTGGCAGCGGCTGGCATGCCTAAAGTATGGTTGATGATGGTGATGATGATGACGACTTTCAGGATGATGCTGGTGGTGACAGAGCTCTTGGTCCCAAGAGGTATCCATCTAGGTAGCAACCAACTTGCCAACGTCTGGAATGCGGCAGTGGATTGATCATCGCAAGAGGACAACTTTCCATGATAGCCATACCCATGCAAATTACGAGATGGATTTTTGAATGTCCGTGTTCATGTCGGATTGCCGACGTCGACTCCGAGATGCGACCCATCGGCTACCTTCCGTTACCACTTTGTTATTCCTTTCGGTATGTGACACAAATACAATATAGACCACACAGGGGACGACCAATCCTCCATGGCTGCGATGCTGCCAAGGCCGAAAACATGTCGCCTCAAAGAGATAAGCGGCCCAAACCCGAGCAGCCGAGATGGTGATCGGTGATCCAGCGCGAATCTCGGGTCCGAACCTGTCGGCCTCGGGATCGAATGAGCCACCGAGCCCGCGCGCACTCACCAAGCAAGATCCTATTCTACAGCATCTTGATGCAAGCACTCAGGTACATAGGAGTACTTTAGTACACATGCTCGGAGGCCCCAAGTTGATCTGCCGTGCAACACGACACGTCACGAGCCATGATGCATCGAACCGTCGCCGTGGACGCGCCTCGCATTCCAAGGTTCTGCAAGAAGGCCCCCTGCGTCCGATTCACCAGCACGTGCGACAAAGGTAATCATCCAGGGGCTGATGAGACACAAGGACACGAGTTTGAGCAAGACATGAGCGATTAGAAAGTAAGAATTCATGAAAATATATTGTCCAGCAATGAGACCGATCTATAGGGATATATATATAGGGGGACAGGAAAGAAGAAAGACGACTGACTGGCTTACCACTGTCCAGCATGCAGGCGCATCACATCATCAGTACTGTACCTACAGAGACACATCATATTCATTGGGACCAAACAGCAGATCGAGCGCAATGTCATACCAGCCGCTCCAATGCGGGGACGTAAGCATCCAGCGCAAGGGATCGTTGTGCTCGACATAGTCGCGCACGGCGGCGTCGAGGCCCCGATCGGTGCAGGTCTCGGCGAGGCGGGGGTCGCGGCCCATGCCGCACTCGTAGGGGGTGCCGAAGCTGTCGAAGACAACGGCGCGCTTGGCCAGCGGGCAGATGTCGTAGACGGACCTCACGCCGAAGCCGTGGCAGCCCTCCTGCGGGCAGGCGCACTGCCAGGGTGCCGAGGCCGGGTCGACGTCCGTGCAGCCACAGACCGTGTACAAGAGGGTGGTGTCGAATCCGCACATTGTGGGCGGTCGTGGTCTGCTGCTGTGGAATAAAGTGTTTCGTGTGTCTGTGTCTCTACTTAGTACTGGGTAATAGATAGTGTCTGTGTCTCTCCTTGGAGGCGAAGGGACCCCTGTCGAGGTCGCACGAGCTTATATGCGGTTGTCAGACAAAGCGCCCGCATGCCGCAATGTATTGTGTTGCAGAAACAAAGTGATACAAAGTGATTGTGTAAGATTTGGGTCGTGATGCTGCGGCTAGACCCGAGACCAAAGAAGATGAAACAATGATGCTGCATCGGGGTCCTCAAAGAGTGACACGGAACTTACAAGAGGCATCCCTTGATGAAAGAGGCTTTGTCCGGTAAGTTGGGTGCGGTGGTCACTTGACAGAATGGTCCTCACATTGACGACAGATGATACATCATATGGATAATTCAATGAATGATCGGACAAGTGATGTCCACTGTTTCTGTCGTGTACATTGGCAATATTGGAAATTGCTTCTCTATGTGGGTATCATTAGGAAGTAAGCAGCGGTAATGATAATATGGGATATGGCGCCGCCCGCTCAAACGCCAACTTTTGAAAAACGACAACCTCATTCCAGCACGTCGTCGCCTCCTTCTCCAGCACGACTGACTAGACTTGATGGGAACTGCCATCACTGGGGACCTCCTTGTCCCCTGTCGTGTCTTGATTCCGCCCGCTGTAGTCGCCGGGTCCCTTGCTTCCGTTGGGGATGTGGAAGCGCTTGTCGATGCGGGAGAGGGTCAGGAGACCCAAGACGAGGACCTCGAGGCTGAAGTTGAAGACGTAGAAAGCCGCCTTGCTGTGGTACCAGGCCGGGTCGGTGGCTGGCCGCGGGGGCGACCAGATGGCGCCCGCCTTGAAGCCGGCGATCAGGACTGACGTGCACGATGACAGGACGAGGATGATTAGCTTGGACCGCATGCTCCCGTGGCCGAACAGCTCCTGGTCGGCGTCGCGGGGCAGCAGCACGTGTGCGAGCAGCAACAGCCACAGGGGCATGGTGGTGAAGACGAGCAGATAGGTGATGGCGGTCAGCTGGATGTCGCGGCACTGCTGCAGGGTGTGGGCGTCGAGGGTGTAGGAGCCGAGGATGGCCGAGGTGATGAGACACACGAGGGCGGCGGCGATGCCTCCGTACAGGACCTTGAGGGCGATGCTGATGCTCGGGTGCCAGCCGAGGCGGGGCTGCTTGGCGCGGAGCATGCGCTGGGCGAAGATCAGGTTGATGATGTAGACGATGAGGATGCCGACGTTGACAAAGATGTTGGCGGCGATGGCGAGGCGGACGTTGTGCTGGTGGGTGGCCCAGCCGATTCTCACGGCGAGCGTGGTGATGCGGGCCATGCAGAAGCCGAACAGAAGGCCCGACAGGAGGAACTTGTGCTTTCGCCTCAGGTTGACCTGGAGGATGGTCATGTTGGTAGCAGCGAAGGCAGCATAGAGCAACATGAAGACGGCGCAGACGGGCACGTCGGGCAGGACAGACGGCAGACCGCCCAGGCCGGCGGTGCGTGAGGCATACGGCGGGCCGGCCTGTTCTTGTTGTTGCTGCCCAGACATGGTCGCAGACCTTGTAATAGACAGACAGACAGGGCTGAGATTGAGTTTGGCTGACGGAAAGTAAACGGTCGAACTTGGTCGATGGAGACGGGATGGTATGGGATGGGGTGGGCAGACAGACACTTTAGACTTTGAAGTGCAGGTGAGGAGTAGAGGGTGGCAGCATGACTACTAATAAGTATATGTAGTAAGGTTAGTTTACTTGGTAAAGGTACTCAAGCAGTACATGTACCAGACTGTACTCAGTCAGTCTGTCTGTCTGTGATCTGTCCTACTACTACCTATGCGGTCTCAGTTCCACGGGCTGGAGTAGGGTGGGCTGGAGGCGGCTGGCATGCGTCGGTCCGGCAACAAACGCACCGCATCTTACCTTGAGAGCGAGCCCGACCATCAAAGTCCGGGAAAAAGAAATGACTTAGTAATCACCTACTCGGGACCGTGTCTCTTGACAGTAAATATAGGTAAAACAAGAAGTTATGCCGTTTGCAGACCATCCCCCTCATCCCCATACATCCAATGTCATCCACCCAAAAATGGGGCACGGCCAAACTCAGAATAGCGACACCGACCCTCGGGACCGAAAACGTGGGGTGCACCGATAGGGGACACCGACTATATCCGACCGCCATTCGTCCCCCCATCCCCCCTGCACTTATTCTTCATCACATCTGCAGTTGTCCGTCATGTCGTGCACCACCGATTCGGCATGTACACATATATGGGTGGTATCCTCACATTGATTGATCATCTGCCGTACACTATTCCCTCCCTTCTCCCTTCTCCGTGCCCATACACCCATATATAGTAAGGTCGGCCCTCACATCGACCGACTACCACTCGCCGACCGGTCATCTCTCCTGCGAAAGTATCTCCTCTGCATGTCGGCCGGCCACAGGTTGACGCACTTGTCGAATTCCGCCTGGGGGTCCAAGTCCACGTCTGCGGGTAGTCGCTGGTGGTGATCGGCGCACCACCAACGGCTGCGTGCCCGCCCGTCGGCCGGGTCTGAGTTGCACTTGAGACACAGCAGCGACAGCGCCGTACTGTCGAGATGGTTGCAACACCGCGGCAGGCCTCGCATGCCCGAGCTATACTGCCTGCCACGCAACCCCTTGCGGCTGTCGGGGCAGAACGTCGTCCACAGGTGTCGTTCGAGTCTAGGGAAGCATAGTTTGCTGCCTCGCTTCGCGCAAAAGTCGTACCCGCTCATTCGTCAAGTATAGCAGCCGCATGGGAATTGCGTTGTCCAGAATTTGCACGTGTTGCCGATATGATGACCGACGACCGACCCTCGCAGCCATTTCCGCCACATGGTGGTGTTCTATTATTCCTCCCACCTCCTTTGTCTACTTGTTTTGTTCTTCGCCCTTTCGCCACTCCTCTCTTGTCTTTCTCCCTCCCCGTCAATGAACACTCACTGTTCATTGAACAAGTGGGATCATGTTTCCGGGGAGAGAAGCAACACATTGTACGGTTAGTTGCATGTGCTAGGTGGCTGCAGGGTATCTGCTGACTGCGGATTTCAAATAAATACAATGGAGCACAGGATGTGCCGAGAACGCGAGGAGCGGCTCTCCTATTCACTCCGTACCTCTCTATCCCCGAGCCTCGGGGTTTAGAACATGTGGTGTCCGGGCGTCGACGACACCGTTGGGGTACCCAGGACGTACATGTAGCCCATCTCGGAAACAGCTGGTCGTGCCTCTTCAATATGATATGCCCTATCCGATTTTAACGGCTTGATTACAACCCTTCAGTCCTTCTTTATCCTGGTGGGTCTAAAGCACGAGGACACCAGGCGGCTCTGCGCTTTAGTCGCCATCATGTTCCCATGTCTGCATGTGATCTGGTGCCGGTCTCCGGACAGCCAATGTTACCTTGACCTCGCAACGATGCAAGTGCATAGTTATGCTCTGCGATTCCTCTGTGGTGCCCTATCCGGATACATATCAATCCCAATTATTAAAGGCGTGGTACAGGTAATTCAACCCCATTATCGGGAATCATTCTGTTCTGCACTGGGGTATATAGGTAGCATGAACCCTAGACCGCCTTGTAAACGCCTGGACCTTCCTCTTGGCTGTCGATTCCTCGAGCGGCTGATGATTGGCGGAGGCTCCAGTCTCATTATTTTCTCCAATTCGCGGGCTTACTGACATCAAGTAAACCTTGCGTTGGGGCGCTTGATAAGTGCTGACTGCTGTTACCGATCTCTGCCTTGATGTACGATGCTCAGGTTCTCAAGCCGATCACAAGCGGCTCTGCAATTTACAGGATCAAGGCGCCAGAACGGGAGAGCAGTGCGAAAAAAAACCGAGAACCCCGTAATGGATGTTGGCGGCGTAGCATGGCTTGGTGTCTGGATCTGGCCCCAGATCACGCCCTGATGGCTGCGTATCTCATCCGCGACCGCTATATCAAGACCGTCTCCCTCGGGTCGGCCGAGTACCTGCCGGTTGCCGACTTATTACTAGCGAGTATTCTGCTGCATCGACCCGAGCGGGAGCCAGCAGGTTCACATCGTTTAGTACTTTTCAAAAACACCTTCGCCGTATGCCTTGATAGGAGATGGCAGCGCTATTCTAGGAAGACATGCGACTCAAGGAGGTCAGTCTCGACATGAGGTTGTGTCGTCGGCTGGGTAGGTTGGACCTCGTGTTGACTGCTGAAGAGAACGTACGTGGTGTGTCGTTGGGCTATGGAAGAGACTTGCGAACCTCCTGCAGTCTATTACACAGTAGAGTGCCTGACCTTTACCTCCTTAGGAGCATCAATTGGCCTTCTTGCCTCACACCATGTCACTGTCGCTTTGTTGCCCCAATCCACGTCCGTCACCACCTGCAGTCTTGAGGTAATGATATATGTAGCTCCGCCAGCAACTATACCCAGGATCAGATGCTCTAGCATTGTAGCGCCATCACCGCCTTCTTCATGAGGCAAATGCTTGGGTTAGCATCCTACATGAGTCTGAAGTACATATTTATGCAATGCAGTGGTAGGTTGGTCTGAGTGACCACTTGAGGGTACCGGGTACGTGATTTCCTCCCATCGGTCTGTGTTTCCTTTCTCACCCTCATGGATCCATATAATTATGCACGTAGGCTAACATGTTTTTCAAGGCCTGTGATACCGAGTCTTGAAGGCCAATAAGATTACTTTGTTACAGTGCACCTGTAGAGGTTAAGGGTCTATCAGGGCGGTACACTAAATCTCCAGAAGTCTCCGTACAGCTCTCGTCCACCAGGCGAAAGGTATACATATAATACTTGGAATAAGCAGTCTAGAATAAACACAAGATATGGCTGATTGGATTAAATATACTTATTCCGAGGTGCTTATTACATTAATACGAATATTGCATCAATATCCAAGAGTTGACAGGAGCATGATGAACGGAGACTTATGAAGGGTGAATGTACATCTCGCATCTCAGCCAAACTCTGGCGCTGCTTTAAGAGTGAGGGAAAATTGTACAAAGGCGTCTATTCAGTCACCAGTTAGGTTTTCTGCTCATGTTTTACATCATTCTACATTATGGACGACAAGTACTTATGTTAGGAAACTGGACCTTGTGAGAAACTGAATCTACAAGAGCACAACCTGAACAACCTTGTTCAATGCTTCACTACAGACACTTCTAGCCTATTTGTGGTGATAATCACGTGGTATAGACGTGGGCTTGATCATGTACCGCCTCATCCAAGCCCCCTTCCAACCCGTATCGCCAGTCCGCCACGCACACCTCCCTGTCCGCCTTTTGATATGATCCTGAGTATTTTACCAACCCAAGCCCGGCCAGTGGAACATGTCGGCGGGGTGCAGTCTCTGTTCGGTGTTTGGGAAGAATTCTTCGACCGGCTCCGCGACCTCTTGTGTTGAGGTCCATTCCGGATCGATCAATCTTGCGACTTCTGGCCGGCCCTGCCTTGCGGCGCAGTCCAGAGCTGTCAAGCCATCCTCGTTTTTGGCGTTGAAATTGATGTGATCTGCGTGTTCAAGGACGGCTTCGATGATTTCAAGCGTGCTGTCCAATGCCTGGATAGCCAAATGGAGCACAGTGCGGCCATAAGTGTATCGGAAGCCTAGCTGGATCAGCTGCAGGAGGCACTTAATAATCTCTGGTGCATCTGTCTGACAGAGCAGTGCTACCTTGAGTGCTCGTCGGATGTCTTCCGTGCTGTAAGTTAGAGGTCGTCTTGGTTGAGCAGAAAGACTGTCAGCGAGAAGAACGCATCGGTAGATACACTCATTCTGAGGATGTTTCGTGCAGATCTTGAACCGCGCAGCAGAAGATGAGGACCACGGTTCAACAGGAACATGGTGTTAAGGACTCGCTTGTTGTACAGAGCCCATAAGACTGCGCTCCGGTTATGCGAGTCCAGGTCGTCGACAGAGGCTCCGTGGTCCATCAGCAGCTTCATGACGGTGTTGTTTCCGTCGCGACAGGCCGCAGCCGCGTGGAGTGCCGTACAGTTGGATCAAGCCTGAGCCCTCTGCTTCACGTCGGCACCTCGGGTCAATAGAATACTAATGACATCTGTCATGACCCTGATACAGGCGTAGTGCAATGGCCGTGGCATCATGTTGTAACCCCCCAGCTAAGTGGTCAGGGTTGGGATTCGGCTGAATATCGGTATAGGCGGCCAAGAAGGTTGCAAGATCATGGCACCGAAACTGGATGGCTACCTCAAGTGCACTGGCGCACATGTCGTGATGCTGTGTAAAGAAACCTCGCTATATGATATCCCCTCCTACAACATATCATGTCTTGCCCGGACACGCTCCGGCTTGCAGGCTAGAATATATGTAGGAGGAGCATGGCCCGACGAAAGGGTGCATCCAGGCATCCACATAGCAGCCGGCCCCTTGGACCACCCCATTCCCTCTCCCCTCTACCAGACTTCTCTGTACCTTCCCTACGAGTGATCTAGACAATAAGCATATATTTGCTTGCCACATCGAATGAGGCCGAACTCCTGCTATAGAAACTAGGCTTCCTCTACCTGTGTCCATTCAACACTGCCCATGGTCGAGCCCAGTGGAAGCACTTATGGAGGCACTTATGGAGGCATTTATGGATGCACTTTCGAGGTGGCTTTCGAGGTGGCTAGAGTGATATGTATACTTTACCTCTGTCAGAATTGGAGATTTGCCATGTAACCTGCGATAATAGTTTTACTCCCTAGACCCAGTCATGAACGTAGTGTCTAGAGTGTCACACTTGCCACTGCAGAGACCACACAAACACAAGATATGAGTTCAGAGTCACACATGCTTGTTCCTATATCCAAGAACTGCAGCCTTGCCATCATAAACCCCACAGACAACCACCCAAAAAGTAGTTCGGATCAAGAGAGATATGCTGGTGACCGCAAGCACCTCAGCCGCTCGGCTCCTCTCGCACATTATACAAAACACGAACACGGACAGCAACGCAATGGAGAAGCAAAGGGAAGTGACTTCGCCCGTCGAAGCCAACCATACAGACATGTCTCAGAGTGTCTTTCTACGCTTCGTTTTCCTCGGACGCTCATACACACAAGGCGTGTGCTAAAGGTCAATCACGCCAAGCGGCAAGTCAGGAACCTCAAGGAGCGCCTTGCCTTCGTCTTGCGCCTCTTGATTATATATTGCTTACTGACTCGAGAGAGACCTATCCAAGAGCTGCCTACACTTTACGTCAATCCTATTTGCCCTCCGTAGATATACCTTCTCGGCAACGAGGTGAAGACACATCCACGAGACAGTAGTGGCATGAGTAGCTTACCGGCCTCCACCTTGCTTAGAAAAACAAGGAGTATGCGGGAAAGCAATTTAACTGATTAATGCGTGGAGGACGTGGCATATGTCATAATTATCATCTTCGGTTTTCGTTCGACAAGTCGGCGTACTTTTACCAACACGTTGCCTGCTGTGCGTCCTCCCGAAAAAGAAGCAGCAGCCTCAGGACGAGGATCGACAGCACGCATTTGGAATGGGGACGGACATATTGTATACGTGTGCATAGTCTCCTATATGTAAGTCAGCAGCCAACCTACCTGGTACAATCAGCCTGACGCCCCTCAACGAGCAGCCCTTAACCTGGTTAATAAACGAGTAGTGCTTGTTCGGGTTTCGAATGTAACAAACTCGCAATAGACGATAGTGAGGCCCAATATACCTAGACACTCCCATTCAACACGTAGTCAGGTTACCTTCCCTCATCGGCCTCGGGTTGCCCACGGGCAAATATAGGGTATTCATAGCCAAGGGCGATGCGTCGACGCGGCTTGGCGTCATGTGCGTCAAGTTTACCATTCACTCCAAGAAAACCATGTCCAGTATCTCTATCGAGTCTATTGAGCGACCTGCTAGTCTATCTATGGAATCCTCATGGCCAAAGGCCCCGAGTGACCGTCTTCTGGACCTCCACTCTAGTCGTGGCCACTCTAGTGCAACCTGGCCAGCAATGCCAGCGGAGCGCTTCTACCAGCCGTGGCCACTCAACCTGCGACCACTCAACCTGTGGCGCGCTTGGAAATCGCAGAAGCAAGCCAACCATGCGAGTCCGAACTTTTTTTCATTCGCAATGACAAAGGGAACCAGGTATATCATGTCCATGAAGCGGTATTAGATCGTAAAGGGAGGAGTTCGTGAAGGGTGCGTAGTTTAGATGTCGTCCTCATCCGAGAAGACTTCCTCACCACGCTTACGGCGGGCCATACGGTCTGTAAAGAGATAAGCGGTTAGTTACTGGTGCTAGGGATATACGTGTTATGTTCGAGATTCGACTTACCCTTCTTCTTCTTTCTCGCCTCAGAACTGGTCAACTTGGCCTTCTTCTTGGTCGACACAATCTTGTTGCCCATCGCGTCGAACTTCTCCTCCTCCTCATCCTCACCGGCCTTTAACCTGGGGCCGGCACCTTGACCTTGGACCCAGTTGTGGCCCGAAGGAGTCATCTTACCGTCCATGACGGCCCAAACCTCCTCAGTCAAGTCCTTGGTGAACTCGGCACTGTGCGTGATGATGATGACACCACCTTCGAACTTCTTGAGCGCCTTGGAAAGGGCTCCTAGGGAGTCACGGTCGAGATAGTTGGTAGGCTCGTCAAGAACGATCAAGTGAGGTCGTTGCCACGAGCAGGCGGCCAAGACGACCTTGACACGCTGACCACCGGAGAGACCCTTCATGCGAGAGTGGGAAACCAGCTCGGCATCCAGACCAAAGTTGGCGCAGTGCGACTCGATCTCCTTTCGGACTAGGGGACGGAACTGACCAGAGGCAAGGGCCTCCTTCATGTCGACGTCAGCAACCATCTTCTGGTGAGAAGCGAGCAACTCGCTTCGCGGGAGCCAGGCGTTGTCGGCCGTCATCATGGGTACCCATCGCTCGTTCTTCATGCCGACGTTCTCGCCAAGCGCGAATGAACACTCGTACTCGTAGCTGTTCTTGAACTTTCTTCGGCTGTTGATACCGATGACACGTCTCTGGGTACCTTCAACCTTGAAGATCTTGTCCATGGCCTTCTCGTCCTCGTCGGTGATGATCTTGTTGGCACGGTCCATGGTCTCACGATCCTCGCCGGTCTGGAATCGCCACTGGATGTATTCGGAAGGAGTCTTGTCGAGGTGGTTATCAATGTGCGCGAAAGCGTGCTGCTTGATGTAGGCGATACGGATGTTCTCGTGCTGGTAAGTGTCACCAGACGTGGGGATGAGTTCACCAGTCAGCACGTTGATTAAGGTGGACTTGCCAGCACCGTTGGGACCGATGACGGCAATACGAGAAGACAGGGAACACTGGAAGGTAATATCTTGGATCTGGGGCTTGGGAGTACCAGGGTACTGGAAGGTCATCCTGGTGGCACGCAGGATGGCCTTGGCCTTGGTCTTGACACCCTCAAGGAAACCGGGCTCGGGGAAGGAGAATTCAATCTCGGAGTCTCCGAGCTCGTAGTACGACTTGGCGTGGGGGTTCTTGCGGACGAACTCCTTGAGGTTACCCTTGTAACGCTTGAGCTTGAATCGCTCGTAGTGAATGATGTACTGAGTGACGTTGTCAAGGAAGCCGCTGTCGTGGGAGACGATGATGGAAGTGCAAGGAGAGTTGATCAGGTAGTCTTCGAGCCACTTGACGTTCTTCACATCCATATGGTTGGTAGGCTCGTCGAGAAGCAGGATATCCGGGGCCTCGAAGACGGCACGGCACAGAGCCAGCTTCATCTTCCAACCACCAGACAGAGCAGTGATGTCGCCCTGGGTCATAATCTCGCTAAAGCCGAACTCGCCGAGGCGTCTCTCGACCTCCTCTTTGCTGGTGTCAACACCAGCCTCCTCCAGCTTCTTCATGGTCCAATCAATGGTGGTCATTTCGGTATCGGCAGAGTCCAGATCGTGCTCAACGAAGACGGTCTTGACCTCGCTTTGCTTGGGGAAACCCTCGACCTGCTCGTTGTTGATAGCGCGCATGAGAGTGGACTTGCCAGATCCGTTGGGACCGCAGAGACCGTAACGTCGACCGCGCTTGAGGCGCAGCGATGTCTGGTTGAGCAGAATCTTGGCACCGTAGGCAAGCGAGAAGGTGCAGTTGCATAGGTCCTCGCCCTCGTCATCATCGACCTCTTCGGCGGCGCCTTCCTCAATACCAGGCGAAGCGCGCTTTCGAAGGTCGTCGACGACGCTCTCGGCGTCAGTCTCACCAACAAGGACGGTAATGAAGGGCTTGACGGTGGTGGCCCAAGAGATGGCCTCGATTTCCTTCTCATCGACAAGCTGACCTCCAAGGGCAGAGACGTACTCAAGAACGGGGCCAAGCTTCTCAGCGGTCTTGGAGTGCTTGCTGGGTATGCTTGCCTTGAGGTGGGCAAGGACGGTAGCAATGTCACCGTCGTGGCGAACCTCGGGAATCTTGCCGTCCTTGACATCACCAACGCGGGTGAGAGTGTCGATTGCCTGCTTGGTCTTCTCACGAGCCTCGGGATCAGCCAGGTTTTCGTAGTTCTTCTTGAGAGCTGGCATCATCTTGGGCAGGAAAGGCGCAACGATGGTGGGGTCGTCGACAAGCTTGCACATGTTGTCAACAATGACGGCAGCCTTTCGCTTGATGGCGGTCTCGCGCTCGCCGAGGCCACGATCGAGCAAAGGAACCATCAGGGCGAGGGTAGGCTCCTGGACCTCGGTGACGAAGGTGGTGGCACCCAGCAAGTGGACAGTCTCGGGGACGTTCTCGGGCTTGGCGATACACTTGATGAGCTCGGGAATGAAGCGCTCGATATCGCGGTTGACGATCAATTCGCAGATCTTCTCCATAACCTTGTAGGCACGATCCTTGACCTCCTTCTTGGTGTCCCACATGGACTCGGAGATGACAGGGATGAGCTCGGGAACACGGTAGGCCAGCTGGGCAGGGGCGATGCGAACAAGGGTCTCTATGCAGTCGAGAGCGGCCATCTTCTCGGGCCACTTCTGAGCAGTCAGGATAGAGTTGACGATGGGTGGCAGGACAGCCTTGACAGCGTTTGGGTTGATGGCCTCGACGATGGCGAGGGAAGCAGCGATGGCGGCGTTCTTGACACCAGTGATCTTGTCACCGATAGCGGACAATACCAGAGGCAGCATGACAACCAAGTAGGGCTCAACATTGGGAGATATCTCGGAGTGCTGGGCAATAGCCTGGATGGCGTTGGCAGCCTTCTCACGAACAGCGGCATCCTTCTTGTTGCTAAGCTGCTTCTTCAGCGCCTCGACCGTTCTGCAGGTGGGTTTACATGTTAGCGCGAAAATGCATTGCCAAAGAGAAACAGATTTGAAAGTGATTAGTGTTATCGGATTTGGGGATACAGCGACTAACAACGCCAGATGAAAAGTCATGGACAGGATCGACAGGATGGGCTGGAAAGCGAGGACCAGTGTTCATGGGAGAACGATGCACAATCTTTCACTGGGCGTGTCTGATTGCCCCTCGTTTGGCGGGGTTGATCCTAACAGGGGACCGAGGGACCAAATGATAACGAAACGGAAATGGGGAGCTGAAGAGGTGGGAAATGCATACCTGGTTGGTGCCTCCTGGTCCTCGATGTGGCCGTTGATGAAGGAAGCCAGCGCACCGGAGGCCTCCTTGGTAGCAGCCGCATCCTTGGAGATGGTGAGCTTTTGCATCAGCTCGTCAAGAATCTTGACGCTCTGGGCGTTTTCTGAAGGCATGGTGACTGATGTGCGGTTTTCCGGTCGCGATGGACGGGGGATGATGGACGATGGACAATCGAAGGCGACGTGTCTATGCGGTCGGCTCGTTCGCTCGCTGGTCGGCCGTCGTTGTGATGTGACGGACTGTTGCGTCAGGCGGGCGGGACTGGCGACGTGCTCTCTGCTGGCGCGTCTGGAGTTTTGGTTCTCTGACGAAGAGAATGACAGAGAGTCGGGTGTAAATGCACTCTACCCTCTATTGGAGAATGGAGGATGGGTAAAGGAAAGAAAGGGACGGTTGCGGAGGAGGAATGGATCTGAGGCGAAGGGGCAGCAGGTAAAGTACCTGCTTAAGTAGTTTTTGAAATCCTATGCCAGCTTTTTGAGTTTTTCGAGGGGTAGTGGCCCACAGGCGGGCGTTGGATTGTGGCGCTGACTTGTGGCCCGTGCGCGCTGACGGTGCGATTCGGAGATGCCAATAGTTAGTTAACCTTATCTTATCAGCCCAAAGGCGGTGAGGGCAGGGGGGCAGAGGGCCAGAGGGCCGGCCAGAGGCGAAGGTTCGAGGGCCCAGTTGCCAGTCTACCAGTCAGCCCAGGGCCGCAAACTTTTCTTTACTTTTCTGGTTTAGGTAGCTTGCCACTGTTAAAAGCACAGTCGTCTGGGGAAACCATCTGGAACACTCCCGTCTGTCACTGACACGCCTGACTTCCTGAGTCATCAAATATTCGCCACGCAGTGCCTTACGTCGTCTGAGCCAGACCGTCTTATTACTCGACGGCATTGCCGAACCGGATCAAGAAGGACTTGAATCTATGCCGCATTCCGCTCCCGCCACGCCACGCCACCTCTAAAGTTGCAACGTCGTTCAATGTTCTCAAGAGTCAAGAGGCAACTCTGAATTTGCATGTCAACTAGTAGACTTCATAATTTGAGTTCATTGCCCATTCTGGTATCTCCATTCTGGGTCTATCTCGCCGACGCGCTTCCAAACTCTGCCTGTCCGTAATGGCCATTACAGTGTCATTGTACCAACCTGGGGCTCGACACCGCTCATGAACGACTTCATGCTCCCAACCCAGCAGGTTGAGAGGTGGTATCAACCCTGAAATCAACTCATGCTCTACCGCAACTTTGAGTAAAGTAACGGAACCCTATTTGATCTTCTTCCTCAACCTCAACGCCAATATGGCTCCAGCGAAACCTTCATCTTTCTCCGATGAGCCACGAGAGCGATTTATTTTATTTTCAAGCTCTTCGACCAGAAGGGAGGAGCCAAACCCAAATACCCCAAAAGAACGCCACAAATCATCTCAATCCACTCAGCGGAACCTTCATCTTTCTCCGATGAGTCACGATAGCCCTATCAAGACATATATTCTCTCATGAGACAAAGACATGTCTTCGGAGATTCAAGCTCAAGCTCAAGCTCCCCAGCAGAATGCTCCCCAGCAGAATAACCTTGCTGCATGGCGCAGGCCCTGGCAGACTTCAATGCTGCTTGATTACATAGTCTACAGGAGCCATGGTCACTCAGGTGATGTTGTTTGTTTGTTTGTTTGTTTTGTATTTAACGTGGGGGTAGCTCCTCAGTAGTGCAAACCACGCCTCCCAGAGCCTCTGCATCGCAGGGTTGTGGAGGTCTCAAGATAATAAGTACAGTCAGTCCCGCTCACGGGCCCATCCCCGTTGTTGCGGCGGTATGACCTTGGGGTCATCCATCTGGTCCTTCAAGGAAGGCTATCTATCGGGGGCAGATTGTTGAAAAGAACTTGCTCTTCTCCACGAATTTTGCCCATTCTGTGCTCCTCTCCCCTAAGTATTGTAAACAAGCTGCCCTAGGCGAATGCCTAGGCAGTAGCCGATTTTTCCCCAGCCTCTTACAAAAGAAAATGTGTTGTGGTGTTTTCTTTTTACCACAGCTGCAGTGATCATTTGAGTCTGTGTGCCCAAAGCGTTCATAGTATCTGGCAAAGTCGCCATGTCCAGATCTGGCCGCTAGAAGTCTGTGTAAAGTACTCCTCTTAAAAGATATAAGGTCTCTTTTAGTTACTGCATGTGAGTATACTTCTTGATACCTAGATTCTGATTGGTCTTTCCACCATTGGTTGAACTCTTTCTTGCCCTGTCTTTTGAGATCTCTCTTGACCCAAGAGATTGTAGGAAGATTTGTTGTGTCTGTTTCCAGCATGGCACCCTCTTTTGCTAGTGTGTCGGCAGCTTCGTTGCCATCAATATCTCTGTGTCCAGGAATCCATTTGACGGTCACTCCAGGAGTGTGTGCTGTGGCAAGTTCTTGAAATCGTAGAAAAATGTTTTGTGATGTCTCGGGTGGAGTCCCATTGAGCCCATCTATCACTGACGTGTTGTCCAGGCAGACATATAGCTGTTTTCCGTGTCCAATTGCCCTGGCTGCTGCAAGACCTTGGAGAGCACCATGGACTTTAGCATCTATTACTTCTGCTTGTAGAAGTCTGCCCCTTTCCTGGTATACTTCTTGTGTAGTGCCGCCTTTCCTGATGGTATAACCCCATCCAGTGCGGATTGTGCCTTGGTCATCCAACTGTGATCCATCTGAGTAGATGACAAGGTCAGTGTTCACGTTTCTCTCTTGTAACTATTGCTTGAAGAGCTCTGTTTCTTTGTCTTTGTCTTTGCGGATTGGGCGTTTCTTCCATGATGGCCTGGTAAGTATTGGTCTCTGGAAGTCAGGGACTAGCTGGAAGCTCCTTTGTAGCCTTGTTGGATCCTTGCGAGCTTGTATTTGGAGCCTGCCAACCAGAGGGTGTCTCTGATCTATTCGTTCTAGTCGGAGGCCGTGACGTCGTCTTATTGACTCTGCAAGAACTCCTGCTGGGGGAATCTGCGATTCAAAGTGTAAGATATGTCCAGGGTGTGTTTTCCAGACTGGCAAGATAGCCCTGATCGCCGTTCGTAGTACGGCATCTATTGTTCCAAGAAGCCCCTTAATACGACATGCTGATGTCTCACCTAAGCTCCCAGCTTTCTCGATTCCTGGGTACCAGGCCTCCAGGCCATGTGTGAGAATAGGAATAACACAAGCTTTCACAGCCCTCTTGGTTGACTTTACTGGAAGTCTTTTGACTGTGTTGCATAGTCCTCGAAGGTGATTTGCTACCTTACTAGCTTTCTTGGCCCAGTGAGAAACATGGTCTTTGAAGTTTAGTTTCCTATCCAGAAGGACACCTAGCCATCGCATGGAATACTTAGCTATTTTGTTCATTGTTCTGTGGCAAATTGGGGGATTATCTGAGTTCTTTTTCTGTGAGAAGTGCATAATCTCGGTTTTGTCGGGATCAAATTCAATAGCATTATTATGTCCCTATTGGTTGAGTAAATGAAGGTTTTTAGAAGCCTCTATAGCTATTTCTTTAAGGTTCTTTCTAATGCAGAGTGTTGCTAGGTCATCTGCATATCCAAAGCGTCTTCTTTTCATGCCAAGTCGGGCACAGATTGACTCTGTATACAGCATGTAGAGGATTAGAGAGACTGGTGAGCCTTGTGGGAGCCCACAAGTGAGAGCTTTTATATCGGTCACAGTACCTTCAAACCGAACTCTTGCGGACCGCTCGGACATGAACGACTGGACCCATCTTATGAGAAAGCCTGGCCAGCCCTGTTCTCTCATGCGAACCACCAGCCGTCCCATTAGGGCAGCATCAAAGGCCCCTTTCACATCTGATGTGACTACCGTTACAACGAGGCCTTGGTCAAGGGCCTGCTCAATATCGTGTATGAGTGCAGCTACCAGGTCAGTGGCAGAGCGCTTTGGTAGAGCTCCAAAATGTTGTGGGGCTAGAATTCTAAGTTTGACAACAAACCAGGTAATTCTTTTCGCAATGAGTCGTTCTAGGCCCTTGCCAAGACATGACAGTAGCGATATTGGTCTGTAGGCCCTGGGATTGGAGTAGTCTTTCTTTCCTGGTTTTGGGATCATCACCACCTCAGCTACTTTGAATGGTTTAGGGTGGTGTCCAATCAGTAGGCAGGTCTGGAAAAGGGCTCTGATATGTTCACCAATGACTGGCCAGCAAGCTTTCAGAATCCGTACTGTGAGGGTATCTACTCCCGGGGAGTTGCTCTTGGTTCCTAAAGTGCACCCTTCAGCCTCTTCCAGTCCGTATGCTTAGATGTTGTAGGGGATGCATGTTAAGCGTGAAGCTACATTCGTTCCCGGAAACATTATTGCGACCCCAAATGCCGCTCTAGCCTATTGCCGTGTAAGCACCACCACCACATGTCACATTTGGATACTGCCCACTTATATGTCGTTGTATATCCGTAAATAAATATAGCATATGCGCCCAATCAAACTACTCAAGTAGTACTCCTTGACATTATTCACAAGGCTCTGAATGAATGTATGGTGATTTTGAAGCGGTATCCTACTATCGGCCTGTGTAAGTTATACACAGTCCGGAGCAATGAATATATCGGGAAACTCGATGACCGCGGTCCTATTGATAATATTCGTCATTTTAGGACTCGGGCTTAAAACTGCATTGAAAAGGCAGAAATCATTCTATTAACGTGTTTCTCACACTGTAAATGCGATAACAGAGAATGCATCCGGCCCAGTTGCCAGGTCACGGTGTCCCATTGTCGTCGAGTCTTTGTTGAATTTTCGTTCACCTCCTACCATATTTCCGGGAACGGCTGGCTCATTTACACTACGAAGATGGTCTCTTTGTACGGTAGTATGTGGGCTTTCAGTAAGCTGGGAGGGGGTTCGGTTCTCAGATTGTACACCCCGACAATATAGCTGACCTGTCTTATCACACCACCATCATTAGGTTTTCATAATCCGTATACCGTTGTTGCTTCGTTGCGAGTGACTAGCTAGCAGCTAGCAACCAGGACTGGTCGAAGAAACGAATCTTATCTTGTTCCTTGCTCGGAAAGATGGCTACGGTCAACGGACTGACGCCTGAAGAGCGGGCGAGGGTGTGGATAACGCAGTCAAACCTCATTCCAAAATCGGTCAACTACGACTGGGAGCCGTTCATGACAGCCCTGGTGGAGACAGTCACCGATTTGAATGAGAACTTATTCCCACCGGACGAAGACGCGGATCCCGGGTCACCAAAACCCGACGTTTATAAGGAGAAGAAGTTGGCGCCGTCAAAAGACCCCAGTAGCGGTTCGTGGATATATACGTGGTATATCCCAGAATGGACAGATCCCGATTATGATGAGGACGTCATAGTGAAGCTCAATGGGAGGAAATACGCCAACACGGCCCGAGACGCCTTTTACAACCTGCGCCCAGCGCTGCTCGACAGAGATGCTCTGAAAAACCCTACGCCGTACGCGCAGCGCTTCGGGGTACATCCTGACGAATCCAAGGGCCGCAGCCGTACCAGCCCCACGTTTGCGCCGAGTCGCAATCCCTTGGACGACTATGCGAACCAGGTCAACATGCTCAGTGACAGCCAGAGAGCGGCCTGCGAGGACATGAGCAAGAAACTATGGGCAGCTTCGGGGAAGACACCCGACCCTGCGCAGGCTATCCTCCCCCAGGTCCTGTCGCAGGTGTTCTCCCAGTTCGGCGCGCTGAGCAACGACGAGCTCGAGACAGAGCTGCGCAATGCAGTCAGCAATGGCATGAATCTCGAGCAGTTTGTCGACCACCTGACCCAGACGAATCCAACGGCAAAGACGGCACACAAGAATTTCTTGGACAGCGCGCTACGAGACCAGGATTGGCAACGCATGATATTCTCGGACATGACAACGGACGAACTAATCGAAGGTAATGCCCACACCATGGCCAACGGTTTCAGCTGCGATCTAACGGGGGAGATACACCCGTAAGTGTCTGGCTTCCACATTGGCAGCAGTGCCGGTGAGTGATCTGCTTCTGCTTACAGTTGTATAGTTTCTTCCGAAGAGAGAAGTGGGAGTTCAGCGACTGGAAGGGGGCAGAGCGATGGACTCCGCGGTTTGTATACAACCTCAACGGGACTCGACAGGCATGGGACGTCGTAAGTCCTAGGCTTGCATATCCATCCGGTGCCCGATCTGCTAACTAAGTCGCCCAGAGGGGGAACGACAAGGTTTGGGATGCATTGCAACCAGCGTTGCAACTGGTGACCAAGATTCTCGAAAGCAACCCGGCCCACCTAAATGCTTTGTACAACATGAACACCCGGCAGGATATAGATCCCGAAAGGGACCCTCGTGACGATCCCGAAACGGCCAGCTTGATGAAGTACGTCATGGAAGATGAAATAGACTTGGGTCTGTCCGATCCACGGATCCAGAAGCTGAATGACTTAGGTTATGACTGGAAGTACCACACAGTCAGGATTCTGGATCGGTGCCTCCGTATGGATATCGGGTCGTGCTACTTACTGGGACACGGTGCTGACGAATACAACGAAGTGAAAGGGTCGAGCATGGCCTACGGCTTCACAAACTCCACCGTTTGCGGCGCCGACAGCTACATCACCATATCTATTGCTGCCGAGGTGATCTGGCCATTGTTGGTGGACACGTATAGCCAGAGCGAAAAACTGACATGCTCGTTCATTATTGCCTCGACTATTCTGCACGAGCTGGCGGTAAGATGATGTTGCCCCTTTGGCCCCTTTCCTCGCATGGGACGAATGGTACCGGCTGACACAACTTCTGGGCGGCAGCACGCAGTGTTGAGCGCTCAACAGTTTCTGACCGAGGAAGACTGGGCCCAGGAGTCCGGCCAGGGTCCACAAGTTACGACTGTGGTTCGCTCGCTCGCAGACATCTGGGACTACGGCTTCATGGATGGAGAGCCTACCTTCAGGGACGGTGGTTATGCAGAGCTGGGATTTGACTTTGAGAACTCGATTTGGGGGTTCTGCGTAAACAACCTGACTCAAAACCCCAGCTCCAATGGATTTGCCAGATTTATCGAGTCGCTGCCCCTGGTCGCAATGGCCATACCGTGGCCAACGTCCCGGCAGTCGACCAGTGTCGGCTTGAAGCTTAGCACGTATCCGATCGAGGACTATTGCCGCCCCTTACCCATTGAGTACATGGCCAAGTTCTTTACCCAGCGTTTCTGGGACGAGGACTTTCAGATATATGGACCCGAAGCACTGAAGCAGTTGCCCGAGGGCCGCCTCATCAAGACGATCATGACGCCGCAGGTTATTAGTACCAAGGCAGCCGCATCGCTGTTTGGCCAGGATGAATGGGCGTTTATGAGGGCTGTCGCGCTTTTGCTGAGCCACTCCCGTCACTCGATCCTCGGTAACTATCTAGGAGCCCTAGTAATGGATGCAACGCGGCGCTCATCCTTCATGCGGCGGTGGTGCAGGGAGATCCCAAACTGGAGGGACGCCATCATCAACCCGCTGGAGAAGAGCGTTCAAGAGCTGGAACGCTTGCTCTTCCAGAGCCAGAAAACACATAATGACAGGTATGCCAGTGAGACGGGCAGGGTGCGGGCCCATAATGCGTACGTCAACAGCGTGGCGGGCGAGCCAATCCCGCCGCTGGACTATGACATGTGGAAACTCACGACGGACTACGACTGGAATCAGACGTTCCGCGTGGGAGGCCGGCTCATGAACAAGCTCGCCGAGACGAGCCGCTACATGCAGGAGGACGTTGCCTTTGTGCAGCGCATGATCTTCGACTACCTCAACGTCAACCAGGGGACGCGTGCTATCTTATACCGCGGCGGGGGAGGGACAGAAAGCACCCCAATCGGCGGCGCATATGCACGGCTCGTCACCTTCCTGGCGAAAGCCAAGAGCCTCGCCGATCACGTAGTCAAGGTCGCTGGCATCCCGCAGCTCGCACCCATCAGGGACAAGTGGGACCCCTGGCGGGCTCGGTTCCAGGAGAGTTCCAAGACATACCAGGAGCTCCTATGGATGATCGACCAGGAGTACACCATTCACCCCTCCGACGTGAGCTGGAAGCCGCAGTTCAGATCGTTGCCATCGTCGTACTGGAAGGCCCGCAACGAGCGCCTGCAAGCCCTGGCGCTGCGCGAGTATAATAGATGTGACCCCCGAATTCGGAAGATAGTGGACGACTTCTACTCGGTTTATGACCCGACCCGAACGGTATCCATGCAGCCAACAACGCAGGAAGTGGACGGCATCCTGGACCTGATGAAGAACCTCAAATTTGACCCCAAGGCCCCGCACGCTTTCCAAGACAAGCCGATTGTTTTCGATTTCTCACTACCAACTCCCCCGGCATCGCCCACGAAATCGAGCGCCGTGCCACCACCACCCGGTGGGACTACTGCTGGCGTCCCTCCCGCAGCACCGGCAACGCCAGGCGGAAGCGCCCCGGGTAGTCGACCCAGGTTCCTCAACGCCACGAGGCTGGGTGCGACACCTCCTCGCCGGGGGTCGACGACGGCCGGCCTTCTAGGCCGTCGCGGCGTGGGGAAGACGAGTGCCAGTGGCCGGCGAAGCTCCGCGTTCAAGAAGTATGGTGCCGCTGGCGCCGGGACCAACTTTCTGCTCGCAGCACAGAAGGCAGGGGCCCCCGGCTCCTTCGCAGATGCCGGTATATCGACGAGCGTTATCAACTCGGCTCTTCAGCAGGCGGGCCCAGGGCAGTCACGCGGCCTATCTTCAACAGCACAGGGTGCTGCTTCGGTACAGTTCTCACAGACGCTACTCACACCCGCCGGGCCGGTGCGAGTGCCCCTGGCGGGTGGCCAGCGGGCCATCCGGCCCTTTCCTAATCCATACTCCACGCGCGTAACGTTGACATCAGACGTGGCTGCGACGACTAATAGCGTGAGGCTGGCGAGGAACTCCGAGCGTACCTCTACCTATGTTGCTCCCGGAACGTGGCGTAACCCCGGTGGCTCTCCCAGTAGTCCTGGTTCTATCACCTAGGGCTATCTGCCACGTTGTGCGGCGAGACTTTCGTAGGTTCCGACAGTCGGCTATCTTAGGGAAGGAAGGACATGCGAAACATGGTGTAGCTGCGGCAGCCATGTTTTTCTTACATAGAGCGTTTCCTTTCTTTGTTCAGCTGCGTCCCTGGTTTATATGTGTAGCGCACTGTATATCTCTCAATATAGACATTGGGCTGGAAAGAATGTGTTTCACTTACTCGAGAGATTCTCCTCAATTATACCGACTCGTCATGCTGCTGCCAGTGAGCCTCACGACCATCCTGACCGCTATCACACCCATGCCGGTATCTGGTTGAGTTGACATGATCTCAACTAGAACCCCGAGACCATTCTCGCCTAGCGGTCCCGACATGGTCAGTTCAGTCAACAAGTAGTATTGAGGCATGACTATCCTCGCCAAACTCACAGTTCCATTCAAATTCACAGACCAGACATCCTGTACGCCCCATGTACGAATCCAGGGGCACCCGTGCTTCTGTGAGGCGGCTGGATGACTTCTCTGAGCCGAACAAACAATCGGAACTTGCCTACACGCCGCAGCTGGCCATGATCCCATCGTGTTGCGTCGGTAGCTCATGCCTCTCTATATCTCATCGACCCCGGTCTGCTGACCATCCAGAAACAGAGGGACAAGCCGTCAGTCTTCGTTCGAGACGACGCTTACGCATCCTCTCCATCGCACAAGACTCATCAATGTTGGAGGCCATGTACCAGCCATCACTAGTGGTGGAAGTTGCAAGGCAGTCCGTAGCAAGAACGAGGCATCTCACGTTCGAATTCGGCTGCCGACGGGTCCAAAGACTGTCATAATTTCATTATTGATGCAAGGCTAATCGGGTATCCTAATGCTACAATGCGCTTTGGCGCGTCAAGAAACTCGGTGGGAAACGCCCCTGTGCCATCTGTATTTCCCAGTGCAATTGGTCTGATGGACTGGGCGTGCTGTCGTCCCTCGGGTTCGACTGCTGGGCGTGCGGGATCATCCTCTGGTTAGTGGAATATTGCAGTCCCACAAGGGGGTCGCTATAGATCATAGGATGAGTGACTTGACGCCCGACGCTATAAATCATGGGATGTGTGACTTGACGCCTGCCGCTATAGACCATGGGATGTGTGACTTGACGCCCGTCGTAAAGATACTGCGCAGTCCGTGCGCAGCCTAGGGTCGGGCGCAGGCCAGCTACGGGGATTTTGGGAGGAGGTGGAGGTTCGACAGGGCACTCCCAGGGCTCGATCTTTTTCGGGGGCGAATGCTCCCAATTCGAGTTGAGCGGTGGCAACTTGTCCAGGGCACTACCGGCATAGCGCCCTCCATCACGGAAGTGCTGGTATCTCGGTTCGTGGGCGGCATCGCCGCTTCCTTCACCCAGGCCATAGCGCCGGCCGTGATCGCCGACATTTCCGAGAGCCAGGGGCACGGACTCCTGCTCAGCATGATCATCCTTGCTGTGGTGCTGACCGTCATCGCCTACATTTCCGATAACCAGGAGCACGGACTCAGCATGATCACCCTTGCCGGCCTGATGGGCCTCAGGCGAAGGCACATAACTATGATCCTGTGGCGGCAGCGTGGGTCGCGGACGCGAAAGGGCCAAGGTATGTCCTACATCTTCACAACCATACATCGCCTTCCGCTTTCGCCGGCGCGGATTCGTCTTCACGGCAGCCGTTATCGAGCTTCCTTGCAGCACAGAAGACACCGGGGGCGGCGTCAACACCGCCATCCGTGCAGAAGTTGACTGTTTCCCAGTTCTTTCCAGTCCCTTGGCAGCCTTCACGTACTGGTCTTTGCCAACATGCTTGGCTACGAGATTGGCTTTAACCGCCGGCCTCACCTCCTGCTCGGCGACCCCGCTGTAACTGCTCGATAGACGAATAGTGCTATCAGCCTTAGCCGTGAGCGCCGCTGTCGCTGACTTTCTCGGTTTCTTTGTTTTAGCCTGCTTCGGAAGCTTGGGAGTTGGCTCAAGTTGCTTGGGAATTGGCTCAACTTGCTTCGGTATTGGCACAAGTTCTGGCGCCGCTTCAGACTCGGGTTGCGGCACAGGTTGAGGCTTGGGGCGGACGGCAGGCGACGGAGCCACCGCCGGAAGTTGAGCCGGGCTAGGAGAGGGTATATATCCCAAATTGTCGAACGGACGGTTGCCTATCACAGCAAGGGCCTGGAATATATCCCAAATAACATAGGCACCACACCCATAGTCATTCCTCATGGCCGATGGGTTCTTTGGTGGTGGTCGCGACTTGCTGACTTCAATGGTGTGCCGTCTCTTCTCCAGAAGGTCTTTCCGCTTCTTCAAGCTCTCCCTCTTCTTTTCAGCCAGTGCGTCGCGTTTCTGCTTATCGAGTTCCTGGATTTCGTCAGAGGATAGCCAGAGACGGGGTTTACGCCCCTGCAAGTCCTGGACCCAAGCATCGCAATCCCATTCGATCCAGTAGTCAATGACATCTCCCCAGGCACTCTCGGACGGTTTTGTCAAGTTGACGAAGACGACTTTGCCACCTCTGCTATGGACCGATTTAGCAAAGTCCTTGACCATGGCTTTCAACCCATGCACTCGGAGACTGGTGCCGAGTATCAGTAGCAAATCTGGCCCCGCAGAGACATCATGTTTCCAAATCCGGGATATGAGGTCGTTCTGGGGGTTATCCTCCCCGTAGAGGACAATGTCAGGGCGAAGTTTGCCAACTCCCAGCGCTCTCTTTCCCTTTTCCTGGCGAGCAGCGGTGGCACCGGCGCAGTGAGGGCACTCGGGCTGTTGGCCTGACATGGTCCGTAATTCACGACCATCTTGGTCCCAATTGCACCGTTTTCCGCACGCGAAACATCGAAGAGCGTGCAGTGATCCGTGCAGGAACACGCATTCAACACCCTTGTCGTGGATGGGACTTGATCGCAACTTGTTTCGGATAGCATCCTCAGAATCCTGTGCGGCTTGGGCAGTATCTACCACGTCATCGTCGTCTCCATTGGGTGCTTCCGTGCTCCCTTTGGCATCCTTATCTGGACCAGCCAGTTGCTGCTTGGCAGATTTTCTCCTTTTGTTACCCGCGCCATGTCGGAGATCCGTCGATAGGCCAATCTTCTTCTCGATCTCATCGATATTCTGCGTATAGACCCTCGCAAGCTTTCCCACGTCTCGCATCCGGGCAATGAAACGGTGGGTCGTGGTTGGCTCGACGTCTTTTGCCTTTTGCCTTAGCGACGTGGCAAATTGATAGAAGACGGCCGTCTTCAGTGGGTCAGCCCATATGTTGCAGTCGAACAAGTCCCGGCCTTTCATGTTGCGCAAATTGGAATTCGATGTTTGAGAAGAGATGAATTCGAACGACTGATGCGTATAGTCGGAGTCTGATGTTTCAGAACAGGCGGAACTCCCCTCAGAGCTGCTATCGGTCGTGGTGTTGGCATTGTCATATGGATCAAAGAGAACAGGTGGTGGCGAGGAGAGAGGGGAAGAGGTGAAGTTCTCGCCGTGGGGGACCACCTTTGGCGTGCTCGCCCGAGTCGGAGAGCCACGAGGGCCTGAATCCGAGCATCTGGGAGAGACTCCGGTTTGCGAGGACGCGCTGGAGTCATGTAGGGCGGAAAATACAGACTCCTGACGAGGCGACGACTGTGTGGACTGCTCGACAAGACGCGTCGGTAATGATGGCGGTAGTGATACCATCTGCGACCTTGTGAGCCGTCGCGATGATTGAGCCGGCGTGGCGGCGGCTGGAATCTCGGTTGTTTGGTCCTGACGGGGCAAGGGAGGGGCTTCGATGTCTATGGGCGACCCCGCCGCCGGCATGCTGGACTCTTGTTGGAGGTTCTGGACATTCGACGTACGGGGATTTGGTATCGGCATCTTTGAAGGTAATTCACGGAGGTCTGGCTGCGAGATTCTCCTACGCTTGGCGGGACTGTCGCCAATACTGAATTCGGCGGTCTCATCTTCGGGCTCTGTCCTCCCACTGGCTTTTGCGCGCTCGAATTGCTGCTGGATGAGTGAATATAGCCCATTCTCAGACTGAAAATCCTGTGACCCGTTAGCAGACTAAGACCGCGTACAGTTGTGACAGGTTGCTTACAGGTATACCAGAGCTGGTGCTGATGCCGGCACCGGTAACGATAACCATTCGTCTTGTCTTGCCCACAGTGTCGGCGACACGTTGGAGGAGCTCGTCGGAGGTGGGTGTGATCTGGACCGTAGGCATCTTGGAGATGTGAAGCCGCGGTGGGGAAGCTGCACTGGTCTCAATACGTCGAGCTGTACTCGGGCTGAAGAAGGGCGTCACGTCAAGTCGAACTGCCGGGCGCAACCATCGCGTGGCAGTTTCTCGGCGCGTTCAGGCCGGCGGCATAGGGGGTGGGGGAGGAACAAAGACGCGTCGGAATCTCTTCAGATCCGGTCGTTACGGGGGGACGCGTCTCAACGGTTGTCGGTGGAGCGCGTGGTGGCGGCGGTGAAGGTGTAGAGGTCAAGCAGTCGTGGGACGAGCGGCAGCAGCGTGCAGCCGTTGACGTGGAAATGGACGTGCAGTTGGAGATGGGGTTTTGTCTTGGTTGGACGTGGGGTGCAGGTGTCGACTGCAGCACCGAGGCTGGAGGCTGGAGGCTGCGGGCTGCGGTGGGACGTGGTAAACTTCAATGAAGCGTTTTCCTGGCCATCTAAGCAGGGAATTGCGCGCACGAGAATACCTAGCAAATACGGATGGCAGCAGCGGTAGCATTGGAGATAACAAGCACATGTATTGTGTATGGTAATGAGATGGAACGCGGACACGCCATCGCTGCAGTGTTGGTCATGACATGACATGGGACCGCGTTCAAAGCTTAAAGGTACCTAACCGTGTGGGACCCCATTTGCAACTAGCCCCCATTTGCAACGATTTCCCCACCAAAACTTCTAATATTTAAAGCTTTATAATAAATCAACCAAAATACGTACAAGCTTAAAACGAAATGAACGTAAAAGAAAAAGTTGTAATAAGTTATTAATTGAGGTTAAAAAAGTGTATTTATAAAGGATAATATTTAATTTTAAATATTAAAAATTAAGAATTAAAAATTACCGATTTATTATATAATATGAAAGAACGGATAAAAAATATAAATAAGTTAATACTGTTAGTTTTTACATTCTATATTAAGATTATAACGTTTAAAAATCAATACAAATTTAACGTTTAAAAATATCTCTTTATGATTAGCTGTTTAAACATTATTATATTGAATAAGGTTTAAAATTTCAAATATGAGCCCTTTAACTATATTTAGTAAAATTTATAAGCTTTCGATAATATGCGAACGTTATTATATGCTTCAAAGTGTATAAAGAAAGCTAAAAAAAAAAATTTTTTTTTAGTAAAATATTATAAAATCACAAATTGATTACATTTTTAATTTTTAATTTTATTAATTGGATGTATTTAAAGGAATTATAATCTTTAATTAAAAAGCTTCTAGTTAATTATTCTATATTATTATACTAATAAAAGTATTTCATGTATTATTAAATGTTTATTTTATATATATCCTTTAACTTTAACCCACTGAACTTAATAAACTTTATTAATATAATACTTAAAAATATTGTTCCATATAGTTTAATTTATATTGTTTATAATGGTATTTAATTTGAGTTTTTGCATTTATATAACAATAGGATTTAAAGTATTAAATAGAACTACTTTTCATACACTAGTACTTTTCTATTAGTTTTATCAGATGTTGGATCCCAGATATAGTGCCTTTAGGTACAGTACCCGCTAGAAGGCTGCTAAGGAACCAGTGGATCCACCCTGGTATAGTGCAGTATAGAATTTAGCTGTAGATTAGCCCTGCCAATCATTTTTGAGAATGACAATAACATTTGCAGCGATCGCTCAAACCTCAAAGGCTTGTGACCCTTCTTGAATCTCATAAATTTGAAAATAATATTTTTTCTTGAAAGGTTTCTTTCAAAGTCTTTTCACGAGATCATTTATTAAGTAATCGAGAATTTTTGTATATATATAACATTTAAGCTTTAATAGTACTGAAAAATATAATACATCAAATCATATAAAACCCACTTAATAATAACGACTTTTCCGCTTTTTAATATTTATAACACTTAAATACTTCGTTATTAATTATCATAAAAATCATCATATTACTATATAAAATTCTTATATAAACAAACAAAGTAATAGATTTAGTATTATTTAAAAACTATGATCTTTTTTTTAGAATATAAGGAAATATGATTAACAATAATTTCTTACGATAACGTAGATGACAGGCGAGCGGCAGTTACAAGCGAACCGCAACTTTTCACCAACCTTCTAACCAACATGTCAAATGACTTGACCACAACGCATTTAATTTAATTTAATCAATTGGATTCTTCTTCTTCAGACGTTTCTATCTCTATTGTACAAGTTTGCGCATTATGGCCAGTGTTGCCGCAAACGCCACAACGTTGCTCACGCGCTGCCGCCCTCCTCGGACGACGATTACCTTTATTTATTTCCTGTCTTGTCAGCTCATTACCATCCTTTACAGTCCAGAGACTTACTGTATCTTTAACAGAAAGTACTTCTCCTTTCACTAGACGTTTGTTTTTTGTCCTCCGGGTTTTACTTAGTAAGTGATTGGCCTTGTCACAAAGCGTAAATAGGATGAGGACATAAAAGTCCTGATTGCACTACCTACGTGTAAGAATCTCTTGGTGGGGAGGGAAAGAAGGATCTGACCCGCCAGCTAATTCTGGTGGGATTAATGATCCTTTCATCCGCCCCACTATTACCTAGCCTAGTACAGTTGTGGCCACACGTCTTGTGCGCCAGGTTATGTGATGCTGCGCACAGGCCACCCTGATGGGTTGACAGACTTCTAGTAGGTCAGACCGTCACATGCCTCCTCTAGCTCGCGGACCCGGGAATCAACCAAAGCGACCTTGTGCATAAGACTGTATGTGGCCTTTAAAAATGAGCTCAACGCATCAACTATTGATATAGGTGAGCTTCTCTGGTGGTTTCTAACTTGATTTCGGATATAAACCAACTGGTTTACCGCTTTATTGATGATGGTAGGCGTCTTTGAAGTCCAAGTAGTGGGTGGCAGATTGGGGTCTGGCGACGGTGTTTGTAAGACAGTGACAGCATCTAGCTTTGAAATGTCACTTTCTGGGTCGAAAGGAACAAGCCTAGTGGTACTAAAACCTGCTCGAATGTTTCCTGGCGTCATAGCAGCGTTATGTGCTTCACAAAATGCTGCAAGAAAGTCCTCTTTCAAAACGTGGGTTATATAACGCCGGATGAGATCCTCAATCATGCGACTGTAAGCTCGTTTGAACAGGATAAAACAACTGACATCTAAAGGCTGGAGCATGTGTGATGAGTGGGCAGACATACAAAGGGTAATAATGCTGTTGTTCTGGCAATAATCCTCAAAGATCTGGGAATAGTGGCTTTCGTGACCATCTACGATGAGGAGGCATTTACTGGCAGTCATACGCGGTCTGGTATACTTGTCGAAATGCTGAATCCATTCCAAACCAATCTCATTCGTGGTCCACCCGTTGTCGGACACGGCCACTTTCCAATCACGTGGTAATATTGTGTCGCGATACCATGACGCGAGGTGGGTTTTGCCCTGTAGAATGATGAACGGCGGGACCACCCAACCATCAGCATTAACAGCAGAGATTGCTGTAGACCATTCCCTGTTGCCTTGCTGAGCTTGTCTAGGCCTGTCACGTCTTTCGGCGCTTGTAACGACCATGCCGGACCCAATAATGCCCATCATAAACCCAGTCTTGTCGAAGTTATAAATATCCGCGTCTTGGATACCATGTTTCGCGACTGCCGCTGCAACTTGGCAAAACCACGCGCAATACGCGTCTGGATCCTCGTTCAAGACCCTCTGGTAGTCTATCTTCCGATGAAAACGCGTCCGGAGGCCTGGTGTACGTTTGATGAAGTTCCGCGTCCAGTTCTTTCCAACGCGTCCAGCCCCATGCGCCGCCAACAATTGATTCGCCATATCTTCAACATAACTGTACTGGGGCGGAAATGCTCGCGCATCCAGGTCGAGAATGAAGGAACAAATGGCATTCTCTTTGGAAACCATAAGTTTCAAAGTATTGGGCATGCTGTCGCGTCGTGATGGCATTCCTTTGACTCTATTGCTCAAAGTGGAACAAGGGACGTTGAAGAGTTTTGCAAGCTGAAATATAGGAATATGAGGGTCACGTCGTTTAGCTTGAACAGCTAGCTGCAAGTCTGATTTGTTATAACGCGGTGCCATTATTGTTGGTGGAGATATGATGGTTTGAATCGTATTGGTTGGAAAGTTCATGACGAGTGCCAACTCGCTTGTAATGTCAACTCGCTTGTCAGCTACGTTAATACTTTATTATTATTACTATTAATCTTTTTTATATAAAGTTGTTAAAAGCTTTATAAATATAATAACGTTTTTTAAATATAATAAGAAACCTCTTAACGTTATATTATAGTGATAATAAGACTTTGTTAAGTATTATTATTAACAGTATATATTAAAAATCTAATTTGTAAATAATCAGAAAGATCTTGGAGTAGTTTATCCCAATTATAAGCTTCTTTTATTAGTTAATTTCCCTATGTAAAGTATATTATTTAAAATAATAATATAATGAAGTAAATATTTTAAATTTTAAACTCAATTTTTTAAAAAATCTAACCTAATAATCAGTTTTAAATGTTGAAATAACTTATTTATATTTATAAAACTTATTGGTTGTAACTATTATTATATGATCCGACTTTTAATTAATGGAAGCTTTTATTAAATATTTTAAGACAACACTTTTCATTATTAAAAAAACAAAAATCCTATATTAACTTTTATAATATCTTCAATCTCTAAATAAACATTTTTTCTGATAAATATTTTATTCCAAATACTTTCAACTTATTTTTATTTTTTATTCGATTATTCTCTTATTAACGAACTGTTTGAACCACTGTAAAGCTTTCTGGATGATATTTTAATATTCTGTTTTTGAAGGCTTTTCAAAACGATTAATAATATCCTTTAAAAAGTTATCTTATTCGAAAATTAAAATTTTATTAATAATACAAATAATTAACCGGACCCTTTATTTCGCTTTTTACTTAATAAGAACATATATTAAAAGCTATTTTGTGAGCCAAATAACACCTATATATCGGCTACTGTATTAATT